GGTAGTCTGTTGATTCTTACAAGTTGGTTAAAATACCCTAATCCCTTGTGGGTTAAGATACACTGATTTTAACCTCAATCAAAGAAGGGAATCTCTTAAATAGAAGTTTAACACTAAACTAATCTGATTCTTGCATAACAAAAGAAATAAAAGATGAGACCTTTCAAGTTCAGAAATGGGAAAGAAGAAGAAAACTCACAAGAAAAGACGTCAGATTCTTGGAAGATTCTTGAAGTAGGTTATAAATGTTTATCTTTCTTAATTTGAAGATTCTTGGAAGGGAAAGGAAAAAAAAAAAAAAGAGAAAAGAACTGTCCTTAGAAAGACCAACTTGGTTGTCCGAGAGACAAGGAGAAACAGTTTGAAACACCCAAAATCTGAGGGAAAAGAAAGCTGTAAAGATGTCTCTTTGATGGGTATGTCCCTGGTGAAGAAGTAAGGTAAGGTATAAGGGGTACCTCTTCCACGCAAATCACCCAACAAAAAAAATAATCATTTTTGAGGCATCGTTATCTCATATACGCATCGGGGAAAAAAACACTCTTCAGTTAATACTTTTTTATATCTCACAACAGAACAAGACTGTCTCTCTCTCTCTCTCTGCTTCTCTCACTTCCAGGCTGCGTGGATGTGTTGAGAAAAGGAAAAAGAAAAAAGAAAGGAAAATATCCAAGGACGGAGATTCCCATATTCTCTCTACTACTCTCATGTCTTGGGGGCAATGGTAAGAAGAAGTCAACGTTTTAATGTAGGAGAGAAAATATCAGCAATTAGCGCTAATAATAATTTTTTTAGAGCCAATAATAAGGGACCAAGTTAAGAGTTGACAAAAAAACATATTAATGAGTTATTATAAAGTTGAATTTTCGACGCTGACTTTGTTATTATTTACATGTTTATTAAATTCGATAACTTGTATATTGTAAACCCAAGAAATTTGGAAAAGAAAAGGTAGTAACTAAGTTTAAACACGATTGCGTCTTTGATATTTTCCGCATTATTTAGACGATATGACCTGATTATATATACTACTTCCATGTGGCTACACTCTCCAAAAGAGAAGTACGTACGTATTTGATAGTTATACTAAAAGCAAATAAAAGATTCTATAAGCACAGTTTAGAGAGAAGATGTCAAGTAATAATTTACTTTAAAGTATTTTTAATTGATGAGAGCAAGTTGAGAGGAAAAACAAGTGGGGAGCAGGTTTTGCTTTTCCCCCATGGGTAAAAATATTTTTAAAATAAACAAAATAAATAAATATTACTATATAGAGAATATTATTTTTTTTTGTTAATCTGGTTGATTTTTTTAATTTCTTGATTTGGGTTCTTTTAGGTCAGCGTTTGTCCGCTATTGGAAGATACTTTGTAAAAGAAATGGAGAGCAATGTGTGTCCCACTTAGCTTCGTTGTAGATGTGACTCTTCTATGGAACAATTGTGTCTTTCCCTTGCTAAAGAATCTCGTTCACGTACATAGAACTTGTCAAAAACGGTGTTTGTTCATCCCTTTCCTTTTTTTGAGTTAAAAGGGTCTTTTAGATTATGTACTATCTTTCTTACTTACGTTATGTACTATCTTCTACTTACGTTATGTACTATCTTCTACTTACGTTATGTACTATCTTCTACTTACGGATCTTCGTGTGTAGGTGTTGTGACTTGTGAGGTTGAGAGATTATATGTTTCTTTGTGTGGTCAAGATCCTTTAAGTATGTAGTAACTTGCATTTGCCAATCTTTCATGTGTCTTCCGCTAGACAATCTTTCATAGTTGGAGTCTACTAACTATTTATAGGTGAACTGAACTTAGAATACTTATTTTTTTGCAATAAATAGCAGCCGTAAATTGAAATTTGGGAGACAAAAGGTGAGGGAGTTTATATGATTGACATAACATGTATGGAAGAAGATTCCGATTTATATAATTTAAAGAAGTTATTATTCCTTTTGCAATATGGGAATCTCTTCTCTGATTTGGTATTCCTAAACTATAGTAGTAAAATATATTTACGTGACAAATCAACGATAAAGTAGTTTTAAAAACAAAAGCAAAGAAGATTGATTGGTCGAATAAACTTTAATCAAGTTGTGGTAATGTTGGCAGTCATACTTTAGGTAAAGAGTTTCCATTTTTTTTATTGTCTCGTCACACGCAAAATGATTTAGCTGACAACATACATTGGTAGGTAAAGGTCTAAGAAGAGCATATGTTGTTGATGATTCAGTTTCATTTTGTAGTTTCTTTAACCAGATACATTAAATTAAGTATTATAAAACCAGTTTTATTGAAAACGATTAGACTCGTATAAAATTCTGATTTATATTACATTTTTAGATGTGAGATGCATCATAATAACGAATCCAAAACAGCATCCCTAGTTTCAGCTGGATTACAGTATGCTAGAAACTTTACTGAATAGTGGAATTAACCGGACTAATACGAATAGTAATATATTACATCATAAATCCTAATAAAAAGTATTCCTTCATATGTAATCAAAAGCGAGGCCAACTTGATTAAGCCATGATGGGATTTGAATTTTCCGAAACATGGATCCAAGATTTTGTAAACTGCACCAAAAGCTCATCATTATTGGACCTGTTAGCAGATTTTATAATCACCACTACAGGATTAATTTATATCAAATGGGCTTATTGTGCGGAGCTTACAAATAAGTAACACACACAAGACGTAAGAAAGAGGGTATTGCAAACACAGACCAAAGCAAAAAACCATACATAGATCATAATTAATCAAGTGACTGATCAGAAGTGATAAAACAGATTCAACTTCAATTATAATGCTTTATTGTTTGTTAATCAGGAAGCTTAAAGACCCGACTAATCCCCCGAAATAAATGTAGTCGTCGAGTAGCCAACTCAGGGAGTAACTTCAGTATAATATTGAAAAGGGACAGTCATAGATTAAGGAACACAACAACGTTTTCTTAAAGGGTCTTTGACCTGAGAAGTGAGATCAGGAATGCTTCGGATCTCGTGCGTGACACATGCCTCTGGTTTACTTACCTCCTCATTCATTATTGTGCTTTTGGTATTTCTTTAATCAATTCTGACTTGTTAGATAAAAATTTAGTAACCTTACGTCAAATAAATAAATAATGATTTTTATGTAAAAAAAACTTGAAATAGTTGATTCTTCTTTTTTTTTTTTGGTGTGAATAGTTGATTCTTCTATAAGATTAACGAATCATTTTTATAGTATTATTTTTTTGTTTGGAAAACTATTTGGGAGGTTTTTTTTTTAAAAAAAAGGAAAACTATTTGGGAGAATTAATTCCCAATAAAAATGATAAAATTAGAAAAAAAGAAAAAAAAAAATCTCAATCAGTAATTTGGAAGACAATTGTGTTATTAGTGTATATTTTTGATAATCTATTTATTATAAAGTAGTTCGATAAAATTTTATTTGTTTACATATTAGCAAATCCATTATATTTATATTTTTCGTATTGCTTCCCCTGTGTATATTGTTTTACTAAAAAGAGCTTCCTCTCTTCTCTACTTCTTCTTCTTCTCCGGCGACTGCGATTTCGAGATTATCAAACATCAAGAGAGGTAAGCTTCTTCAGTTCTCCTCGTACACGATTACTCAGCTGTTTATAAACCGTACATATGTTTCCGTTCTATTGGTAGTCTTGTTAAGCTAGATTCGGCGAGATCTAATCTTAATCCCTCATGATCTAATTCTAATTGTTGTTGCCATCGATTTGAATCAATTTCACGTATAAACCCTAGTTTTCTGCATCCTTGGCTACTCGCAGAGCTTGTATAGTTTCAGAGTCCCCTCTAATTGGAAATAATTCGAGTTCTCTAGTCGGAAGCTAATGAGTTACTGAGTGTGAAATTCCCACCGACGTCAGATCTTTTCTTCGGATTCATTAGAGATGACGAACGATGAGGAAAATGGAACTTCAATGGAGGTTAAGATTGTTGCAGAGCCAACCCAAGAGACTTGGTCTAGTGTTTTCCTTCGTCAAGCCTCAGTCTATGGTGTAGCTGCTGGTTATTGCCTCTCGGCTTCTCTTCTCTCCATCATCAACAAATGGGCTATCATGAAATTTCCTTATCCCGGTGCGTTGACCGCTATGCAGTACTTTACAAGTGCAGCTGGTGTTTTGCTCTGTGCTCAGATGAAGCTAATCGAGCATGATTCGCTTAATCTCTTGACAATGTGGCGCTTTCTTCCTGCTGCTATGATATTCTACTTGTCTCTGTTCACCAACAGTGAGCTTCTCCTCCACGCTAATGTCGATACTTTCATTGTCTTTCGCTCCGCTGTTCCGATTTTTGTTGCCATTGGGGAAACGCTTTTCTTGCACGAGCCGTGGCCGTCTGTCAAGACCTGGGGATCTTTGGCTACTATATTTGGGGGGAGTTTGATTTACGTGTTCACGGATTACCAGTTTACAATCGCAGCGTATAGCTGGGCTCTTGCGTATCTGGTGAGCATGACCATAGACTTTGTTTACATCAAGCATGTGGTTATGACGATTGGCTTGAACACTTGGGGTCTTGTTCTCTACAATAACCTCGAGGCTCTGCTTTTGTTTCCCCTCGAGCTGCTTATAATGGGAGAGTTAAAGAAGATAAAGCACGAAATCACCGACGAGACTGATTGGTACTCGTTCCAAGTGGTTTTACCTGTGGGTTTATCGTGTCTATTCGGCTTAGCCATCTCTTTCTTCGGGTTCTCATGTCGCCGGGCCATTTCTGCAACGGGATTCACTGTTCTTGGAATTGTGAACAAGCTGTTGACAGTTGTGATCAATTTGATGGTCTGGGATAAACATTCAACGTTTGTTGGAACCTTAGGGCTCTTGATTTGTATGTTTGGCGGAGTCATGTATCAGCAATCTACCATCAAGAAACCTAAGGCTGCACAAGAAGCTAAACCGCAAGAGCAAGATGAGGAACAGGAGAAACTGCTGGAGATGCAGGAAAACAAGGAGAGCAACAGCATAGATATAAAGGAAGCTCCGATATCAGAAGAGAAACGATAATCATATCCATCCACTGCAGATGGTAAATCAGAAGAGAAACTATGATTCTGATGTGTTGAACTTGCAGTGGCTGTAGTTTTCTCTGTACTGATACGATATCGTTTTCAATTAAAGATTGTAGTTAGTGGGTTATGCAATTCTTTTGTAACTAGAAGTAAGACTACAGCGTTCCTGATCCAGTAGTTGAATAATATGGTTTTCTTGATTACCTTTTGATGTGTTTCGTTGCTACATTGTGTTCGGATTTGTTTCTTGGACCTGATTTATGTGCGAGTAAAGGATTCATTCTTATGTTTCCTCTGTGTTGACAAAAGTTCAAAAAAAAAAAGTTTGGGGACTCGATCTAATCTTTGTAAGTGCGAAGTTAATTTATGAGAGCACCTAAACCCGTAGCAGTAAGTAATTGAAAATTTAAAAAAATATCGTCAACAGCAGGGTTCGAACCTGCGCGGGCGAAGCCCAATAGATTTCAAGTCTATCTCCTTAACCTAAATCCATTTTTTTTTTTTTTTTTTCTCGACCAACCTAAATCCAATTATAGAAGATGGTATTTCGTTGAAGATTAGCTGAAGGCTAGAAGCCAATCTAATTTTATATTAGCCACTGACCATCGCCCTATTAGTAGTTCATGAACTTTCTCCAACTGCAATCTAATTTTATATTAGCCACTGACCATCGCCCTATTAGTAGTTCATGAACTTTCTCCAACTGATTCACAATTACTAAACAATGGAACCAGAGGAAAAGCCGGTAAACAAGGAGTGCAGGAATTATATTACACACAAAGAAAGCTATCAAGCTTGTCGGCGGTAATTCTTTTACCCAGGGGGATTGTTCTGATGCATATTTGTAGCCGCAAAATTGTGGAACTCCGTGGAGATTGCATTTTGGAAAATTCCTGGCATTGTGTTGTGAAATTGCCCTGACACTGCCTGCAATAGAAAACGATCAGAAACACAAACATATGAACTGAATAAAAGTTCACTAATTGTCAACGAGTGGTTTGCATGGATGCAGATGGGAAAATTATACCACATGTTGAAATCCTTCTTGGCTTCCCTCACCAACAGTTTCAGATTGAGCCATATGCTGCAAAGATGGAAAAGGATCAATGAAAAATATTAAAAAATGAACAAAGTTACGCATCACATCATCAAGGTTTGACAGCTTAGCGGAAATTGATGATTCTAATTGCATAGTGAAAAAGAAAAGCTACAGACCTTTGACTTTTTAGATGTATTGTTTAGGCTACTTTGCTTCTCCTTTCTGGTTTCAGCTTGCACGGGAGCATTGCCTGCAAGTATGTTAGGTTCGAATTCAACCTGCTTCAGTGTGGATCCATATTGATTTCCTTCTTGGACAGTTCCTACTTGAATTGCAGCGTCATCACATCTGGCGGGATGTTCGATGGTATTACACTTGATAGCACATTGTTTAAAAGCTTCTTTCATTGCAAACATGGCGATGTCATAACTTTCTTGGGAGAGAGATCCTTCTTCTCCCAAAATGATGGCTCGGCGGCAAAGATCATTGAAACGACGGATATTAGACTGCACAAGTTCAAGGTTTCCACTGATCTGATGTCTGTTTCTAGCTGCATTAGTCCATCTTTGCAGCACATAGTTTATCGGAATGGTGAAAACACCAGACATTTGGAGGACAACAATTGCATGTCTACAGAGATATCCCTTGTACTCAAAGGAACGGCAAGAGCAGTAAATATCTGACTTAAATTCATTCCAGTCGACCAAATATTTCTGATCGTCGTCAAAGTCCTTAACGCTGTAAGTTGTTCCTTCCTCACTCTCCTTTGTAAGGTGGCAAGCAGCAGCACCCAAAACCTCAAGTTGGAATTTTCTGAATATTTCATGTGTGTACACAAGTAACACTTGCTTTTCAAAAGGTGATGGAGATTTCAACTCAGGTGCTTCATGCCAAGCATCAAAATCTGCTTTGGCTTCCTCTTCATACATATCTTCTAGCATTAGTCCATATCCTTCTAAGAACTCCTTAAGTGAAGTTTCAACTTGAAGATACCTATCAAACAAAGAATTCACGCTTTCTGAACGATAACGTGTTGATAACCCAGCAAATGATACTCCCCTCATAAAGGTAGGTGCCCAGAACTTACGATCCTCATACAAAGACCGCATCCACTGAACATCCCTAAGATTAAACTTGTCTATCAATTTCAACCACCTCCTATCGAATTCCTCCTCAGACCATGACCTGTATATACATTTGAAAAACTTTTTCATGAAAGTGTCTTGCCACATGCTCCAATAGTCCAGATTCATGGGAAGCCGGTCCAGTACATGCCACAAGCAATAGCAATGACTAGTTTCCGGTAAGACCGCAGCAATAGCTGCTTTAATAGCATTGTTTTGGTCAGTAAGCATTACTTTAGGTTTTTGACCACCCATTGCAACTAGCCAAGATTGCATCAACCAGACATAAGTGTAAACTGTATCATCTGCAAGCAATCCACAACCAAGCAACACAGGTTGAACATGATGATTGACTCCAATAAAAAGAACTAACGGTATCTTATATTTACTCAGGAAATAAGTTGTATCGAAAGAAACCACATCACTGAAACTTTTATAATCTTGAATCCCTTTAGCATCAACCCAGAACACATTTCTCAGCAAATGATCTTCACTGAAATCAACAGCGAAAAAGAAGTTGGGATTCTCCTCCTGCATACGCATAAGAAACTCAAGCAAGATTTGAGCATCACCATCGTGAAGAACAAGTCTCCGTCCTTTATCATGCTGATTCCTCATGTAACCATCTATGAAATCAAGATCATTATAAGCACTGAGATGTTTACAATCAGTCAAGGGACTGTTCTTCTTCCTCCTCAAACGAGCATCGGTGGACTTCACAGGCTCGGTGTTTCTGTGGCTCCTGAAGAAATGAGCTTGCTCTGGTAAAAGCTCGTGATTGTGCTCTTTGATGAAACTGTAAACGTACCATTTCCCGTCTGGTCTTCGCTTCACATGCATACTCGCTTTGCATCCGATTTTAGGGGAAGCTCTAGGGTTAATCGCATCATCAGATTGCTGTTTGCTTCCATAGCGTATGCAAGAGAATTTGGCATCGATGAACTCCTTCGAAGCTCTCGATCTTCGACTGCTCAATTTCGCAGTCCCAAAACCAACGGATTTAGCGTAATCTTTGTAGAACAAATACGCATCTTCGTGAGTCTCAAACTCCATTTCAGAAGAAGCTCCAACCCCTCACCAAAATTTATCGATACAGACCGGTGATTACAACAAACGAAGCAGATTATAGACAAAAAAAATCACAGAAACTGATTCATCTGTGGTTTTTAGTAAGATCCGAAGGAGTAAAATAAAAAAACATTCGAGAGAAATTGGAAGAGAAGAGAGAGACTTGAAAAAAATCTCTGAGGCGTGGGAGGTAATATTGGGCCGTATTGAGCCTCTATTTCTCAAACATTGGGCCGTATTGGGCAATTTGGTTTTGACTTATTTTACAACTCTTTTAGAAAATGTTTTGACTTATATAACAAAGCTATTGGAAAAAAAGAAGGAAAAAAAAAAGAAAAGGGAGAAGAGCCGCTAGACTAAGTTTTAAATATTTAAATCATCTATTAGTTTCAGTAAGAACACTCATAAGTCATAATTGGGTAAAAATATAACAATGTTTTTTTTTTTTGGTAAATAAAATATAACAATGTAAAGAAAGAAAAATACAGTACTTGCAAAAAAAAATTAGAAAAAAAAATAAAATAAGAAAGAGGCGGTAGGTGGTCGGCGACATTGAAATAAAACATGGACCATTGAGCGTGTAGTAGTAATAAGTAATAACGAAGAAAAAATAAGCCAAATTTTGAAAAGACGCACATTGGTTAAACAAATATAGCCGTTGGTTGCTATTTCCTTTTTTCATTAGGGCTTTTTTCCCTTTCTGAGGTTGCATCCAACGGCTTAGATTAACTAGCCGTTGATTTCATATTTAAAAAAAAAAAAGAAAATCCCCAAAAAAAAAACACTATAATCTTTTTTTTTTTTGTGTAGCAAAGACATATATCCGCTCTTCACGTCTTCAAAATCTTTGGATTACTCTCTACAGTCCCTTTTATTTTTGTTTTTCTTATTTCCTTTTCCAGTTTGGTTTCCGTTGTGAGAGAGGAGAAGATAAGAGGGGACGACGAGTCTTGAACAATAATAAAGAGAATAGAACCATACAGAGGTCGATTTCTCTGTTGCTGTTATGGGATTTTGCTTCTGACAGAGAGACCTAGCGTTAAAGGTAAGATCTTAACTGTTTAATTTCATCTGGGTTTTTATTAGATCTAAGTCTTGTTCTTGATCGAGTCTTTTTAGATTCTCAATTTTGCATCCAAGAACCCAGTTTTTGTATTGTTTTTAATTGTGAACACATTGTTTCTGAGATTCTCAGACACGGCAAAACAATGGGTGGGTCAGATGAGAACAGACACGCAGCTATTGGAACGATGAATCGACAACAAGGTAATTATATCAGAATCAAAAATAAAAAAAAATTACTCTTTTAGTCAAAAAAAATCAAATCTTTTGTTTGATGTAGTAAAATAAAAAAGGGATTGATTTTGTCAATTGTTACAACAGGGGGTTTACGTGGAGGAAAGGTGGTTCCGGGGAACGGGCAGACAAGAAGAGCATTGAGTAACATAAACAAGAACATCATCGGAGCTCCGGTTTATCCTTGTGCTGTCAACAAGAGACCATTCACTGAGTAATAATATTTTTTTGATAACTTCTTCTTCCTATGATCCGTTGATGAAAAGTTGTTTTTGCTTATCTAAATGAACCAATTTTTATCTCAGGAAAAATGAGATTTGTAACAAAAAGATTCCACCTGTTCCAGTGCATCGACCAGTTACTAGGTCAGTGATTTCAATTGATTTTTGCTTCAGTATGAGTTTGTTGTTTAGGAGCTCTAACTCATGATTTCATTTTCAGGAAGTTTGCTGCTGCTCAGTTAGCTGAGAACAATCCTCAAATCCACAAGGGGGTAACTTTCTATATTGACACTAATGAATTTGCTATTTGAAAAGTAGTACATTATTTCAGGTCTAATCTCAAGTTTTTGTGGTTAGGAAACCAAGAAATCAGACTTGATATCTAACGAGGTATTGGATAGAATCATAATAGATGTGGAAGAAGGAGACTTTAATGAGCCAATGTTTGTTCAACACACTGAAGCCATGCTTGAAGAGATTGACAGAATGGTATAACATATTGTTTAAGTCCTCTTTTGTTTGGTTACTGTGATGATTAACATATTGTCTTTCTTTTTTTCTGCAGGAAGGAATTGAGATGGAAGATTCAAATGATATTGATATTGAAGAAAAAGAGTCTGTGATGGATATAGACAGCTGTGACAAGACGAATCCTCTAGCTGTAGTCGAATACATTGACGACATATATTGCTTCTACAAGAAAAATGAGGTAACTTTTGGTGGTTCTGTTTCTGTATTGATATGATCATTCTGGTTTCAAGATTGTAACTTTTTCATTTATTTTGCAGTGTCGTAGCTGCGTCCCGCCTAATTACATTGAGAATCAACATGACATTAACGAGAGGATGAGAGGAATCCTTATTGATTGGTTGATTGAGGTAGAAACACACAAAAATACATAAAAATTGCTCTGATTTTGTATTTGATGTCTCAGTGTAAAGCTTACTGTGAATTCTTTTGCAGGTGCATTACAAGTTTGAGCTGATGGAGGAGACGCTTTACCTCACAATCAATCTCATTGACAGATTTCTTGCGATTCACAATATTGCAAGGAAAAAGCTTCAGCTTGTGGGTGTAACAGCTATGTTGCTTGCTTGCAAATACGAAGAAGTTTCAGTTCCGGTTGTAGATGATCTTATCCTCATCTCTGACAAGGCTTACACTAGGACAGAGATTCTTGATATGGTATAACCTTAAACTAGAACGTGTCCTAATTACAACCATGGATGCTCTGCTTTATTTGTTGATGATCATTGCATGTGTCGTGCAGGAGAAGTTGATGGCGAATACCTTGCAGTTCAATTTCTGTCTTCCAACTCCATATGTGTTCATGAGGAGGTTTCTCAAAGCTGCTCAATCTGACAAAAAGGTTTGTGTAACTTCAGAATCTTCTCTCTTAATGTTATATAGAGAATAAAAACATCAGCATTAGGTGTGAAATGTAAATTTGTATGTTTCAGGTGGAGCTTTTATCATTCTTCATCATCGAGCTATGCCTAGTGGAGTACGAGATGCTACAGTACACTCCCTCTCAGTTAGCAGCCTCAGCTATCTACACAGCTCAGTCCACACTTAAAGGATTCGAGGATTGGAGCAAAACCTGTGAGTTCCACTCAGGCTACACGGAAGAAACGCTTCTGTAAGAACACCAAATTGAGAAGCTTATTAGTTTTATGATCTGACTGCCTCATCACATGCCTTTTAAGTTTCTGATAATGTTTTGTTGTTGATGTTCAATCTCACAGGGAATGTTCGAGAAAGATGGTTGCTTTCCATCACAAGGCCGGGACAGGGAAGTTAACAGGTGTTCACAGGAAATACAATACTTCTAAATTTGGTTATGCTGCAAGAACTGAACCTGCTGGGTTTCTACTGCTGTAAACCAACGGTTTGGCTCACACGGAATCTATAATGGCTAAAGAGAGAGGAGCAACTCAAGTTGCATAAGTGGGAAATTCTCTGTTGACTTTGTCTGTTTCGAAGTCTCTGTATATGGTTTTAATCTTTTCAATTCTCGTTGCTGAGAGAGAATAATAGAAAACTTTAGGGTTCTTGATTTCAAGCTCTTCTTTCCAAATTCCAGTTCAGCATCTTGGTTTCTATTTTGTATCATAAATGACATCACGAATGAATAATGATCAAGGTTGAGCAATTAGCCAATTACTCACAAGAACATGTTAGGATGATTCAGCACCTTCCCACCGCTTGTATTCGAATTACTTTACCCTAAAAACTCTCTTTTTGAAGTGTACAGTGAAACTAGTTATCGACAGTGAAGAGAAAGAACAGTGAAATTCTCTTTTTAGATGGTGAACGAGTTTACCGGTAGATTTGATCTACCGACATCGTATAGAGCAATTGTTTTTCTATTGGAGATGTCTCTGTTAGAATGACTTTGAGTGTCCGTTGACGTTGACGTTGACATTGACCTTGCATAATGTAATGTATTTTTCCTTTTCTTGATCTGAAAACAGTAAATTTCTGACTAAAGGACTTGCTTATAAGAAGTGTACTACCTCTCTCAACGAGATTTATATTATCAAAAAGAGAGAGGAAAATGAATAAAAGAGAATGTGGTATTGCTAAACTGTGTCTTTGCTTATCAATAATGTTGCTTTTATCTTCATGCCCTGAGAACTCGCTCGTCTCAGCTCTCCCAATCGGTGAGTCAGTTTGTGTCGTAGTTTTACCTTTTAAATTTCAATCAATAGGCTAGAGGCTAATAAGTATTAGTTTCATACAGAACAACCCCATTCGTAAAAGATCATGCACCTTCTATGTTTATGTTTTGTAAGTTCTCATTTGCCTAACATCATATAAAAAGGAATTAGTTAAAACAGAACATAAGTTGTTTATTTTGTTTTCTTGCCGAAATAAGAAGTAACATGGGTACAAAAAGGTGCAGGGGAGAAGCATCCAGCGAAGAAAACAGAGGGAGAAAGAAGAATGATAATGGATGCAAAACGTGTTGGTTATGTATACAGAAGCCGCTCGGGACGTGGTCCAGTCATGGTGGCCGAAACTAAGCCATGACATCGGCGGTTGCAGCGTTTTTTACCACAACCTATGTCGAATGTTTTATTTCCTACAACTCCTGTCTTAATTTCTCTTCTCCCGTTGATCCGATGAATAAAAGAATGAATAAAAAGGACCGCTTTCAGAAAACCATCATTTTCTTAGTTTCTGATAATTAAAAAGACTAACCATAATGATAGAAATATGCATCGTTCTCTTCTCTGCTCTCGACCTGGATAAGATGTGTCAATTCTCTAAACAACAATTAATGTGAAGAAAACATGCATGTCAATGTTTTCATTTATGAAACATATTCGTAACCCAAAATACATAATATTCAAACTCCGATTAACCGGAAAAGAGAGAGATGACGGTGGAGAGACGAGCGAGCTCAAAACTTTATTAATCAGCTTAAAATGTTTTTGTTACAAAGCTTAACTGATTCTAAACTATACTTTGGCTTATATACAATGCCTAATCATAATGTTGAACCAACATTGATCACTAACTAAACCAAGATAATAAACCGGACTTAACCAACTGATCAGAATTGATCCTGATACAGAACTACCCTCTTACTTTGTGTACCTTGAATTGACGAGTTGAAGATGGCGGATTCTCCTGGATACTGCAGATATTGTCTCAAAATTACGAAAACTAAACTATACAAGAACTTACTTTGCCTTGATTACAAAAAAAAATTAGTGCATTATTAATCAGTTATATAATGAGTTGATCTTTTATTCAAATGTTTTATCTAACATTTCCGGTAGAATTTTTTGTGCCATTTCCGGCAATGTATTTGCCTTTTCGAGTTGCCTCGACATCTGATTAAATATCATTTTTAATGTCTATCTCCGATCCCATGACTAATTCTCACTTAAAACTCAATAGTAAATTTAAAACTCACTTAAAACTCATCGTAAATTTAGTCAGTCTTTTCAATATAGTTGATAGAATGACTTTGACTAATCGTCTAATACAGTTTCCATTGACGTTGACTTGACATCACCTGTTAGAGGGGGAAGCAATAACTCATGGCGCCATACTTGTTTTATAAGACGTAGCTCTTTTATAAATTATTATTTCAAACAAAGAGATAGAGAGATGGATAGAAGAGGAAGTGGACCAAGTGGTAGTTGTAGAATGAGTCTTAATTTGCTTATCAATATAGAATTCTACATGGTGCTCTGTTCTACAAGAGATGTGGGAGTTCTCAAAATGACCGTATGCTAAAAAACACATAGACAACGTTTCATCAAACCTCTTACTTACTAATAAACCAAAACACATAACTACTCCCTCTTTCTCTCTTTCTTTCTTCCCTTCCTGTCTTCTTGTTAGAGATTTTACTGTGTACAATAATTGCATAAAAATGAACTAGCTGAAGATGGCAGATTCTCCTGGAAACTGCAGAGATTGTCTCAGGGTTGAAGCAACGTTTCAAGGGGTTAAGTAAATTATCTCCTAACAGGTGGCACAGCTCCCCTTCCTCCTCTTGTTCCACGCCCAGTACCCTGAGCCATAACCCAAATTCAAATTAGTTGCTATAAATTCTCAAACATGGTGAGATGTTAACCGAAACATAAAGGAACTTAGACGAAGATGAACTTACTTTGGCTCGCATTGCAACACCCCTACCTCTGCCTAGACCTAAGGAAGAGCTCTTTCCCTGCATAGATCAAGTAAGCAAGATGTTATTAGCTTCCATGTTTATAAAGCATAGATGGGTTAGATATTCTTTATCACGTTCAAGAAGTATACCTTGCCCTTAGTATCCTTGAACATTGGAGAATTCTTTAGCATGTCTGGTATGACTATAAACCTGTCAATATTTTACAAAAAAAGAAGTCACTTATCAGTCAGTTAGGTTGAAAAAGTAATGCTTCAATAAAGTAATAAGTAGGAAAGAAGCAAATGTCAAAAGGAGTTTATATAGCACCTCACTAAGCTACCTCGAACGAAAACATGCTCAAGCTGGGATACCTTACCATCCTGTTCCATAGAATCATAAAAGAGCTCAAACGTTAGTTTGGTAAAAAAAAATCTTTAGCCATCATGATTCTACTACTAGCATATACAGGGTCTTAACCCAATCACTACTTGGATTACTATTCTAGGCAAGAAGTTCACCAGGAGTCTCAATAGAACTATCCTTAACAATCTCCGAAAAGACGAAACCTGAGCCGCTTTTTTTAGAGTACATTATTCAATTCTAGGGATTTCACAGCACCTACATCGGCAATGGACAAGAAACAAAAAGCTAGAGTTGGAGAAGTACGTCAACGACAATGAAATCAACAAAGCAAAACATTACCTTGGCCGTATAGGTGATGTTCTCGAGCTGACAGTTCCAGTTATCCTCGCACTCGATCAAGCTTCCTCTGTACAGCTCACCGCTCTTCAACTCCACCGTCACTGTATGACCGGAAGACTCGTGAAGAAGCTTCACTGGAATCCCTAAATTCCGGCTCATCTTTCGCGCTTTCTAAAGAAATTTCGATTCACAAACCCTAATTGAACCTTTTCCCTTTTTTCCTTTTTTTTCAGCTCAGAAGGAAGAACAAGTGCATCAGTTACTTTTTTTTTTTTTAGGAACCCAATTGGCTTCTTTAAAAACCTACATTTAAATTACTCTTGTGGGCTTATATATAAAATTTGGACCGGCCCATTAATTTTCTTTTATAATATATTTTTTTTTGGTTTTGATGAATATATATATTATGTCAAAGATTTGTAATTTTCATCTTTTTGTTACATATATCAAAATATAATTAAAATATTTTTCTACACATACTCAAATCTCCTCAATTGATGGATACATCATTATGAATTAAATACTTTAATATATCTTTTTATGTTAAGAATTTGTAGTTTTCATATTTATGTTAGAGCATCCCTATTTCGAATATTTCTATGGAGTTCTTAAAATAAATATAAAAAATATATATAGAAAAGAGATGAAAGAAAATGACAAGAGTGACTAGCTAGACACACTTTCAGATGTCCTTTAGACATCCACCTTACACATGTGCATTTTATAATTGGTATAAAAAAAATCCATCTAAATTTAATTACATACAAAACTTATATCAAAGTATTAATATTATATTATATAAGATACTTTTGCAATGGTATAAGTCCTAAAAATGAGTTTTGATACATAAATATATTATTTTTAATATAATAAGATTATCTATTTAAATTTTAATGTTAAAAAGAAAAATAAGCCACTATAGGTAACATGTATATTGAAGAGTATCTAAGACAATGTTTATTGGAAAGAGTTTTCTTAACAAAATCTCAGGCTTAAGAGTTCAGCAATAAACATGTTCAAGACTATCATTAATGACAAGTTTTTAGTCTAAGATTTACCTAAGAAAATATTTTATGAAAATGTTTTAAAAGTTCCACAAGTACTAATTTAAGAATCCTATTTTCTTCTATTTTCATACAATTTTTTATTAATATTATTTTGTTTTAAAACTTAGATAGAATCCTTCTATGGAGGTGGTCTTACCAATAATAAAATGGTGTTACATATATCATAGCATAATCTAAAAAAGTTACACATGTCAAAATCTCAACATGATGTGATCATCGTAACTTTTTGCATGCTCATTCAGATTCTCTAATAACATGTGGCAAGTTTAGGAAGATTCTTCGGATTTAAAAACCAATCTGGTGGTCATAATTAAGTATAGATTTTATATTAGAGGATAATGATTGATCGGAGCGTTTGCCTATATATATAGTAGTAGAAGCTAATCCATAGCTTCAGTAGCTCAATAACAATAACCACCACAGAGTAAAAATGGAAGGAACAATGAAGTGCTCAGCCAATTACGTCCCGCTTTCTCCGATCAGCTTCCTTGAGAGAGCTGCTGTCACCTTCGGCAACAAAACCTCCGTCGTGTATGGTGATATTCACTACACATGGCACCAAACACGTGACCGTTGCGTCCGCCTCGCCTCTGCTCTGTCCGACCTTGGTCTCTCCCGCCATGACGTCGTAAGTGGTTTAACTAACGACATTTCTATCTTGTTCTAACGTTTTCATTTATTTAAATGATTGTTTGAGTATTTCTATCAGGTGGCTGCTTTGGTGCCAAACATTCCTGCGTTATGTGAGCTACACTTTGGAGCTCCGATGGCTGGAACCGTTCTTTGCGCGTTAAACACTGGTTACGATTCCAAGATGGTTGCGATGGCACTTGAAAAAACGAAGCCAAAAGTCTTATTCGTTGACTATGAGCTCATCTCCGTTGCTGAGGAATCTCTCAGTCTCCTCTCAGACATTGAAGAACGACCCCTCATCATCACAGTCACAGAAAATTCAACAGAGAAATCAAAACACGTGGAATACGAGGATTTTATCTCCTCCGGAAACCATGCTTTCGAACCTCTAGGACCAGTTGACGAGTGTGATCCAATCGCGCTCAATTTCACATCCGGAACCACAGGGACGCCCAAATGTGTCGTCTATAGTCACCGCGGCGCGTACCTAAACGCTGTTGCTGTTGGTGTTACCAATGAGATGAAACCAATGCCGGTTTATCTCTGGGCAGTTCCGATGTACCATTGTAGTGGGTGGTGCTCTGTTTGGACTGTTGCAGCTTTTGGAGGAGTCAACGTCTGTCTCAGGGAAGTCAACGACGTGGTTATATTTGATAGTATCGTGAAGCACAAGGTGACTGACTTTGGTGGCTCGCCTGCGGTTCTCAACATGATTGCCAATGCGCCTGACTCTGTCAAGAAGTCGTTCTCATGGACCGTACAGGTTATGAGCGGAGGATCCTCGCCTCCTGAGGTAAGACTAATTACAAAGTTTCAAATTATTCGGTTGGAACTTCCATATTTTTAGGTTATATATAATGCCTTGCTTTATACGTTAGCTCCGTTACATTACATTATATAGATGTACGTATATATTGGTAACGGCATTTGGTTTAATAAGTAAAATCTGATTACGTAAAGCATAGAGAATCTTTCTGTTAACAACATTTTACATAGGATCATAGTATAAGATATTAATTTATTCGTACAGGTCATTTTGAAACTCAAGAAGCTAGGATTCAAAGTGATGATGGCTTTCGGATGTTCGGAGGCGTATGGAATAGGAACAGCTTGTTTGTGGATGCCCGAGTGGGAGACTCTACCTGAAGAAGAGTGTATAAGGCTCAAGGCAAGAGATGGTGTCAACTATTTCGCCAAGGAAGTTGTCGATGTGTTGGACCCAACCACCATGAAACCGGTTCCGCACGACGGAAAGACCATCGGGGAGATAGTTCTCCGGGGAAATACTGTCATGAGCGGTTACTACAAGAACAAGGAAGCCACTGAAGCGGCTTTTCGAGGTGGATGGTACTGGACTCGCGACATGGCTGTTATAGATCATGATGGGTAAGTAAATGAATCATGCATGCATTACTTTGAATTGACTAAGCACTTACTTGATATGTTTCCACATGCAAGATACATATATTGGAAAGAGAGGTCACAAGATGTTATAACATGCGGAGGAGAAATTGTGGGGTCAAAGGAGATCGAAGGGCTTCTCCATAGTCACCCGGCGGTTTATGATGCAGCGGTAGTTGGTCGAACGGACGAAGCTTTAGGAGAGTCGATGTGTGCTTTCGTGAAGCTCAAGGAAGGAGCTGAAGCGAAAGAGGAAGAGATCATTGAGTTCTGTAAGAGAAAGATCGGGCACAAGAGCATGAAGATGGTTCCAAAGACTGTAGTTTTCACGGATATTCCTAGGACTTCCACTGGGAAGACTCGGAAGAATGTTCTGAGAAATATGGCCAAGGATATGGGTTATATTCCATTGAAAGCTGTGGAGTAAATGATTGTTATCATCGAATAAACATCTAGTTATATATGTAATCTTGACATGTATAAAAAATAATAAAATTTTCCTTTCTAGTGGACTGTTCTTAACAGAAACAAATATAAAGTTTAAATCAAACTATGAGATAACTATGGATGTTAGCTCCTGGACGAAGTTATCAAACTAAACCAGTTTAAATCAAATTAAACCGGAGAGGATTTGGAGTGCCCAATAAGAAATGCAAAAATGGGCCAACCGTGAAGAAAAAGCCCACTAAGTGTTTTTTTCATCAAACCTGAAATGTTTTTATTCGTTTGTGTTCTTTACGGCAAGCTTCTCCTCTTCTCTTACATGTTCGCGTCAATTTGTGCACAGATTGCTGGAACCAGATATATAATTGAAACGAGTTCCGATAAATCAAAGTCGGAAAATGGAAATGTTCGCTTAGAGATTTTAGTTTTGTGAAGTAAGTTTTCTCGTTTTCGTAGATTTCTAATCTCGAGGGAGCTCAGAATCGAGCCTGAAAGCCATGTACAGAGCTCTGTAAGTTATTTTGGCGAATTGGGTTTTATTGTGTGTGTTGGCTACTAGTTCAATTAGTGCTCACTGACTTGCTCCGTGTATATGTTTCGAAGGTGGCTTTCTCCATTGCGATTTATTCTGAGCTCGTCGTCGTCAAAGTTAAAGCCATACGTATATCGAGTTAGTTATATGTTCCTTTGTGTAGCTTTGAGAGAGTTGTTAATGATCAGTCTTCACTTAAATGTGAAAAATTTGCAATTTGATTAAATGGAATTCTATTGTAGGGACAGGCACGAAGTAGAATTTATAATGGGGATGGTTGTTCTTGTTCTCGTAGTGTCACGACATTGATAGGTATGTCTGATTTAGCCTTCAAGTATGGTCTGTTTGTCTCACTATCTACTGATCTGGCTTGGATTATTGTTAAAGACGATATTTTGACTTGATGAGTGCAATGATTCCATATGTGCAGGTGATGATTTTTTTCGATGCCAAGATGAATCTACTAGGAAGATCTTACAAGTGCAGATTTTTGATGCCCTTCGATCCGGAGAGAGGCCTGGAGCTTCAGCTCTGCTTTTAAAGTTCATACAGGGGAATTATCCACTGGGTGCTGATGATTTTCATGGTATTCTAAGTTATTGTGCGCGATCACCGGATCCTGTGGTAAGTTGATACATGAATAAAATCTCCTTAGGCTTGTCTTTTGGTGGATGATTAAACTTTCTTTGCACCTTTTTTAAAAAATGTGTTGCATAATATTAGAGTTCTCTATCACTGAAGTTTTGGTGGGTCTGAGATGTATATCTGTAATGAGTTTCTCATGGTACACTACTTTAGTAGTCTCTAACCTCAAGGCAGTAATTTGTTCCTGTAGTTTGTCATGGAGACTTACAGTTTAATGTGTAACAAGGAAATCAGTCTGGACAGCAGATCTTTGTTGTTCATAGTACAATCCCTTTGTAATGGGGGACACTTGGATAAGGTATACAATATTCCAATCAAATATCTATTATTTTCTTTATAATATAGTAAGTCACATTGATCATTTGATTTCTTTGCCCATATTTGTTTAGGCATCAGAGTTTATTCACGCTGTTGGAGAAGATGATAGTATCTCTCCTGTTTTGCCCATCTATAACTATTTTCTTGGAGCCTGTGCAAAAATGAGAAGTGTATATCACGCTAGTAAATGTTTGGAATTGATGGATCAACGGAGGGTGGGGAAGAATGAAATAACATATGCAGCACTTCTCAAGGTTAGTTAAGAACGTATCTTATTTCAGGGCCTTATTTTTTCAAGAGCTGTTCATACGCCAAGGAGATATGGACAAGACTTATCTTTTCGTGATTGTCCCCGTTTCTGTTTTTGCCTTGCTGTCTCTTAAGGGCTTTATATTGTTCCTTGATATAGATGTTTCAATTGCATTCCTCTGCATAGTTGATCTTAGTTTTCTGATTAATATCATTTTCAGCTTGCAGTTTTTCAGCACAATCTATCAGCCGTCAATGATATCTGGAGACACTATTTCGACCACTATAGTCTCAATATACTCTCTCTCAGAAAATTCGTATGGTCCTATACGAGGTTGGGGGATTTGAAATCAGCATATGAACTGTTGCAGTACATGGTGGATCTAGCTGTGAGACGAGAGCTCTATGTCCAATCCAACCAAGGAAAATTGCGTTCCACGAGACTGGATATTCCTGTACCATCAAATGGTGAAACAGAATCAGAAAAAGTTGCTTATGGAGTAAATGATCACATGGTTTCGCCGAGGGTGGATGCTCATGGAAATAGCATTGTGGACTGTAATTTGTCTGGTGCACAGAGTAATGAAATTGAGTCTTCTAATATGGCTTTGCCGAAAGGTCATAACAATATCCCTGCAACTAAGGTCCTCAGGTGGTCGTTCAATGATGTGATTCATGCATGTGGACGATCTAAAAACTCTGATCTTGCGAAGCAGCTAATGCTTCAGGTATCTCCCAGCCCTTTCCCATTCATGAATTTTATGTCCTCATCCCTATGCACTGCGTGTGATACTGTAGAGTTATGAGAAAACCCTCTTTGAAAAATGCGTAGGAGACAGTTGCAACATTAAAGATCCTGAATGGGAAATTTGATCTTTTGTCTATGTCTTTGATTGGAATTCCTAAGCTTTCATGATAATTGATACCAGCTCTCTATCATCCATGTGGAGCTGTAAAATTCTATTACATAGCTGGACGCTTCCCTTTTTGCCTCCTAACTGGTTCTTGTCCTGCTTTTTGGTATTTGATGAAAATTCATTTCAGATGCAAAATCTTGGGTTGCTACCATCAAGCCACACATATGATGGTTTCATTAGAGCTGTTGCATTTCCAGGAGGATATGAATATGGCATGTCACTGGTAAGAGTTTATATACTCTACCAGTCATCATCTCTTCATAATTTCCTTCTATCTGTATTTTAGCTTCTTCTTTTCGTGACGATTTTTCTCTTTGTTCTGTATCTTGACGCAGTTGAAAGTTATGCAGCAGCAGAATTTGAAACCATATGATTCAACTCTTGCTACGGTCTCAGCTTATTGCAGCAAAGCCTTTCAAGTTGATTTAGCTGAACATTTGCTGGATCAAATATCTGAATGCTCGTACGCATATCCTTTTAATAACCTTCTTGCTGCATATGACTCCTTGGTTAGTTATTTTGATTCTACTATTGATTGCCAGTTACACTAAATATACCCCTTTTACCTTTCGCTGTTCGTGTATTGTATACAATTCTTTTTCTCCTGATTCCTTAAGTACACGAGTTTGATCCTAAATAGAATAAAATTAGCAAAAGACCATACTTGTGACAATGTTGCAACTCTAATAATAGGGGACGTTCGGAACAAAGTTCTATTATATTAATTCTTATATTATTTCCCCAAAATTAATCTGCACTCTTAGTGGTTGTCATGTTTCAGGTCTTGTTATTATGTGTATATATTTATTGAACCTAAATAAGTTTGTTCTGCTAATTCACGTGTGTCACTATGAGATTTAGTTTCTACCTATTGCTTTCTAGGATCAACCAGAGCGTGCTGTCCAAGTTTTGGCTAGAATGAAACAGCTAAAACTGCGTCCAGATATGAGGACCTATGAACTGCTCTTTTCATTATTTGGTAATGTGAATGCACCATATGAAGAGGGCAACATGTTGTCTCAAGCAGACTGCTGTAAAAGGATTAACGCTATAGAAATGGACATGGTGAGAAATGGTTTTCAGCACAGTTCTATCTCAAGGCGGAATGTGGTTAGTTTCTGCTCTATATAGCTAGTTCTTGATCTGTTTGAAGCAGCTGGGAAATCCCTTTCATGGTGATACTATCAATTAGAACAATGAACTTATCGTTTACCCTTTCCTCTTTTTTTTTCCCAGCTGAGAGCCCTAGGAGCTGAAGGTATGGTGAATGAGATGATCCGACACCTGCAAAAGGCTGAGAACCTCAGTGTTTACAGCAAAACGTATCTAGGAACGCCTACATACAACATAGTGCTTCATTCACTTCTCGAGGCAAGCGAAGTAAGTTTTCATCATGTGATAGCTTTTAAGAAGTTTTCATTGGATCAACATACGTATAGAAATATTGATTGCTAATGCTTAAATTATATGCAGACTGAAATGGTGATCAAAATATTCAAACGTATGATATCATATGGCTGTCCTGCAGACGCTGCTACCTACACTATAATGATTGATTGTTGCAGCATTATTAACTCTTATAAATCAGCCTGTGCCCTAGTTTCCATGATGATCCGTGACGGGTTTACTCCAAAAGCTGTTACGTTTACTGCTCTGATGAAGGTAATAACAGCGTATCTGAATATTGCTGCCATTGTTTTTTAAGAACTTGCTACCGCCTACAAGTATTGAATTCAAGATGAAAGAACTCTACACAGAGTACGGATACAGACCCAATTTTCTGAACCATTGCTTACACTCAGAACTTCCAATTTTTTGGTTATTGCTGTTCATTTCTTTTTTAATAAAAGCTGTGAAATTCCTCTTAGATTTTGCTGAATGATGGGAATTTCGAGGAGGCACTTAATCTCCTGGACCAAGCTGCGTTGGAAGAGATACATCTTGATGTCTTATCATTCAACACTATTTTGCGTAAAGCATTTGAGAAGGTAAAGAATTTGTTGTCAAAACGCTAAAAGTAATGAAAGCAAACAGACTGCTTTAGTATGCACATATATTTGTCTGCAGGGAATGATTGATGCGATTGAGTACATGGTGGAGCAAATGCACCGAGAGAAAGTGAATCCAGATCCAACGACATGCCATTATGTTTTCACTTGCTATGTGGAAAAGGGGTATCATACAACAGCCATAGAAGCTTTGAATGTTCTGAGCTTAAGGATGATCAAAGAAGAAGACAAAGAGAATCTCCAGGAGAAGAAAACAGAGCTTGAGGAAAAATTCATCATGAACGAAGATCCTGAAGCCGAATTAAAGATAATGGAGCTGTTCAGAGACTCTGACGAGCATCTTGCTGCAGCACTTCTGAATCTAAGATGGTGCGCGATGCTTGGGTCCCGGATTATATGGTCAGAAAACCAAAGCCCTTGGGCCAGAGGACTCTCCATCAAGTATGGTTAAGAATGTGAACTGTTCAGTGTTCTTGAAGAAGAAGGGTTTTGGTTTCCTCCTCTTGGCTATTAATTCACTCTGCCATTTCACGAAAGCTGCTTCGTTTTGGTTTTGTATCATTACAAACTGTTGATTCTAATTGCTGACATTTGGAGGTCACCAATCAACAAACGAGCGGTCGTTTTGATGAGACGGATCAACAAAGATGGCTAGAAGCATTTTTTAAAGCGGCTACAAACAAGGCGAACTGCGAATCATCAATTGAGATTGAGTTTTGTTATTTTATTTTATAATTAATTTTGAAAAACTTTCTCTTATATTGTATTATCTTTTTTCTTAATAAATAACCAGAGAAATTCTAATTGCACCTGAAACTTCTCGGGATATCCGAAGTTGTTCTTGTGTTTTCTTACCAAGTACAAATTTAACTCGCTTTTAAAATGGGTAATATATAAGTGCAATGCATATGGGTATGATGAATATGACATGATCTTGAAGCTTGATTCACTCAAAACAAGAAGAAGAATAATTACTGTGGAAACATAAAGGACAGATGCAAACGACAGAAACAAACGTAATAATGTTACAACTTGCTGTTGTGTTTTCTCTTTTCTTTTATTTTGTATTTTACTCATCCAAAATACAAAATGTTTACCATAGATAGATAGAGGACCAATCCCTTAGATGATTTCAAACCATAGAATTACCAAAACCAAAATTTTGCTAACTACTATAATTGTATAACAATGAAAAACAAAAAGAAGATATTTTTCTGAGTAGAAAAAGCAGAAGAAGATATTTTTCTCTTTAGCCAATTTGTTGGACTGGAATAGTAGAATGGTAAAATATAAAGTAAGTATACTCCATTTAGCTAGCTACTCACTAACTATATATATTTTACTTAATTACTGTGGACAATTCTCAGTCTCCTTCTTCTTTTGTCAACTATTGGGGACATTTGTTTGTTTGTTTTTGCCGACTTGAGGACATCTGTTTGTGCAGTAGACATATGAGTGTTATATATAAATTACATTGATTCATATATAACACTGATAATAATGTTTTTTTCTCAGAGGAGGTAACAACTAAAATTATGCAACATATGATTTTGACCATAGTATAAGCTTATAACTCAATTCAGAACCAACATACCTTATAATAAAATAAATCGATACTGCCGACTGCCGTCTTAGATCACCAAGATTTTGATGGTTTAACATTATTAATGTAAAAAAGTAAAGCTATAGTCATTAAAATTAACAGCTTTTTATTACAAAGATGTAGACCGAAACAAAATCATAATAAGCTAGCTTCTCTCTCTATAAGAAGTGCTGATAAAACAAAAGGAACTCGACTTCTCTCTCTCTGATTAGTATGTTTGTTTGAAGAAAAAGAGAATAATATTTGTTGTTGTTGTCGCTCGTGATCGAAACAATGCTCCTGTGATCCTTGTCAAATATACAGTAGCAACATTCTAAACATGTTTTGATTCTTTCTAAAAATCCAAACTTTCTCTCTCTCTCTCTCTCTCTCTGTGGCTCTCAGTGAGGCGAGGTAGTTACACGGCGGCCGCCATGAGTTTCCATCGGCGGCGCTACCCTTACTACAACCGTCTTCGCCGTCTCCTCCCTCTCATTTTCGCCGTTTCCTTGTCTCTCCTCATTCTCTTCGCTCTTCTCTCTTTCCTTGCTCCGCCTCCTGGGGATTCCGATCGCCTTCAGCCTGGCGTTCGCTACGCATCCAATGATCCGATCAAAGCTTCGGGTTTCCGAGTTCCGGTTAGTGGGGTTTCACTATTCTTCGCTAAAGTTTAGTTCTTTTCGACCTGTTTGTTGATTTGGATCCATCGATACAGAGAGGTGGAGGCAGATCAGATCGTGATATCTGGCGTTCCCGGAATGCTGAGTTCTTCTATGGATGCAGCAATGCGAGCAACAAATTCGCAAGTGCGTAACACTCTTTGATCAAATTTAATTGTTGGGTCATTAGTTAGTAACATTGATCTTATGAAAGTATGAAACTTTCGATTAGTTGGAACTTGGAATCGGGCATTGATATTAATATACGATTACTTGTTTGTAGACGCGAAAGCAGTGACGAGAAATGATCGATACTTGGTAATCGCCACTAGTGGTGGTTTGAATCAACAGCGAACTGGAGTGAGTTTCTTGACTTACTCTTGTTAATACTTATCTCCATGGATGATCACAGTACGAGCATTTGTTTACACTTAATCAGCTAATGGATCTACTTCTTTTTCATCTGGAAATGACATTCTTTTTGGATTAGCTATCTTGTGTAATCATTTGGCAATTTGTTCTAAGTCGGAATTTTAAATGCATCTTTCTGTAGATTGTAGATGCAGTTGTTGCGGCAAGAATTCTAAATGCTACTCTTGTTGTTCCAAAGTTAGACCAGAAGTCTTACTGGAAGGATGCCAGGTTTGGGACAGAATTAGCATAAATATTGTTCTTCGAAACGAAAAGCAAATGTTAGTCAACTTAGTAGTAACTTTGTGCGTTCTGTGCAGTGACTTCTCGCATATTTTCGATGTTGATTGGTTTATATCGTTTCTGTCGGACTACGTCAAAATTATAAAGCAACTTCCACTGAAAGGAGGGCGAATATGGATTCCAAGTAGAATGCGTGTACCACGGAAATGTAGCGAGAGATGCTATATTAACCGTGTTTCACCTGTTCTTCACAAAAGGCATGTAAGTTTCCTTCTTCTTTGGAACTATTTTTAGTTGCTTTTCTAGTTTTTCCTCATGGAACAATATGTCTAAGCAAATTGTCTGTTGTCTTGTTCCTTTTTCGATTCTTTGCTTTTAGTGTCCCAACTCGCAAGTCTTCCCATTTATTTTAATATTCTTCTTTGTATTTCTTTCGTTGATTGCTAGCATGTAGGTGTTTTGTTTATGCTTGTTTCTGTACATAGACCTAGAAGCATTTTGTACCCACGGAGAAGTGGTTGTCTTTCAATAAGCATCTCGCTATAAGCTTATATCACTTTTATCTGTATGATTCAGGCAGTTCAACTGAACAAATTTGACTATAGACTTTCAAACAAGTTGAGCGATGACTTGCAAAAGCTAAGATGTAAAGTAAATTACCATGCTCTAAAGTTCACTGATCCTATACTTACAATGGGTAATGAATTGGTCCGGCGCATGCGATTGAGGAGCAAACACTTCATTGCGTTACACCTAAGGTAGAGACCACCCTTCACCTTAAAATCCTGACATTTCTTCATTTTACACTGTTATTGAACAATGGCATTGTACTGGGGAGGACTAACGTATAGCATGGCTTTGATACTTTAAGTTCAAGCATACTGTGGTCAATGCTCTATCTTTTTCTTTGGTAAATCAATGCTCTTATCTGATAGAGGAAGTCGCATCGTTAATGAGTCAAATCGAATGCATAAGCATGTGTATCCTGGAGTTCCGCTAGTAACTCCTTAACATATGGGATTCTAATCCACAAGAAATCGTTAGGATATTCTACTTTTGCATGCTGAAAGTATACATAATAGAGAATGTCTTGACGCAGCGATAATGACTTTGTCACAGGTTTGAACCTGATATGCTTGCATTCTCGGGCTGCTATTATGGTGGTGGTGATAAGGAAAGGAGAGAACTTGCAGCAATCAGAAGGAGATGGAAAACATTACATGTATGCATATACTGTAATTTTTTTGGAAATTACATATTTGTGTATTAACTGGCTAGTAGTGACTTATTTGATATTTAATGGCAGATTAACAACCCAGAGAAACAAAGGCGACAAGGAAGATGTCCACTCACTCCAGAAGAAGTCGGATTGATGCTTAGAGCTTTGGGATATGGCAGTGATGTCCACATATATGTTGCGTCTGGTGAAGTATATGGAGGAGAAGAGTCCTTGGGTCCTCTGAAAGCACTCTTTCCCCACTTCTATTCAAAAGACACTATAGCTACAAAGGAAGAGTTAGAACCTTTTTCTTCATACTCTTCTAGAATGGCTGCTCTCGACTTCCTTGTTTGTGATGAAAGCGACGTATTTGTAACCAACAACAATGGCAATATGGCAAAGATATTGGCTGGGCGGAGGTACTGAAACATCTCCCTCTTATTCATTTCCGGTTCATCTCTTTGATGAAAATGCTAGGTTGAAACCAATACATTTGCAAAGGTGTAAGCTTTTTGGTTATATGAAATTTGCAGGAGATACTTTGGGCATAAACCCACTGTTAGGCCAAATGCAAAAAAGCTTTACAGATTATTCATGAACAAAGAGAACACGACGTGGGAGGAATTTTCGACTAGAGTCCGTTCGTTTCAGAGAGGATTCATGGGAGAGCCAAAGGAAGTAAGAGCCGGTAGAGGTGAATTTCACGAGAACCCATCCACGTGCATTTGCGAAGATACAGAGGCTAAGGCAAAGGCGCAAGTAGAATCTAGAAAAATTGGAAAGAAAAACAAATATACAAGTAAAGACGCAGCAGTAACCAATGATGATCAAACCGAAGAGGATGAGCCAGATTGGTCGGAGCCAGACTATGAGGAAGAACAGAGTGATCTTCAGGACAGAGGATTATACAACGGGACAAGTTTGGATTACGATGATCCATCTACCTCTGATGAGCCTGAGCTTGAAGAAATGCTATCAGACTAGTTAGATTCACATCATTACACTAAACCTCTCCTCTGCTTGGACACTTGACAGCAGGTTTTGAGTTTTCCTACCTCGTGGATAGGCCTTGTAGTCACCATTTTGCATCTAATGTCTCCTGTACATAGAACCGTGCCATAGAGCATCGTTTTGTTATTATGATCTGAGGAAAGATCAATTTTTGGGCTCATATTTTAGCCATATTCGAAATTAGGGGTATGCCAGAGATATAGCTATAAAAATGGAAAACAAGCAGGCATGTGTATCATTATGACAAGAATTTCACTTACTGGTGATCTGAATATTTTCTTTATATATATATTGACATTTATACCAAAGTATATATTCACGAGGTTTGTTTCTACATCTTCGTAAGGGTCTCATCTCTCACCTCTTTGAAGTGAGACTCCTCGTCAATATAGATACGGAATTATCATATACATAAAAAAGATATTGTGATGAGTGATAGAGATGAACAGAGACACGCTAGTAAAAGTTCAACAATTGTAGTGTTGTAGTGAATAGTATTATCAAAACGTTCAAAATTTGTATAAGATGATAACATATGGCTGTGAGCTTTTCCTTCCGAACTCCGAAGGCCTTCTTCGATTGAGTGGGTGTACTATCTTCTTGGCAGGAATGGCTTGACGGATTCGATCACAACCTAACATAAGCCAACACCAAAATTATAAGATGAACTCTCCAAACTGTTTTGAGAGTTTTATAATTGGCGCAACAAATGATTTATCTCTTAGTTCCATAGTTCTACAGGTTTAAAGCAAAGTTATTTACCCTCCCGTCATATGACAAAGACGCAAAAATCCAAGGCTCACGCGAGCTCCAAGCGAGGCCTGTGACAGAAATTATTTTAAGTAATTTCACCTATTTTAGTGGAAGAGAATTGTTACTAAACTCAGTTTGGTCCAAGAGCAGTTACCATAGACACTGTCTTCGTAGTCAGTATAAGAATTAAGCAACGGGTTCACACGTAGACGTGAGGCTTCCACCGGGCTGCACAACACCGGCATTAGGATAAAAATTCAAAACACAGTCGGAAAAATGCATATCATTGGGTGCGATAACAGAGAAATTAACCTTTCTGAAGTTTTCTTCTCACTAGATGCTGAAGCAAACCACAAGTTGACAGCTGAGTCTGTTCCAACGCTCTGTGATTGATTATATTAATCAGAAACTGACACTTCACATATACGCAGTGGCAGAACATGTTTTTGAATCTTCAACTTTTAGCCTCTATTACAAAAACTATATAACTTTTGGACAGGTAAAAGTATCATCGTTAATTCGTTACTGATTAAGAACACTTCAGCTTAAAGTCGTTAACAGAGACAGTTACGATATAGATTCGTCTAAATGTGCTAAGAAGGATAGGAGAAAATGAGTACCAGAATTAACTCTTCATACTCAGGGTTACACCTGACAGCCCATGTCCTGTAATATGATCCAGAAAGAACAGTCAGGCTAGAAAAAAATCCCAGGTCCAAAGCATCGGGTTTGTGTGCATGTGTAGCAGAACTATTGATGGGAAAAAAAAAATCCATTGATGAAAATAGAGCTTAAGTTACCAATGTGTATGACCAGGGAGCTCTTGCACTGGAACCTTGGCCTTCCGAAGATCCCAGATATGTATGCCAGATTCATCATCTGCAGAGACCTACACAATCGACAGTCCAATGCATTAAGTGAAAAAACTGATACCATTTATGTAAAATAGTGGATCTACTTCCTTTCAGAACAAAAATTCTAGCCAGGATTATTAATTTCCCATGAAATGAGAAAAGTAGCTCCTGTTCCTTCCCATTTTTATATAACAGTTTGTTTTCTCCCTGTGGAGTACTGTTTTCTTAGATTGAATTTTTTTTTTTTCTTCTAATAAAGCTCTTTATTTGCATTGGTTGACAAGCATTTAAAATATTTACAAACAAAATGAAGTCTTACAAGTATATGTTCTCTCTTAAGATTGTAATCAACATTCCGTACATGGGCACGCTCAATTGAATTAACCTTCCTGTAAATTTGCAGACATATCAAACTCAACATAATGGTATACATTGCAGTAGCCAAAAAGTAAAAGACTATTGATGAGGTGAAACCCGCTAGCTGTGCATACAGGAATACAATATATTAACTTTCATGGGAGAGGAACAAATGAAGACATACTCCATAGTCCGTAAGTCCCAAAACTGAATAGATGATTCGGAAGTCGCTGCAACAGAATTCAGATCATGTGGATTCCATGCTCCACCAGATAAAGAATGCCGCATCCCAGCAGACTCCTTAGATAAAACCTATAATTAGCACACACAAAAAAAACTATTATGAAATAAAGTACCTCAAAGGTTGACTGTAAACACAGGAGCCAAAAATCATTCGAAGGGTTATATTCTCTCCCTTCTTATAGCTAAAATCACCTCAGCACTTTTTTTTGAAGAGTCTAAACTCCACAAGACAAGGTTTTGTTCATCCATGCTGATTAACTTGTCAGATTTTCCAGAGGGACACCAAAGAACGCTGTTTCAACAACAGGAAAACAGAGACTTCATGAAAATGAGGATAAGAAAATAACACATTCTAAGACTTTTGGACCACCAGACTTACATACACACTCAGTAGATACACAGCTGAATTTGTAAACCATGAACTCACCAATTAATCTTACCAACATGTGAATCAAGGGAAGCAACACACTCCAATGTTGAAGAATTCGATTGACCATAGGGCTCAGGGATCTGCCATATCGCTGCCCCAAATGAATCGCCTTGAAATGAAAACAACATTGTAAGTCACCTCAGACAATTTCAATTTTTGAGCGGTGGTTTGACCAAAACATGATATTTTCAACTAAATACGAATGCCGAGATGGATCAATCATAGTACGAATTTCTGAAATTACCAGAATTGTTACTTCAAATCAACTCAAAATTAGCAATTTCGAGATAAATGAGAATTACCAGTGGAGAAGACAGTGGAGAAAATGCGTTGATCGAAAGGGCAAGAAGAAAGGTCCCAAATCTCATTAGGATGAGAGAACAAGCCCTCACATAACAGCTCAGATCCACCAGGTGACAAACGAAGCAGATGAACCTACAAAAAAAAAAAAATCAACAATCAGAATCCTCCGATCCAGAAACAAGAAGAAACAGATCTAGCGATCGAGCACCTCGTTTTCTTCTTTCAAACTTAGGGTTCCAGTGAGGAAGCTGGTGTGATCTTTATCTGCTTTCACATCCGATATACATCTGGCCTGAAAATCATCAAATGCCCCCACCATTAGAGAAGCTGTAAATGGTACAAAGGGTCCAAAACGAAGAAGATGATGAGCTACCTGATACTTCAAACCGTAACCTATACCAGACGATCCACCTTGCATTGTGTTCTCAACGCCGGAGCAGATGTTACGGATTCAGGAAGAAGAGATCTCTTCAACGATTTGCCGCTCTCTCTCAGTGTGCTGGTTTCGAGCAGATTATATTAATGGGCCTCTATCATGACATTTAAGCCCAATTTAAGAACCCACTATACTTAAAAAGGGCTTGTCCAAATTGAATAATTAATTAGTAGTTTTTGTAACAAGGTAAGAAAATCATGATAGCAAGTTAATTTCTTTAAGGGTTTGACAAAATAAGTATTGTATCCAAAAAGAAAGAATTATAAATTTTAGATCCACATAAAATAAATTATATATCTAGATTTAAATAAAATTAAATATATGAACAAATGTGAAAATTATACAGATTCAAATATGAAAATAAGTAAACAGATTCATATATATTATCTTGTTAATCATCTTGGCAATACCAAAACTATTTTTTGGAAAAATATCATGGAATTAAAGAGAAAGATATCATACATTCATATCTAATTAAGGTAATCAAAAGATGTATTTAGAGCACAAAAGACAAGTTTGGAACCTCATTGTTATACAATTGAAGGACACTTGTCACACTTATTAATATAAGTGAACATATACAATGAAGATAATGCTCTCACATGAATATACATGTCATTTTTTGGGTATTAATATACATGTACATATGTCAATATACATATGATATACCTTGGAGGACAACAAATACTTTTCTTTTTCCTCTTGTCACAAACAACGAAAAAAGTAAAACTTTTCTTGCAGTACAAACTAACCGTATGTATTTACTCCACGTCTTCCAAGAATCAATCTCTTCAAAATACTTGTCAACCTGGCCTAAAAATATACTACTATAGTTAACGGTGGTCAAAACAGTAAGTAACTCTACACAATTTTAAAACGCATAGTGAAAGAGTTAATACGTTTTTATATTCGGATTAATGAGGAGCACTAAATTAAAATGACCAAAGATCTATAACTTCTGTGAAGTCATTGTAAACATTTATAACAAGTAAATTTCTTTACTAAAGCAAACGAAGAAACGTGGAAACCCAAAAATAATACTCCTTTTAAACGTAATCAGATACATATTGAATCTTCAGAGGAAAAAAACGAAAACAAAAATATTAAAAAAAAACAAAAAAAACAAAAAAAACCCACGCTTAATGTTGATATCACCTTCCACCCCAACAAACCAGCGCCACTCCATATCAGTCCAAAACTTTTGAAAAGAAAATTATATACACAAGACCTGTGTTAATACAAATACATTGATCACACCTCTCTCTCTCTCTCTCTTTCTCGGCAAATGAAACGTGTTTGAACAATCCACGGTGGTTATTTCTCAGATCACTCTACGTCGCCGTCATGTACGTTAGCAGAAGAATCTCCGACGTCGATCGTCGTCTTCTCCTCCTCCTCCTCATTATACCTTCTCTCTCCCTCATCCTCCTAACCTCTTTCTCATCTCTCTCCCTTGATCCTTTCCCTACTCTAACCCCTCTTCGTAACCTAATCTACACTCATTCCCTAACCGTCACGACTGAAACCTCCGATTCCAACCATGAAGACGTAAACCAACGGCGGAGGAGGAAGAAGGAGGAGTTGATGAATTCGAAGATCGCTGTGTGTTTGGTGGGAGGAGCGAGGCGGTTCGAGCTAACCGGACCGTCGATTATGGAGAAGATCTTGAAGGTTTATCATAATGCTGATTTGTTTCTTAATAGCCCTCTCGATAAAAACTCGTTTAAGCTACGGTTCCTTAAGGACGCACCGAGACTCGCTTGGGTTCGTATCTTTGAGCCTCAGCCCATCAACGAAACTGAGCCTATGGTTCGAGTCCTTACAGCCGATGGTTCCCCCAATGGCATTAAGGTAACCAAATCGTCAACTGATCTTTAATATCTATTTTCCCTTTTTTATTTATGGAAAGTTATCAACTCTTATTTACTTCCTTACTAACTTTCAATTAATTTTTAATATAATTCGGAAATATATAATTAAGGATAAGAAAGTGGTGGTAAAGAGGGGTCAGTTTAGTTGGAGATGTATAGGGTTGGTGCAACCGTTTCTTGATCCGTACGTTACTCATGTGAAGGAATTTTTGTTTGATGATGGGTTTGGTTGGGTTTGGTATTTAGGGTTGGTTAGTGTTATCATCCTATATTCCTATACGATACTATCTTTTTCTCTCGTTATTTTTATTATTGCGGTCAAAAATGGCGTTTCAAAGACGCATAACGGACGACACTATGTTAATGGTGGTGAAATTTATTAATTATTGACTACATTTGTTAAATGTGGGTCAAATTGCCTCTTTCTCGATTCGGGTTCTGTAGTTAGTATGAGGTTTGAAAAATTGAATTTATGATTTCTTGGAAATTTCCATTATCTAGCAACTTGTAAGGTTGTGTTTGTGTAGTCAGTCTCCTACTAGTCCGAGTTTGAAATTGACCACTTACCTTTTCCGGACCCATGTTTCCTCATAAAGAATATCTTGATTAAGTTGACAGCATGTGATTTACATATATATGGGTTGTAGAAAAAAAATCGTATCCTCTTCTTTTTGGTATATTTTACTTCTTTTTTTTATGGAATGGTTATGCGTCGCATGATGGTGTTAATGTGTGTGGCATGATGATGTTAAATGTGTGGCGTGATCATGTGAATCAAGAGACTTTTTAGTGTATATTTCTAAGCATGTTTCTAGCTAGCATATACATTGGTATAACTTTGTTACATTAACTTGTTTATGTTGGAACTTTTACACCTTCATGTGAAAATAATAATGGTGTTGAGTCGTATATTATTAATTCACGTTTACTTGATTCCTAACATTTTGTCAAAATTTCTCTTTTCATATTTATTAAGATAATCTGATTCAAGTATATATATACACGAATTGCTTTTTTCTTTTGGTGGATTATTTTTTCATCAGTGTGTTCTTCTTTGGTGTGAATGACAGGGCTTGTTACAATACTTCAACCTCGTAGAAGGTTGCATCACCATGATTAAGGCATACCAAAACGAGAATAACTTTACATACGACTGGATAGTCCGGACGCGTGTAGACGGTTACTGGGCCGACCCGTTGGAGCCAGAATATTTCATACCAGGTCAGTACCTTGTCCCACCTGGATCCTCCTACGGTGGCCTCAACGACCGCTTCGGTGTCGGCGATCTTAAAACCTCAACGGTGGCTCTCTCTCGCCTCTCCCTAGTTCCGGACCTCGACTCAGCCGGATTAACTCATCTAAACTCCGAGTCCGCCTTCAAGGCTCAGCTCACAACCCACCGTGTCCCTTACGTCACTAAACCTCTCCCTTTCTGCATCATGACCGACCGGACCTACGATTTCCCTCCATCTAGCTATGGAGTTCCCGTGACAGCTCTTTCCAGCCACGGACCTTTAAATGGTGCCAAGTGCCGTCCTTGTACGGTGGCTTGCAAAGGCTCATGCGTGGCGGAAGTGATGGGGAAACTGAAGAGAGAGTGGAGCTGGACGGAGTGGGAAAACGAGGCAGTGAAGCTGTGCGACGCACACGGGGAATGGGAAGAAGGTTGGGAGAAGATTTTCGACGAGACCGCCGGAGAAAAACTCGCACGTGCGAGGAAACGAGTCGGAGGTTTGGATTCGAGGAGATGTGTGGAAGAGTTTGAAAAGATGAGAGGATTGACCGTTAAATGGGAAGCTCCCGCCTCCGAACAGATTTGTACTTTGGGCTTACGGCCTAATTAGAACATATCGGGCTTTAGGTCCAACTTACTTCGCTAACAAATTTTCCCCTCTTGTAGTGTTTTTTGCTTTGAACAAAAATTTCAGGTTACATTAAAAAAAAATATATACAAACTAGACGAGTGCAGTTCAATTAGGGGTCATTGGGATTTGAGCTGAACCAAAAATCATCCTTTTCTGTATTGTGTATTCACTATTCCAGTGGGAAAGAAAATATATGAAAATCAAAATAGATTAAATATGGAGACTCTCTCTATAGATATGATCTACCACATGGAAGAAGCACCAAATCTATTCGTAAATTGAACCTGTTACAGGATTCGATTTCATCCACTAGTGCAGATTTTATACAGCTTTTACGCATCATTACATTTCATCTTAATTTACATGTACACACTCTCTAACGAATCAATGATTTACTACTGAAATCTCTTTTCCAATGGGTTTGGAACTTGGAAGACGGGCCAACCAAGTAAACACACATTGATATGTATATAAAATAACTCACGTGACTTTGCATTTGGCAGATGGATTGGAATCTCGGCGCATCACGCGAGAAAATATGCGAGACATACATATATATATATATACATTGGCCGTCTTGTATTTTCTACAAGCACCTAACTATATATGTTTTGTTTTCTATTAGTTTTTTTTTTTCTTTTGCTAAACTTGTAAATATCATATAACATGAAAGATAGTGATACAATGGATATAGAAGTCCTGAGAGTTCGAGCTTTGTCAAGAAAAGTGAAAAACAAAATTCAAATTAAGAGACCAAACTCAAACTCAATTAGCTAATGCATACCACCTAATATATTTTTTGTATAAGATTTTCAGTGCTACCATTATAAGTGTTCATCTGAAAATAAAAACTATCGCATTCAACAACACATGTACTACTCCAAACATGCTAAACCATGAATACACCAGCGAATTGAGGATAACACATACTAGAGGAGTTCAGTTGAAAATGATGGATCGTCTTAAAATGTCTTGTAGCAAACTTAAATTGTCGGGCAAGGTTTCAACATCCAGTTAGTCATGTATATTAATGGTATTTCTCCAAATAATGACATATCATTCATGAATCATATGGACCATCGATCGATCTCTAATTCACCACAAAAATAAAATTTATATAATCAATATAATTTAGAAACAAGATGCATGTGGATCTAAAACACTTGAATCGAGAAATATCTCAAAAATCAAATCACAGTGTCTGTGGCTCCTCACATTTCATTTCATTACAAGTCAGTTTGGCAATTAAATTCCAGATATCAAGTCACATGCCTAAAAAATCTGTGACTGCTAGCGTTAAGTAAGGCCCCTCTTGATGTTTGTGGATCTACGCCGAAACACTCGTTTTTTAAAGTCCACACGCTTGCACTACCTAATTATCTAATGCTTAAGTTTACGTAAAATATCGAATTAAGTGATATAAACTGAGATTAGCCAATTATATACGATTGTTTGTTTCGTGATCGTGGTAAGACAAAAGTGAAGTGTCGTGAACAAGAAAACCGTGATTTTGATCCTTTGATGCATAGTTGGAGCTACCCTTCTCTGACACGTACCAGCTCACCCCTCGTGCTTTGTTAATTACTAGACACGTACTATACATAATCTTAAGTGTAACAGTTTATTAATATAAATGACCGGAGATTAATATATAGACTATCATATATATGTACATGATAAGAATACATACGATATAATATATAACGATATATAGACGACGAATAAGTTTGAAAGTCTTGGGTCAATTTGATTATTTGGCTGTTTTCGTCGTCGATTAAACAAACGTTTTCATGTTACTATTGGACGAACGTATCTTTGAGTTTTGTTCGGTTTATCCGTTACCTTAAATACCGACTATCGTCGATATGTCAATTGTGCTTAATTTCAGTCGCTGATAAAGTTAGCTTCAGTATATATAATATATGACACCATGGCCAATTTAAGATTTGTTGAATGATCTTTTTGAGAGCGCCGTTGGATCTGTTTTATGCCTTCTTTGGAAGCCGATCATTTTTATTTTCAAAGGACTCCTTATATCATTTATCGTTTTATAATTTTATCCATGTAATATGTATTTTATATACACGTTTAATTTAGTTGATAGTTAAAATATAATTTGAACGAACCGAATCGCCGAATGTGGAAAAAATATAGTTTATTAGACTTTAGACCTCTAGCTATAGTCTTCAAATTTAATTATTCAATACATGTTGATGATCGTTCAAAACCATGTGAAAAAAAAAATCTGTCTTAACGCGTCTAAACCCCTAGCAAGATAGTTTACGGAAGACTCAAGTATGTTTATAATAATCAAACTAAAATAATACGATACTACCGAGTGTGAATATTACTTGTTTTTTTTTTTAGAAAGGAGAGAGCAGTTTTTTGGATTGGAGTTGTAGAGCTAGGGTGGCCAACCCACGTGTGTCCCCTCTCCGCTTGAAATGGAACATTAGTTATGTCTCTTAACTCGTTAAATCTGATTAATATATTCATCATTCATGTTAATATGATTTCAAATCTCCTAGAATAGTACAGATAACTATTGCAAACGATCTACGTCCTTTAACCTTAGCATCAATATATATGCTCTTAATTACATAACACTGATGAGTTTTTTTTTTCTTGTTCGGTAACGACATGCATAGCATTGAGTTTGGCCCTCTACTTTATATATAACATGTTATGTGTAACGTCCAGGTAATCAAAACGTCTAATAAACAGGTGTACTATCGTGTAAAATAGGTTACAAGTGTAAATATATCTATCTGAACCGAAGTAAATAAAAGAAATATAGTTGGGGAAATAAGAAAGCTAGCAATTATTCTCAAAAAGTAGCACATAAACTCATCCCACGTGCACATCATCTCATACTTAAATTGCCGTAACACCCACACCCACCGGTATATATAAACGCTCCTTTCTTCTTTCCTCTATCACCATTTCAAAACTCAAACCAATCTCTCTCTCTTCTCTATCTATATCCTCAGAGAATGGTTGGAGTTTTCCGGCGATCACTCTCATTCCCAAACAAACCTTGCGGCCGTTCATCTCCACCGTCGAAGCCACGTGTCTCTCACCACACAAGATCCATCAGTCTACCCTGTCGATCTCATCCCTTAATCTCCCACGTTAACCACGAGATCTCCCAGCTCAAATCCTGGTTCTCCTACTCCGGCGAATCTAACCGCCGCACCACCTCCTGGATCACCGACGGTCTCAGCCTCCTCAGGGACGTTCAAGAGACGCTGGCCGATATACTCCAGCTCCCTCAATCTCAAGAATCTCTACGGAACCGTCCCGTCTTCTTCGAGAATCTTCTTGAAGACCTTCTCCGGTTCGTCGACGCTTACGGGATCTTCCGTACGTCGATCCTCTGCCTCCGTGAGCACCAGTCCGCCGCTCAAGTCGCTCTCCGTAAGAAAGACGACGAGAAAATCGCATCGTACCTGAAGTCTCGCCGATCTCTCGCGCGAGATATCGCGAAACTGACTTCGTCGATCCGCGAGCCGAAGACCAAACACCAGCACTTCCACGTGGACATCATGGACGGAACGTACGGTGACGCAGAGCTAGCGTCAGTTATAAGTGACGTCATCGAAGTCACTGTTATGGTTTCCGTTGCTCTTTTTAACGGCGTTCACTTCTCTCTCCGTTCGACCAAAACGACGGCGTTTATTGGGTTCTTGAAACGTTCCGATAAAAAGGAGAAACTAGACGAATGTATAGAGGAGTTGAAGCAAGTTGAGGAGAAGAGTTTGGTAGGTCTAAGCAAAAAGAAGAACGAAGAAGTAAAGAGTTTGATGAAGAAGATGATGGAGTTGGAGAATTCGATCCGTGAAATCGAATGTGAAAGTGAGAAAGTGTTTAGGGGTTTGATTAGCACTCGAGTCTCATTGCTTAATGCCCTAACACATTAACTAATTATCACTTTCATTCTTCTTCTTCTTCTTCTTTCTTTTCTCTGTCTATTTGCGTTTTTGTCACATTATTTTATTATTTGTATGAGTTAACTACATGAAAGAAAATAGAAAAAACAAAAAAAGACAAATAAGAAAAGATACTTTACATTTCCTTCTATATATCTTTTTTAATTCGAGAATTAAAATCACCCTTATCACCCTTTTAAAGTTGAACTTTGCTAATTTATCACAAATCAGCAAGAGTGTTAAGCTAGAAATAAATAATAAAGCAGAACGAACAACAAAATGTGACAGAAATTTTTCAATCTTTCAATAAATGAATCATGATTTTGTTACCGTAATACCAAATTTTACTTCTTCTTTTTTTTTTTTTGGTAAACTTTATGTTATTATTTAGAAATATACCAAAAAAATTTTATCCTAGATTTAGTTGCGTCCACGATATATCTAATGATTGTTATAATTTTGGTTCATATATATAAGAAAAAAAGATAGTTCTTTCAATAAGAAAATAATGCATGGTAACGCGTAAAGAACCATGGTCCACTACCTCCATTTATTTTCAGAAGGAAGCCATGGCCATGGCCATGCATTATTATTTGGCAGACAACAAAACATTAAACATAAGAACAGAAACAGCGTGCGTGAACAAACTCACTTGACACATATATTTGCCGGAAATAATTGGTAGAAATTTCAATAATAGGACATACATAACTTGTAAAGTATTTTAATTTCACGTTGATGGGATTCGTTCTAATATTTGGTGGCCTCTCTTTAAGTTTTAATTAGTGATAACCCAGAATGCCACCACATGGTTTGTTAGGGATGCTTTTCAATTATCATCTTGATCTGATTCGGATTAAGACTTAATTATTTGATCATCACCGTATTAAAACGTGGGGTTTGCTGGAAAACAAACCGTAGTAGTATATAGTGCCATTGTTAATTTAACAATTAATTAGCTACTAACGAAATTAGGATCTTTCCCCTTTTAGCGGCGGTACGTATCAGTGGCGGTCATCACCGGTTCGACCTGTCTAAATCAATAGAACCGGACTAAATCACTCATAAGCAGCCATAGCCCATAATATATTAAATCCGGTTAACAGTTGAGCAATATAATTGGGTTGGTTGCTTTGAAATGCAACTTGCGTGAATTATTGTTATTTTGATAGAAACCTTTACTTAGTTTGGAATAATATTACAACGAAGCAAAATAAAAAAAAATGACAACTCGGATTTGGTCATGGCTTCAAGCCAACTCCCAACAAAGAAGATAACACAGATGGAAAAAGGGATATTGGTCTTCAATGCATGATTAGTGCTTGATTAGTTTTTAGGACCCAATTAAAGTTAATGGCGATAGCTACTTAGAGAAGAGATTAATCATACTCCTAATTAGAGCATCAACTTTACATGTTCTTAATAATCAAGGACTTCAAATATCTTTACCCAATTATTGGTCACTATTTTGTTTATACCTCAATTATGAATAGCTGGTTAATTTTTGTCAATATGTATATAGTTGGTTTTAGTTTAAATGTTAGGTTTCATCCGTTATTTCAAGTGAATGTTTTTAATAGCCGAATATATATCTTTTTATGACATTACGTATGCATTACCTATTATTAGCTATCCGATAAGACAAAGAAAAAACGCATTTAAATCATGTATTACAAAATTGGGGGTTTGATTTACGGATAGCATATCTAAGCTAGCTAGACATGTTAGGTTATGACGTTATGTTTACCAATTCTATTATTTCAGATTCGTCAGATAGATTGAATATATGGTTTAGGTTGGTGAAAGAGCATCGTTGATTCTTAGGTTCTATTGAAACAGAAGTGCTAACAAATTGATGGCGTGAAAAATTTAGAGACAGAGATTTAAATTTGGTTAGACGACGTGAAAATTTAACTAGCTGTGGATCTGTAAAGAAGTCAATTTATTTTTACTTTTTTTTTGTTGTTATTTGGAATTTGATTTGAAAATCTTGGGAAGTTAAAATTTTGAGTAGCATTTATAGAACTTGAAATCTGGTGTGGTTTGAATTTTGAGTATAAAACTTCATGGGGCTGTCTGTATATTCTAATTCACAAATCACAAGTATATTTGTATAATAAATGTATGATTAGAAGCAAATGGTTAATTTCACGCCTTAAGTATATATGTGATTAAAAGCAATGGTTTGTTTTCATACCTTATTAGACACATGCGACATGTCCTCCCGAGTACCGCCTCATGTTTTAAGACTCGAGTGGGGAACAACTCGCAGTTCCTAGCCATGTCACTATGTCACGTACGCATGTCTTCGAAGACTTTCCCTAACGTAAAGGCCTTACGATATGACCGGACTTTATATATAGGCCCGTTTTTGGTCATTAGTTAATCGTATAAAGAGGCCCGTTTCAGCCCAATAAGTAATCCTATAAAAGACGTTCCCGCCGTAGCCCAATATATGTGTTCCAAATTTTATTTGCATTTTTTGCTGTTAACAACAATTTGTTTTTTTCTCCTTTTATCTATCTCCGATATATTTAGTGCTCTCTTCTCTCTCTTGCATGCTTAGATTGCGATTTAAGTTGGAACCCACGTAGAGGTGTGTCTTAGGCGTGATCCGAAACCTAGATTCGATCCAGTAGTAAAAACTTTTTGGAAGATGGAAAGAAAAGTTATGGCTTCTAGAAACGTGCAACGGAAAGAGAAGAATAAAGAGGAATACAGGCCAAGCAAGCAAGTTTCGATCGGATGAATCTGAACAGCCTGAGAAGAGTTGTTTCATGTTTGACAGAAAAAGAAGAAGATGCATGTGTCACTAATGCTAGTCATTAACAGTACTATGAAGAGGATAAGGTAATATCTGAGACGCGACTTGCTTAAAGAAGAGAATGAAGCGTATGCCAAGCAATAAAGACTCTCGGTACAAGACGCTATTTCATGATGCACTGGCTTTTTGCAAGCGATCAGCGCAGATAACATTAAATTAAATTAATATATAGGCTAGTTAATTAGTAATATTTTTTTTTTGGACAAACTAGTTAATAATATACTTTGGCTAAAGTAGTTAATAATATTTTTAAAGTAGTCTCTATAACCTTTTTAAAAAGTAATCTTTGGTATCTAGGAGACATCAGACATGAATCCATATTATCAATAGAGTGTATATGTAATCATGTTTTGGTATGCGCGCGATAACGTTATAAACACATCTAGGCTGTCACAAAACCAACTTCGTTGATGGTTTTGTTTAATAAGCCAAGTCTTTCTCCGTTCGTGCACATTCCCAGTTTTTCCCCAATTGGAAAAATATAATATTACATGTATGCGTGTCTATGTTATATAAAAATGGTACTTGACATTTTCTTGATATATGAAATCTCCAAGGATGCAATATAATAAATGTTACTGGGATTACGAGAGCGACGTCGCAGCCAACAGTTCTTGTTTCTTGTTGGTTTCATATTTCCGCAGCCCATGCATAAAGGTTGCCACACATGCAAGTAGTATAGCAACTGAAATTTGGAAATTAAACCATTTCAAGTTTTTTTTTTTTCCCCTCAAGCTTTGTTTAAACTATAACATTGAGGACCAAGAAAGAATCTTCATCATGTTGTTAAAGGAAAGGTTATACAAAAAGATATGTAGGAATTACTTCGCATATTTACCTTAAAAAATAAACAAATGTACAATATGATCAAGAAAAAAAATTATCCTTGGTGGTGGCTGGATGGTTTCAGTTTTAGATTAATTGGAGTAAATCTCATTATAGCTTTTTTATTTTGTCGACAATCTCATTATAGCTTTACGACAATATATAGGTGCAAAACATTACACGTCGGTCATTTGATCATTTTTGAACTTTAGTTTGAATGTTGTGTTGTGTCCATGATGATCTTGCATGAAATTATTGGCTAAGAAGCATGTTCACCTATCTGATTAATCAGTTGTTTCAACGATATTTGAATATTATTTTAGTACTAAAACTATTAACCAAAAAAAAAAAAAGTTATAGTTGACAACAAAAACAAAAAAAAATATGAAAAATTATCATTATGAAGAAGAGGAGTGTAGATTTGTCGTTTGACTGTCGGAAGAAACTCAATTGCTACAGCCAATTCCAGACTGTATCTATATTCGTGTATAGACTGGACCTATACGTGCACGCATACGTATACACAAACTCAAACATGAAGAATGTACATATAGACACATACATATATATGGGTGAGAGTATTAATGAGAGAAATTGAAACTTTTGTTCGTTGACTAAATACATTTATATCTGATCTGTAGAGTGAATTAGGCATGGCTGTTACTTCATCATCATCATCTAATGCCCACGTGCGTTCAACAAGCTGGTCTGAAGACGTTCGTCCTCTGTCTCGAGCCATCGATGATCATCTTCTGATACTTAAGAAAAGACCAGACTCTGCTCGTCGGAAACTCGGAGTGTTAAAGAATCTGTACGAGGTTGTCGAAGTTTTCCTCAGCTTTCAAACGACGAAAACGCAAAAAGCTTTCACCGGATTTGAAGATGTTTCTGACGGTTTCCTCGAGGTTCTTGATATCTGCAGCACGATCAGAGACGTTCTGATGCAGATAAAGGAACAAGTCAGGGAACTGGAATCGAGCTTGAGGAGAAGAGTGATCAGGAGCAAATCAGGAGAAGATCAAGAAGCTTTCGTGTCGCGTGAGATAGACATGTATGTGTTTAAGAGGAGAGCCTTGAGCAGAACGATTGTGAAACAACTGAAGAAAACAGAGGATAAGATGAAGAAGAAGAAGAAAAGAGATTGTGGAGACGTCATTAACGTAATGAAAAGAGTCGAAAAGACGAGCTTCGATGTTATGGTGTCTTTGTTGATCGAAGTGGTGACGAAGAATCAGAGCGATCATAAGCAGAGATCGAGGAAAGGGATTGTGTCGAGGATTTTGAATAGGAAGAATCAAGAAGTTGATGTGGAGGAGCTGAAGAAGCTGAGAGAAACAGAGCATGGCATTGAAGAAACAGAGAGAGAGTTGGAGAGTGTCTATAAGAAGCTGTTGAAGACAAGAGTTTCTTTCCTTAACATGCTTACTCTTTGAGATTTTATGGTTAGATGTAATTTTTTTTGTTCATGTAAAGTATTGGCTTCAGCCGTTTAGTGTAGGCTAAAGTTTTACTCGTAAATAATTGTGTGTATCGTTCTTCAATCATATTCAGACGTTACTTGTCAAGAACATTAGCTGATCACTTCGGTATTTTATAAATTTGTCATCAAGTTTTATACAATCACAAGACAGAGCACATCACTCAGTTTTCTCTTCGGAAGTTGTTGTTGCAAAAACAGAGCAGGGGTGAATTTGAGATAATGGGCTTATTAATTGGGTCCAGTGGGCTTTACTTATTTTCGATCTGCTGTCTTGAGAAAAATAGCTAAATCATACGGAAATTGCTAAAAGAAATACGCAATAATAAATTAATAATGTCTTCTTCTTCCCTTTTTTTCTATTACGCAATAATGTATTTTTGTAATATATAAAATGCAATAATGTCTCTACATTATGATGACAACTGAATATATATAATGGATAGTTGATTATTCATTATAAATTATAATTTGTATAGCTATACCTTCCAAATGGGAAATCGAATAATAAGATTGCTCCACTAACAACAGAATAAAAATGAATATGTTTGGAGGGATCTGAATCTAATTATATACTTTTTGAGGAGATATTAATTTGTTGTAAATAACCTGAGATAGAAAGATCTTAAACACACAATCTAATCCAGCATGTATCCATGCATCGAGCCGTCGAGGTGGTTACCATAGTGATATAGAAATTATAAATACGTACATACAGGTAATACGTATGTGTGTGTATTCTCATTATCCACGTTATAAAGAAGGTATATATTTGCTAATTGCTATTAAATTTGTGAAACTATGATTATATTGTTTGCTTGGTCGTCGAAAAATCTATATCGATAGGAAGTGAACCACAACCGCATGTATGTATTGTGCCAAAGATATTTGAGTATTCGGATCTTATTATAATTTTTGGGTTATATTACCTTTTTCTAGATAGTAAATAGATCCTGAAGACAAAAAAAAAAAAAAAAGATCCGTAATCCATTTAACTTGATACATAAACATCTCTGACAAAACACGTAACACAAATATTTAAAGTCTGATCCAAAATCTAACATTTCTCGTTCCATTTAATATTCGTTTCGTCCATTCCACATTGTTGCAATTTACCGACACAGCCTGGCACCGTCTCTCGTGCATGCATGGTACCTAAACCTGATAACTTCAAGTACCCCAATAATAAATTATTTAAATCTTTAAAACTATAAATTATAAAAACAGAATATCTAAACGAATCCACAATGTACCCTAATACACGAGTGCTTCTTACGTACAAAGAAGGTTCCTTGTGACCTGTTTTGAATCATTTAAACCATTATTTTGATAATACCTCCAAAGTGAGCTGTTCCCCAGATGTCCCACGTCCGTACAAAAACCCAAACTTAGGATCCTTCATCGTACTTTCCCTCAGATCCCTCTTCTCCTCTATATATAATCTCACTCTTACACACATTCTACATATATCTAATCTTCGTCTAAAAACTCTTAAAAAGCCCTAAAAACCAATCAAATCTACTCTTTCTATTCGTTTCTTAACATTAATTCTTAGCTAAGATTAAGATCTATATGGCTCAGAATAACTTTGAGGGTTTGAGAGAGCTACACGACTGCGTAAACTATCTCCTTGATCACTGTCCGAGAACAAGAGAATCTCTGTCTCAACAAGGACAAGAAAAATGGACGGAACAAGTTTCAGAAGCTTCACTGAAGATGTTAGACATCTGTAACGTATCCAAAGATGTGATGACACTCGTGAAACACAACTTGCAAGATCTACAACTGGTTTTACGTGGTAACGAATCATCTGATGTTAACGAGAAGATCGCTGCGTATAATCGGTATAAGAACAATCTCAAGAAGGAGACGCTGAAATGCTTAAACTGTCTGAAGAACATGAAAGGAAGCGGAGGAAGAGTGGCCATGCCAATAGAACAGAACCTTCTGTTCGTTGCTGAGGTTTTGGAAGAAGTAAGAAGAGTCGTTGTGACGATGGTTGAGTCTTTGTTCTCGCTTGGTTGTATTCCTTGGCTAGAGAAGAGATCGAGCAAAGGGTCTTTGTCTTCCATCTTTACCATTCGGTCTTCGTATTTATTAGATGATGTATGGGACGAGACCGCGGTGCAAAGTGCGACTACGAGGTTGGAGGCGGCGGAGATTGCTATAGAGGAGCTCGAGATAGAGTTGGAGTTTATTTTCCGGCGATTGATTCAGACGAGAGTTTCACTTCTTAATATTCTCACCAACTAGATAATATATGGTATATCCGGTTAGGTTTTGCTTCAAGCGGACATGTTTAGTTTACAGTAGATAGTTATAGATTGAATTGTAACATTATATTCTTTATTCTTACGTATTTTTTGAAGTAAAATTATATATTTTACCCGTTTTCGTATTAAATTGAAGCCAGACACTTTTCGTCTTCACCAGTACAAGTTCAGTTGCATGCGTATTGCTCTGTATACTTGGATGAGTTAGATCTAACACCACGAAATCCCTAGCGTTTCTTTGAAACTCATTACATTGCAGGCTTGGATCTTAAAACACGAATCTCGCAATTCGTTATATTTCAAATTAACTTGTAGACAGCAAAAAGACAAAATCATCAGGAAGTGCAACACAAGTAGTAACTTTAATAACAGAAGTAGCAAGTCTTTTAAAGTTGTGTACACAAACAATTCACGTCTTCTTCACGGTTCTCTTTATTTCGACATATGAAGCTGAAAATTAATAAAACAAGAGACGATTCCTTTTTTTCGTCATGATCTTCAAAGGTTCAATGAGACCTAATAGCAAAACCCAGAAAGGATATCAGTAATTTTGAGCAATGCTTATAAGGTTGCGTGAAAGGTGGACTTGCAAACAGAAAACCGATGTCTCAATAAAGAGGAAACTCAAAACATTTACCACTAAATTGATAACAAACATTCCAGATAAAGGCAAAATAGTGTCAATGATTCATCCTAGTGGATATATAAATCAAGAACATCCTTTTAGAGAAGTTAAAGATCCTCTAAACATTCACCGTTTTTATGAACCAAAACCAGATAAAAGCTACCATTCTATTTCAAAACAAACTACAGAGCGCCTAACAAGACATTTCTTCAGTAAGTAACAACTTAGAATTGCTAATATACATAAGGGTATCTAAACATAATGTAGAGAAGTTAACTTTCACTAACTGATGTCTTACTAAGTAGCATTTTCTACCAACAATAATGAGCGCTTAATACAAAATGGAAGTTTTTTTAATCATCTTTCTTTGTAACCCAAGTACACAACTGCGCTTAAGAACTTAAATGATTCAATAAACAGTTGTACTAGTAGGGACATTACCTAGTGGTGATCCCCATGACCATGATCACCATGGCCATCCCAAGGGTGCCTCCATCCCTATCAGATGCCAATAGCAAGATCACATGTTAGCCATCATGGAAAAATTGGGACCTAGAAACTTTACGATTGTGTAGCACAGATAAAACGAAACGAGAGTCTTACCATAACTACAGGACCATCTTGCTTTGCCCTGTACAGAATCCAGAACCTGAACGTATTCAAAAAAAAAAAAAAATTAAGATGTGAATTGCTGGAAAATGTAAAATATAGGCGATTACTTCTCTTTAATCAATTTCATCAAACCGAAATTGAAATTGGCTCCTTCCGGAAAAATAATCCAATTCAAACCAACATCTACCTGAGTAGCTTCAATTCAAATCCACATAATCCAATTCCAATCCCATAGTGAGATCTAGCTTCCGATCCAGATTAGCTTAAGTCCCAAAATAAAAACAAAAAGCGAATTAGGTGGGGAGAGAGAGAAATGTACCACATAACGGCGCACAAGCCTTTTCCGGTGACCGTGTGCCACGTCTTGGGAGTGTGTACGGTGACTCCCTTGTAAGTAATACCTCCGCCACCCATTTTCTTCAAACCCTAGATTCCCCGATTCGCACTTCAATTTCAGACCGAAAGCTTTCTTCCTCGTCTGCTTTGACAATACTCTCTCTCTCTCTACCTGAGATTTGATTCAGACATTTGAGGCCGAGTGGGCTTTTCAGTAAGGCCTCAACTAAAAGGCTTAAGCCAATTAATAAGCCCATTTATTACTATTTCTCTCACTTCAATGTTTTTTTTTTGGGTCTACTACGACGTTCAAGTTCAACCACCTTTTTCTTTGTTGCTTAAAATTTTAAGCTAGAGTGGTATTGGAATTGGATTATGAAGATTAAATGGATTTAATGATTAGTGACATTAGTGTAATCAGATTTTCGGAATATAGGACCAAATTGAACTCAGTTGCTACTAATTAAGAAGTTTGGAATATGATGATTTACAACACCATTTTTCTTTAAAAATTACAACTACATACATTCACATTGTTAGGAAACTAGTGACTGGTTCGGTCCACGAAAGAGAGGTAAAAGAGAAGAGATTGGAGCTCCCTTGCAGGTGCTGCTCGTGGAATAAACCTCTGACTTCTCCACACCATCATTCTCATCGGACATACTTCTCCGCACAAGCATGATGATGTGGTCCATTAGACTTCCATCGCAAGGAACCTTTAAAGGGCCATCAATGGTAGTCCCAAACTCATCCTCAGCCATCTCTAATAGCACTTGTAACATCGGATGGTTCAGATAATCCAATGGCAAAACGAATCTCTTCCCTTCTTCTGTGTATACAGCGAAGTACCCTTTCTTCCTTTTTCTCCATTTCTCCATCAATTCGGAGAGTCTTATTCCCTTGGAATATAGTTTCTTCATACAATGTGTTTTTTTTTTTTTTTCTGTGTGTGTTAACTCAGCTCTGCAATTTTCGTTGTGAAGGTGTGTCTTTATGCAACCATAAGTGCCTCACTTCTTTATATATTGTGCAAATATGTACAAGAACAATAGATTTTGGTACGTGTGGAGGGAAAAGTATGTTCGTGTTTAATTTGATTAATTGCTTTAGCAAATCTGTCCACGTATTGTTGGATCACGACCACTCGTGGAGTACGCATTGATCTTCTACAAATATCTAGAGATTTTACATCTTTTTATAATTTTTAGTTTATAACTGCATTATTCTTGGTTGCTTCCACACTTTTTGTTGTTGAGTTTTTAACACACCTGCTTAACATGTTTTGGTTATTAATGAACTTTAGGAAAGCAATGTTTCCAAATTTAAAATTATCTAATTACTTAGTGAACGGAGTAATGGTATAACAAAACATGTAATATTTAAAACAAAGTAATAAAGTGGTTGCAGAACGCAAAGGTGGTGATAGAAACATCAAACATGTGAGGTTTAGACCAAGTTGCTTGCTACTTTTTACTCTGTAGAGCTCTCTTCTACTTTCATGAGTGTTCGTCGTTTCTTTTCATTTTTCACTTCACATGAAAATCCTGCAAACAATTTTTCAAAAACTTTTACAGCCAACAATTCTAAATAGTTTCACCATCTTAAGTGTAACATAGATGTATGGAAAACTAGATATCTTTAATCACAAAACGCTCGCGTAAAACAAAAATCTTTCGTGATCGTGCCTACCAAAAATAATGCAACCTTCCATAGTACTTTATACAAGAAAACAACCTTTACAACCACTATTGTTCTGATTTGTCTAACCTAAGCCCTGAAATTGCATTCCCTGGTTTCATATCTCAAGTCAAGTCGATTCTTCAAAGGACAAAAGCAATGTGTCCCAGGGTCAGTCTGAGCTTCGCTGTCATCTTTATCAATGCATATTGGGTCAATGCTCAGTTAGGTTTGGTTGCCTGAGAAGGTAAAAGGTTTGCAACTGCTCAGTGGTTTTGATCTTTACATAGAGAGAGGAAGAAGCATCCTTCGCTTCTTCTTCCTGGCTTGTCTCACTTGCTTTGTGATTTTCATACAGACGAACAATAGTAAGGCGACACAAATCAGGATGAAAGTGAGTTGCAACCGCCTGAAATACAAGGACACAGCTGAGAACACCAGGAACGCTAAGATCACTAGTTCCCATATGACAAAGACTACGACATCGACCCTGAATCAAAGCAAAAGAGAACAAATATCATAAGTACTACCACAGTCAAATGTTCATGTCATCATCATTTTCAAGATGCAACAATAGAATCAATATGACCAAGAGATAAGAAAGAAAATAGTACATCTGTGTATACCAAGATGAACATGGATATTTTATGTATCTACGGATCACAAACCCCCCTTAAAGAGCAATATGTCTAGTTCAAGTTCATGACGTGAAAATTGCCGAAGTAGGATGATATCTAACAAAATCTCATGTTTAAAAATAAAATAAGAACTATATGTTCTGGTGGGGATTGATTCTATTTTCCATTGAGTAGCCCAAAGAAAAAAGTGGTTTATCAAAACTGAAGAAGCCTATAGAAAATCTTAGTTTAAAAGAAGACTATTTGAATGCCAAAGGCAACTTTCTCATCTGTCAAAGTTATCCTTGAAGTCACAGAGCAACTAAGCAGTATACCTTCAAGCTGGAAATGATAATTAAACACACCATATAATTGCACCAAGAGAGACAAAAAAAAAAAAAGAAGAAGCTCAAATCAGAACCTCTACGATGTGAAATTGCCTTCTAAAAACGTGCAAACTACCTATGTTACTCAATTTGGGGAAATCTTCAGACAATACAGATGGTACAACGACGATCGAACTTGTAATCAAAATTATAGTTCCTTGTGTAGAATTCACATAGAACTGGTACCTATCTGCAATCATATCCAATGTTATAGGTCAAAACCCTGATGAGAGATATCACTAAGTCTAAATCTAATACCCCGAGACTAATGCAACTCTATGCACGGCAGCTCCAGATCACAGAAGAGAAAGAAAATTAATTGCATAAGCCGGAGATCTCCAGCTTTGATAAAGAGAGTTGTCTAACCTGGAGGAAGAGAAGTTGGAAGTGGAAGAGAAGAAAGAAACGGAGGCCCAATCATGCTTTGATCTAATCTGATATTCCCTCAGCTGTTCAGCTAGATTCGATCTCGTTATCATCGCCTTCTCCAAATCTCCACCTTACTCTACTTTCCCGAATCCACGGAAAGCTCAAAGAAGCTTCGGAGAATCACGAGATGCAGGTTCTCAAATCTGTCACAAACTTATAATATAAATCAGAATTCTACAACTCCAACGATGGAGGAAAGAAAAACCAAAATCAGCCAGAATAGTAATTTTACAGCGACGACGACAATAACATCGAATGTTACTTCACATTCATACAAAAAAAAGAACATCGAATGTTTGTTCGATTCGTTGGCAATTCGGCGAACGTTGCGTGGACTCTCTCCTCTCGGTATCAACAACCGGGTCGGGTTATAGATCTGATCTTGATTTAAGGCCCATGCCATGGATATTGGGCTTTTTGTTTTTTTAATCATACTTTATTGGGCCCTTAATTGTTGACTAATGTTATACGATTTTTTTCTTTTTCTAAAGGTTGAAACTTGAATTACAATTATTTTATATATACAATGATATGAAAAAAAAATCAACTCACGATTAGCAACAATTCATTGTATAAACAGAATATAGCAACATCAAGAAAGAAAAGAAAAAAAAAGCAATAGCATTGCATTTCATTGATTCTCGTGACCCACTAAATAAAGGGAGTGTTGTTAATTAAGTATTGGTTGAATATTCCTGATTTGACCTCAATAAGGCAAATATCTTGCCCATAAACACAAGACGGGAGGTGAAAAAGAAAAAAAGAAGAAATAGACAGAAGAACAAACGAATAATGTTCATTAGCACTTAAGCACCTATTTTGGTCCGATCTAAGTTGAGATATCTGAAACTGAAACTTTTTCGAATTATAGTATTTTCAAACCACGACTATAGTTTAGTTTGTGGATTATTATTAAGTGTCGGCTATATAATTTGTCGTTTCGCTATCACCGAAAGCATTATCCAAAGAATAAGTTAGAGCTTCGGTGTATATATGGACAAGGACCAAAAAGACGAACAAGTTAGTATTGAAAGAGACTGCAGGTTTGTTTGATATGTGTGTTGGTACGTCACGGTTCGTGAAAAGTCTTGTTGAATTATACTAGTTTTGAAAACAGAGAGACTACTAATGATGTGGCACGTACGTCGTGTTCGATCTTTGTAATGGAACACGGTTCATTGTTATTTTAGGCTGATGAGTTTAAGACATGATGCAATTCCCGATTACCATCTGTCCTTTATTAATTTTTTCAGTTTATACTTTTCTAATACTAGGTCGAAAAATGATATCCCACACAACACATGACACATTAACATATTGGCATTAGATTTCCAAGTCATCGGATGCTCATTTGTCGCCTCCTGATTTCATTATCTTACGTCCAAGTTTATCTTTTTAAAAAGTGCATCAAAACATAACCATTTACGTTGAAAATATATACATAACATTATTCCATAAATGAGATTACGAAAGGTGGTGGTTTATTTATATGCAATAGATTCCCGAAAAATGGAGAAGTACAAATAAAAATGTTTGACTGTGAAATATACTAATCTCTTTGGTTTTAGTTTGTTTTGGTCGGTGATCAGTCTTTAACAATAATTTTAGCGGTTATCCGTAAATCATCCATATCCAATAGCAACAATACCTCTAGTTATCGGTTGAGCCAATCGCATTTAGTATATATATTTGTATTCGCCTATTTGATTTTTTTTTGGTAAAAGTTTTTGTTTAATGTTTTCCAAAGATTATTTACAGTTTCAAAGATGAAGCGAACATTTCAAAGGTAATAGTAGCTGATAATGGTTGTTGTTGATTCCTAGCGTGATAAGAATTAAAGAACCATGTTCTGATTGGTTTAGTTAGTTTGTAACTGTAACGCATAGAAGAAGTCAAGAAGAAGAAGAAAAATCAAAGGAACGTTACAAATGGGATTGGGGTATCAAAAAGTTCATCATTACCTTCTCCAACAAGAAAATAAATCCAGCGTGGCATTAGTCAAATAAGTCCAGTGGGCCCTCGTAACCGACATCACGTCTTTTGCGCCAATCAGTACACAGTCATTGGTCCCACGGAAGGACACCTTCGCACGTTACATTGACACGTGTCCTATTTTAATTGAGTGATCTCATTTCCATTTTCTGACTATTCGTTTGCCGCTAACTCACCTCCGCCGTCCATTCTTTCGCTATGGCTGACACGTGTCTACTAATCAACGGAGAGTTACAAAACTATCTGATTTATTTTACGCGGCCTCTTAAATGCCTCTTAAGTCTTTAAGTACGCTTCTCCTTTACTTTAATCCCATTTTTGGGATGTTCAATATTTGTCCCTATATTTCTGATGTTTTGCATAAAGAAACCTTGAAAACTTTAAGACATTTCAATAATGTTATCTCTTTTGCGTTGTCAAAACTCAAAATACAATATATTATTCTCCTTTGTTTGTCCTTCCAAGTTCCAACTGTGTTTCCTTACACTTTTTAAAGTTTCAATATCATTACTTTCAACTTTGTTAATCGATCATTCAACTACAAATTAACAACTATTTAACCAGAAAATTAGTTATTATTAAGCTTAACATATGAAAATTTAAAATGGTAAAAGCCTAGAGAACAAAACTGCTATGTAGTAACCTAGCTCTCACTATTTTTTTACAAATCTATCTAGTTGTCATTCCAATCCATTAAATCTAGTTCCACTAAATTAATTTAACATATACTATATCAGATAATGTATTAGAGAATGACCTCCAATCACGTAAGCATACTATTTTTAATGATTTATAACTTTAAGAACAAAAATGGGGGCCATTTTGCAAATCCAATGTAATTGTGCACTTTTATAAAAAAATTTATAAAAAAAGTGTAAATAGAGCGTGAAATCCGCGTTGGATTGGAGCCCTTTCCTAAGTCCTCAAGACTACTATATAAAGGCAGTTTCTTCTCTCATCTTAATCATCTCAATCTATTCTCATTTCATCTGCTTTTGAATTTCAAAAACTCTCACATACTACTTTTGAATCCGTGTTTCGATCTCAAATCTTTCCTTTTACCTTAACTATGGCGGAAGAAACCAAGAACGTTACTGAGCAGGAGGTGCCAAAGGTCGCCACAGAGGAATCATCATCGACTGAGGTTACTGATCGTGGACTCTTCGATTTCTTGGGTAAGAAGAAGGACGAAACCAAACCCGAAGAGACGACGATCGACTCTGAGTTCGAGCAGAAGGTTCATATCTCTGAGCCAGCGCCTGAGGTTAAACACGAGGAAACAGAGGAGAAGAAGCCTAGTCTCCTTGAGAAGCTTCACAGAAGCGACAGCTCTTCTAGCTCTGTAAGTTTTAGATCCGATCATTTTATATATTCTAGATTGTTATGAGATCTGATTACGTTGATGATCATAACTTTAACTAGATCGAAGGATTTATCTAACTAAATGGTTTGTGTTTTTTTTTTTTAACAGTCAAGCGAGGAAGAAGGTGAAGATGGTGAGAAGAGGAAGAAGAAGAAGGACAAGAAGAAGACAACTACTGAAGTAGAGGTGAAAACAGAGGAAGAGAAGAAAGGGTTTATGGATAAATTGAAGGAGAAGCTTCCTGGACACGGTAAGAAGCCTGAGGATGCTTCAGCCGTCGCTGCTGCACCTGTGGTTACTCCTCCTCCGGTCGAAGAATCACATCCAGTGGAGAAGAAAGGTATTCTTGAGAAGATTAAGGAGAAGCTCCCAGGGTACCACCCCAAGACCACCACAGAGGAAGTGAAGAAGGATAAGGAATAAGCAGAAACAAAAGATTATGATTAAAAAATATGAATAATGATGGTTGATTTGCTTTTCTTTTTTTCTTTTCCTATTGTGATGATTGATCATCTTTTGCTTTTGTGATGTTTAAGTTTGTTGGCTTTTTGTTAATTACAATATTCATATGTTTCTCTTTCTCTTGTATATGTTTTTTTTAAAAAAACAAAAGAAATGTTTCATGGTATTTTTTAATTGTGTGAATTATTTTTCTCATTTGATATTTGGAGATGAGTGCTATGCTAAATCCTCTGCTTGCTCGATTATTGATAAAGAATGTGTAGCTGCCCAAGTAAGATCTTTCAATTAGGCAAAAAGGATATAAAATTTTAGGTTTCTTATCTTCAACGATTGCTCATTGTCGTCGTATACATGACCCCAGCTTGACTACATCCAAGTTCGAATTTAGGAAATTTAATACGTTGGTATAGAAGAAACATGAAACATGACTCGTCACACGATCATGACTTAGGTGATTGATACAATGTCATTGTGGTCGACACACTAACGCAAAACGAATACAAATGGACAATCTCGAATATTTCTGTTATTCTGTCTTTAGATCATTGACGTATCCTAAATCTCTACTGTGCTAGTTTTGATTAGATCAATCCAGACGAGTAGACGACGACATCCTTTAGTTAACAATGTCTTCAGTGTTTATCATTGTGGGTTCTGTAATAATATCACAATTTTGTAAGTGGGTTTCTGATGATGGGTAAAAAAGCCCAATAGGCTTATTAATGACTAAAACAATTCAGACACCTAAATCAAACGTCGTCGTTCCATGCATATCACTCCGAGTTAGGTTGTTTCTTTCCCGGTTCGAGCAACACTCGCCGGCGACTTGTTATCATCAGACTATCAGAGTATCCTTCACCGTTGATGATGGAGGCAGGCGAAGCAAAAAGCAAGAAAGCAGGAGGGTCTCGTCTCTGCTGCATCTGTAACAAGAGACGACCCGTTCTCAAACGACCCAAAACCCTTCAACAGGTAAATTTTGAATTTGGTTCTGAACCGGGTATCAATCCAATACACCATCCAGCTGGGTCGTTGGCTAATATCTTAGGTTTCCAATCTCTTGCGTGTTCCTGCATGAGCAATGATCTTGAGAAATTTTTTAAAGATATGCAGAGAGTGCTTCTATGAGGTTTTTGAGGAAGAGATTCACCAAGTCATTGTTCAAAATCGTTTATTCAACTCCGGTGAGCGAGTGGCTATAGGTGCCTCCGGAGGAAAAGGTTATGTCTTATACACTCTAATGGATTCTGCTCTATAAAGTTCAAACCTTTGAATGTTTACAAATCACTCTGTTTTAGTTTGATGTTCTCGGTTATAATGGTTCTCCAGCTGTTTATGTTTCTTTGATTCGAACACCATAGTTATTATATACAATAGTGTTGTCCCGTGGAGATCTTCCTTGTTTTATCAGTAACTCAAAAGTTGGTTTTGGTGCAGATTCGACAGTGCTGGCATATGTATTATCAGAACTAAACAGACGTCACAACTACGGGCTGGATCTTTTTCTCTTGTCTATTGATGAAGGTATAACTGGTTATCGTGATGATTCGCTCGAGACCGTTAAAAGGAACGAAGTTCAAGTAAGCTTTTGAATTTGTTCATGAATTTTATGCTATGATTGCTTGTGGAACATAAGAGAGTCTCTAAAAGATCTTTTATGCCGATTAGTCTATCTCAAGGATTTTTTCTTTCTGCCCAGTATGGTTTGCCTCTTCAGATTGTTTCATACAAAGATCTGTATGGATGGACAATGGACGAGATTGTAAAGATAATCGGTCTGAAAAACAATTGCACCTTTTGTGGTGTATTCCGTCGACAGGTGAGGATAAATTTTTCTTCATAGCATTCCCTCTTTGATCAAAAGTTCTTCACACCAATCATCTTCTATTTTATAATTATATCTCTTATTGATTTCTTGAAGGCACTTGATCGAGGAGCTACATTATTGAAAGTAGATAAGCTAGTCACTGGACATAATGCAGATGATATAGCCGAAACAGTTCTCTTAAACATACTCCGAGGGGATATTGCTAGGTAAATATATTTGTTTATAGTGAATACTTTTTCTTGGCTAAAATATGGTGTCGCTCACTTGATTTGATTCCTATCTTGGTTATCGTAGATTGAGTCGGTGCACATCAATCACTACAGGTGAAGATGGTCCAATTCCAAGATGCAAACCTTTCAAATATACATACGAAAAGGAGATTGTCATATATCCTTTGCTATTAAATTCTTTGTTTACTTTCCCAAATTTTGTTTTTTAACTGTCAACAGAAGATATCGTGAGACCTTAACATAGCTACACGTATGCTTATTTCAAGAAGCTGGACTACTTCTCCACCGAATGTGAGTTGTGCATTTTCAAAGCTATGTAATGTTTTTTTTTTTTTTTTTATCTCTGTTGTTTGATATTATCTGAGATTGCGCAGAGCATTAGCAAAACGAGCTTTTCAAGTGCTTCCTTTAGTTAACGGTTTCACTACAATCTGAATGTGTAATCGGTCAAATATATTACAATTGATTCATTTATTGTGATTGCAGGCATATATTCTCCTAATGCTTATCGTGGTTTTGCCCGTGAGTTCATCAAAGACTTGGAAAGACTAAGGTTTTTTTTCAACTTTTGCTGGTGATATCTGTCATATCCAAATGAGGTAGTAAATATCCAACTTATGTTATATAAATTTCAGGCCAAGAGCCATTCTGGATATCATTAAATCCGGTGAAGACTTTAGAATTTCGACAACCACAAAAATGCCTGAGCAAGGGACATGTGAGCGATGCGGGTATATCTCTAGCCAGGTGAGACTTTGCAAAACGAAGACTGCTCTCTCTCTTTCTTATACATCAAGTTATATTTTGCATTAGAACTAACGAACCATAATACGTTGTGCCCTTGGAGATAATAAAATATGCTTGTTTTACTTTTTCAATGAATGATCTTGTACAATGATGCAGAAATGGTGCAAAGCTTGTGTTCTGTTGGAGGGATTAAACCGTGGTTTGCCTAAGATGGGCATTGGAAGACCAAGAGGAAGCGTAAATGGTGATAACAAGCACACAAAGGCTAGATCTACTGCAAAATCCATAGAGAGCAAGCAATGTGGATCTCTGGATTTCTAAACAGAGAGAGAGAAAAAACGAAGCTAATGAGGCTATAACAATACCCAAACTAGTTCTGTAAAGAAATACTCCATTGTTGTTAAACTTAAACCCATTGTTGTATTGACTTGTCTGACAAAAAAGTTTTGGTTTTTGCCTCTATGGCACAGAAGTTTTTGCAGCTGGTTCTCTGGTTCTGGAATCCTGGTAAGTGATTCTTGAACCAGCATTATTAAGCCATCAATGACCTCAACCACCACTAGCTGAACAAACCTAAACCTATTTGAAGTCAACCTGGTCATCATGAGTAATAAGTCACATTTATTTGAAATTGAAACCATCGCTTAATCTGTTTAGTTTTCTTTTTCAACAAATAGACGAAGTAATAGCCTTTTAATGTCCTGATGACTACAAGTCTTGTTTCGAAGTTTTTCATAACTAACTTACTCTAAAATGTGGTGGTGGCTGCACAAAATGTGGGTACGCAACAACTAAAAATAAGAACAAATCCAAACAATGCAATGTTCCATTGTACTTGGTTCGAACCAATGGATTCGAATGTTGTTGTCCACACATGGAACACCTAATCCATGTGTCGTTATTACATTTACAGTCACCGTACGCGTTTTTGTATCTCTTTTGGTATTATTCTTTATCTTTTGGAAGTGTTGTCAGCTTATACAGGCCTATCTAGATCAAACTTTATTCCATAATTTAACATGCTATGGACCCCCCCTACGCCCATTTTCAAATTGCTCTGACGCGTCGCTTCCTTCCCCAATTATATAAATAATCTTCCTGTCGCATATTTTCTAATTTAGTAGTTAAATGTTATTTTTCTCATTCACTTTACCTTAATTTTTGGAGAGTTCGTTTTTATTAAAGCGCTAATGACTCATCCCAACAACAAAGAAGAAAAGTATGAGAGTAGTGAGAGGCGATAAACCCGGGAATGTAAACGCATGTCAAGTATTAGTACTTTTTTGATAACTACACGTAAGGTTATTTCTTTTATCTGATTACTTAGCTTTTTGGAACCTTGTACGATAAGTATTTTTCTTTGTTTTTGCCATATGTAGTAGTAGGCGTAGTAAAAGCCAAGAATTGAGAATTACCACTGAAGTAATGCTTCTGCCTAGAAGTTGAGATCCATTCGAAAATGCCAAACGAAATTGAATTGAGCTTTCCAAACGAGTTTTGATTCTTACAACCAGAGAGGGGTCCCTTTCTTCATCCTTATAGCAACTCTAAAGGACATGTATTATTATACAATAACCTAAATAAAACAATGTATTATTCCTTTATTCGATTTATAAAGGCATATAAATTACTTTTGATAGCCAATTCTTTTTTTTTTCTTCGTTTCGAAGTTTCATACTAATATATACGTCAAAATATTTAGATCTAGGGAGTTTACTGGATTAGGTGGTCCGATATTAGTTTTACAATTACTACAAATTTAATACTCCAGATAATAAATTACACAAGGATATATGTATTCCTGTCTCGAGTTCAATAATTGGAAGACCTTCTTATCTTTTGGGTTCTTCTTTAATGCACATGTGACATTTTGACTAAAAACAGATTACAAAAGTCAGAAAGACCTCAAAACTCGATAATACAAACCGTTTAAAAATGTTTTCACCATGTCCACAGAAATCTCATTGAAGATTGCCCACAGTTTAGAGTGAAACGTTTTATTACACAAGACAACAAAATAAATCGCCCGTCCTAATTGTGTGTGTGTGCGCGCATAATTACCACATATTTTTTCTCTTCCATAACATTCGGTACTCAATTACCAACACTAACGGTTTTCAAAAGTACAAAAATCCAATATATAATAAAGTTTTACCTCACCACTAATAATAAACATTTGTTTGTAGTTTTAATTAAAATTACTTCTGAAAAATAAAAGGATTAATTGGATTTTTAGTACATTTTTGAAACATAACTGTAGAAGTAGAATATTCACTATTCATTATTAGCAAACTAATATATTTTTACTATTTGGATACTATTAAAAACTCTTTTAAATCTAATAACTAAAATATTCATTAAAATATATTTGTTTTCTATAAAATTTCAATTACATAAAAATCTATATTTTTTTCTCTATAATTTGATATGCATTTTTTAATAATTTCAAATATTTTTCAAATAAATTTTGATACGTCCAGCTATCTTTATGTACATTTGTGTGTCGATGTACAGAATATCATCCATAACAGCGATTTATATATACGTATAATTGTACGTGTATAGATATTTTCTGGTCTATATAAGTATATTTGTTTATGTGTAAATATGTTTATTTGTAATTGTTTCTTTTTTACAAATATTTTATATACGGTTGTCTATCTATATTGATATATGAAATAGTAAAATTGTACTATTTTACTAATTGTACTACTTTTTTATAATTATGTTAAAAAAATGTAATAACACACGCAATAAAAAATGGGGAAAACAAGTTGCAAAAGCCATGTGGATTGTGGGGGGGGGGAGATAAAATACAAATACAGATTTCCAAAGTGACCACAGAGTCGCTCGTGGGTCCAGCCACCGACACTGACCTTTGTCTCTTTATATTCGTTTCCTCTCTCTCTCTCTATCTCTATCTCTCTCTACTGTCTCAAAACCTCTCCTTCTTCTCTCTTATAATACGTGCCGACTCTGCTCTCTACACAAACTCTACTACACTTCAAATCTGAATGTAAAGGTCACTCCAGAAAATACCTTTCTTCTTTAACCGGTTTTTCTCTATATACAAGAAACATGGCGGCCAATGCCTCATTCGCCGCCGCATTACTCATCGGGCTTTCCCTTCTCTTCGCCGTCACGGCCGAGGATCCTTACAGGTTCTTTGAGTGGAACATTACTTACGGCGATATCTACCCACTCGGCGTTCGTCAACAGGTAACTACTTACTTCTATCACTTGGTTTAGTTTTGGTTTACTACAGATCCGGTTTTCTAAAATTTCTCTGTGGATCTCGTTACGTTTTCCGGTCTAGGGTATATTGATCAACGGGCAGTTTCCGGGACCGGACATTCACTCCGTTACTAATGACAATATCATCATCAACGTCTACAATAGCCTCGACGAACCTTTCCTCCTTTCATGGTAATTTTATTATTCTCTAATCTCAAATCACTCTTTCTTAATCTACAAATTTTTTTAAGTTTTAATTCTTTACTCAGACAGCTTTTTACTATTGAATTTTGTCGTTGTCGATAGAGGCTAAGCAGGCGTTCTAGTTATTTTTTCTTTTCTCGTGTAATAGTTTTTCTTTTCTTTTTAATAATAGTGATGTAAAAATAAAACGTGCTTAAAAAAAAACCAAAGTACGGGAGATTTGGTTTTGGCCACACCTTGTGTCGGAGTTCGGACTCGGTCCACGTAGTAATTAATTTACCCACAACACGAGTTAATTAGTTGGATGATTACGGTTAAATTCAATTCCATTACAGTACTATACTACAATTACATGATTAATTGATTAGTCACTGTTCTTAATTCTTATATTCGTTCTTTTTTTTTCATCTATGCATGGCTATTTAATACGAATAGTGACTACATAATTTACATGTGGGAAAATGGGCCCCACCCTTACCAAATTATTAGCTGTATCCTACATTTGAATCGAACTTTTTTTATCTTCGCTGTAGCAACCTTAAGTGGATAGGTTTACCATTTATAATAGTTTTGGGGTAAAATTGATTTTTGTAGCATTTTAGGGACTAATATTAATAATTCATGATAGTTTCGGGGTTAATTATAAATATATTTTGAAAAATAACATAGGAATGGAGTTCAGCAGAGGAGGAACTCGTTCGTCGATGGTGTTTATGGAACGACATGCCCAATCCCCCCGGGGAAGAACTACACTTACATGCTTCAGATGAAGGATCAGATCGGTAGTTTCTACTACTTCCCTTCTCTCGGTTTCCACAAAGCCGCCGGTGGATTTGGAGGTATCCGTATTCTCAGCCGTCCTAGAATCCCCGTCCCTTTCCCTGATCCCGCCGGAGATACCACCGTCCTCATCGGAGACTGGTACAAATCAAACCATACGGTAATTGTCAGAACTATGTGCATTAACTTCATTGAATCAACGTACAAGTGTTTATTATTATATATACAAGATGCATACGCTTGAAACAGAGTGAAGCAGAGTAACTAACTTTGTGTTTAAATTCGTTTTGTGTAGGATTTGAGGGCACAGCTTGATAATGGTAAGAAGCTTCCTTTACCAGATGGTATCCTCATCAATGGTCGTTCAAGTGGTGCCACTCTCAATGTTGAACAAGGTTTTTGCACCTTTCTCTTCTTCATGATTCTGATAAGTCATTACATTCAGTTTACTGATGATGTGAGTTCTTCTTCTTATTATTCCTCAGGTAAGACATACAGGCTGAGAATATCCAATGTCGGATTACAAGACTCTCTCAACTTCCGCATTCAAGATCACAAGATGAAAGTTGTTGAAGTCGAAGGAACACACACTCTTCAGACTACTTTCTCTTCGCTTGATGTTCACGTTGGCCAATCTTACTCTGTCCTTGTAACTGCGGACCAGCCTCCAAAAGATTATTACGTGGTCGTTTCTTCTCGGTTTACCTCCAATGTCCTCACTACCACTGGTGTTCTCCGTTACAGTAACTCCGCTGGTGCTGTTTCTGGACCTATTCCTGGTGGACCTACTATTCAGATCGACTGGTCCTTAAACCAGGCTCGAGCCATCAGGTACTGTTCCTTTAAACACACATAAAAAGCTTCTTTTAGGAGTTTCATTTCTGTGGTATAGTTGGATATGGCTGCTTGTGGCTAAAGTTTTGTTTTTGCGTCTTATAGGACTAACCTTACAGCGAGTGGACCAAGGCCGAATCCACAAGGATCATACCATTACGGTATGATAAACACCACAAGAACGATCAGACTTGCTAGCTCTGCTGGTCAGGTCGATGGGAAGCAACGATACGCTGTGAACAGTGTGTCATTCAAACCAGCAGACACTCCTCTGAAGCTCGCGGACTATTTCAAGATAGACGGTGTTTACAGGACTGGAAGCATACAGTACCAACCCACTGGTGGAGGAATATACCTCGACACATCAGTTATGCAAGTTGATTACAGAACCTTTGTGGAGATTATTTTCGAGAACTCTGAGGACATTGTCCAGAGCTGGCATCTTGATGGTTACTCTTTCTGGGTTGTTGGGTAAGTGTCATTCTTTAACTGATAGTAAGAGAAATATTGAATCATATCATGATCTTGTTCGATTTTGACTAACGATGGTACTTCTGATACACAGAATGGACGGTGGGCAATGGAGTCCAGCCAGTAGGAACGAATACAATCTACGTGATGCAGTCGCACGCTGCACCGTTCAGGTGTTTATTGGCATACAAAACCCATAATCTAATCATGTTTTTGTCAAATGTGCACCGTTTAATTAACATTCATCTACAGGTGTATCCAAGCTCATGGACGGCTATACTAATAGCACTCGACAACGTAGGAATGTGGAACCTAAGATCTGAGTTCTGGGCGAGGCAATATTTAGGACAACAGTTATATTTACGTGTCTACACACCCTCAACTTCTCTCAGAGATGAATACCCAGTCCCAAGGAACGCTCTTCTCTGCGGTAGGGCTAGTGGCCGCCGCACCAGACCGCTTTGAGTGGTGGTTAGATAGAGAGAGAGATATGAGAGAGATAGAGCGATTTCTTGTTTTATTTATTCTTCATTTTGGTAATGAATGAAAAAGAGTTTATGGTACTATTCGTATATCATCAGTTTGTAATGATCTCAGCTCGAGGTCTCATTCTTATATTCTTTCTTTTCATGTGGAGCCAAACTTTATTCAAATATATAATTCTATAATTCATGTTACAGTTTCATATAATATGGATTTTCAACTAACAATTCCAAAACACACAACTTCAAAAGTGCATAAAACCGTATCAAATTTGTAGGTTGAACCTACTTCGTTGAAATTATAATCTGAGACTTCCCAACGGAGACTGTCCCGCATGTTCATAATTACGACCGGACTTAATTATGTGATATTGAATTTAAAAAATAATAAAAAGACTTTTATCTTATTGGGATTTGAATTTTCAATAATGCAAAAGCCGACGTCGTTTAGAGCAAACGACTTATCTAAACGAGTAACATTGAACACAGAAAGGAGAAAAAGTCGGCTGGACACGGACACGGAGGCTGAGCTCTGATCCTGATCGGCGATGGCGACCAGCGATTCTGAATTCAATTCCGATCTCCTTCTCGCCCACAAGCTTCCCGAGGTTTGCTTTCGTTTCATTCCTTCTTCTCCCTATCAGATATCTCCGTGATCGAGACGAAATTTGCCGGTGAACTCACTCTATTTGATCGCGTTTTTTGTTTTGTCCTCACAGACGCGATACACCTACAACGAAAGGTTCGTCTCTTCTCTCTTCGTATTTCTCTCTACTTGTGTTTATGTGTAAATGAAGAAAAATGGAAATTAATTTTTATTGGTTTGGTTTTACTTTGTGTAAATAGAGATGTTGCAATCTATGCTTTGGGAATTGGTGCTTGTGGCCAAGATGCTGTTGATTCGGATGAGCTCAAGTTTGTGTATCACAGAGATGGCCAGGATTTTATCCCGGTATCTCAAAATGATTGATCTGGATTTAGTTGTGATTGTTTCTATGCTTTTTTGAGTAATCTATGTTTATTCTTGCTTTAAAACATAGGTCTTACCAACTTTTGCTTCACTATTCACGCTTGGATCTTTGACAAAGGGACTGGATTTGCCGGGTTTTAAGTAAGCACAGTGTGCTGTAATCTTTATATTTATTGATGTTGTAATTGTGATAGCTCCAAAGACCCTTAACTCACCTGGTCAACTAATCTTGCCTCTTTGTCGTAAACTGGATTTGTTTCGAGTTCAGAAGTTCCTCTAATGCAATTGGCTTATTGAAGTTTAATCCCAACTGTTTCACAATATCAAAACTGTATCAATCCCCATCATAATTGAAGACATAGAAGATGTGATTAAGGACGAAACTGACATCATGATGTTCTTTTATCTTGTCTGCAGATATGACCCTAGTCTCTTGTTGCATGGACAGCAGTACATAGAAATATACAAGCCATTACCTTCAAAGGCATCAGTAAGTAGCTTTTAGGTGTATAATACCTATATGCATTTTTGTTTTGACTGTAGGATTTTTCACAGAAGAATTATACATTCATACTGGAGTAACGATTTAGAGAACCTTGGACAATCATAGCTTTATGAACTTTCTGATTGGCTTCTTCTTCTATCTACGAAGTGGCCTTTGCTTCAGTTATTCTGAATTGATCTTGTTTATGTTGATGCAGTTAATTAACAAAGTAAGCCTTGCTGGATTGCAAGATAAAGGTACTTGTCACTACTGTGTTGTTTTGTGTGACACCATGTTGTAGCAGAAAACTAACTACTAAAGAGAATTAAAAAGTAGGCTTAATTAACTTTAAGGAAGTTGCTATATATAAATAGGGTTCTAATATTTGAACTCCAAAAATTTAACTATACTATCCCTAGCTTAACAGGAAGTGAAATAATTGGTCTTTTCCTGTCATGCATCCATCATTGGCATTGGAACATTCAAGAAATTTTAAATGGATCTTATTTGTTCTCTCTCATGACAATCTTTCAGGTAAAGCAGCTATCCTTGAACTAGAAACCAGAAGTTATGAGCAAGGGTCTGGGGCACTGTTATGCATGAATAGGTAAGAAGGTCTCTGCTATTACTTATTCTGAGAAATTTTGGCTTGGAAACTTATGTACTAATTGGGGACTTTCTCTGCAGGACGACAGTATTTCTAAGAGGTGCTGGCGGTTTCTCAAATTCATCTCAACCATTTTCTTATAAAAATTATCCAAGTAACCAGGGTTTAGCTGTAAAAATCCCACAAAGACAACCTTTGACGGTATGCGAAGAGCGCACCCAACCATCACAGGCAAGTTAATGATGTAAAACTTGTTTAGATTTAAGAAAACCAAGTCTAATTTCATCGAGGTGTACTGAGGACTTTCATCTAAGTTGTTTATGTTTTCTTTGATTGCCAACTTGTTGACACTATCTAACAATCTGGTTTATATCTCCTTGCAGGCATTGCTTTATAGGCTATCTGGTGATTATAATCCTCTGCATTCAGATCCAGAAGTTGCGAAACTTGCCGGGTTAGTGTACCACTTATAGCTTACTCAGACATTGTCATGCTCTATCATACTTTCCTAGTTCGCTGTTTTCTTCTAATGTAGCAATGATTTAATTTGATAATTCAGAGGGTAGTTCCATCATAAATTAGTTTGAGCTATCAATACTTGTACCATTCTTTTGATGGTATTCGAAAGCTCTTTTGTTTTAATCAAGTTTTGTTATTTTAACTTCAACATGATGACATGATTAAATTCCATTATTCATTGTATGACTTATGCATCAATGCATCATTACCTGGGATACTGGGTAGTGGTCACCACTGAATTGTTTTTCCTCTTTTCTTTCTAAAACTCGCACATTACTGCCACACGGCTGACACTTCTTTCATTGAAGATTCCCTCGCCCGATATTGCATGGGTTGTGCACACTGGGTTTTGCAATCAAGGCAATCATCAAGTGTGTTTGCAAGGGTAACCCAGCCGCTGTCAAAACCATATCTGGGCGATTCCTCACGACTGTTTTTCCTGGCGAAACTCTGGTAACCGAAATGTGGCTTGAAGGCTTGAGGTAGAATTTTTCTCACTCTCTACCTTAGTTCACTGGCGATATATCACATAGAACATCCATAGGCACTGTTATATGAAAACCTGAGCTTAGCTTTCATGTATTTGCAGGGTTATATATCAGACGAAAGTGAAGGAGAGGAACAAAACTGTGTTATCTGGTTATGTTGATATACACAGCTTACCTTCGTCGCTTTAAAATTTAAGGTCCTTATATAGTTATATTGTCCATGTAAGGAGTGTCATAATGTTGCAAAAGGCAACAAATATTTAAGAAGGCAAACAGCTACATGAACTGGTTTTTGTTCCTGAATATGTCCTCTTTGATGTCTGTCACGATGAATGAAAATTGTTGATTGTATCGTTTGTGTTCTACTAAATGTGGTGGAAACGCAAAATGCAAATGTGTTTAAGATGAAAGCAGCCAGGGGTATTTGCCGTTGCTACAACAGCAGCATCAACAGATTCTGACTTTTGCTATAGCTATATACGCCACTATAAACCGAGCTAATCTCAAATACTCAACTGATTGCTATTCATTTCCGTTCGAAAAGAAATTGTTTGATACAATCGTCGTTTAAGGTACCCACTCCACCTTGTACCCATTTTGGGTGTCAAGCTTATAGAAGGAGCTTCATAAACTGGACCGTAAAGCATGAGTATCAAATGAAAACCTGAAAAAATGTGATCTGTTTATGTGAATCATACAACCTTTTCCGGGACAGAACTAATTGAGAAATTGCATGTAGGTATGGGATTCTTTTCTACTCAGTCCATGAAGCATTCACCATCTTTGCCATGAATGCATATCGATCAGCTGCCTCATCAATCTGTTAAGAAAACCTCAAATTTTGTCAGCCAAGATTGGATGTACGTAGAGCATTACTAACGTGAAATTTGTTATTACCATCTTTTGAGTTGGACGACCAGCTCCGTGCCCAGCCTTGACTTCTATACGACCAATGATTGGGTTTGTCTGTGGACTATTCTCTAAGCTTGTACACAGCACATGCTGCAACGTCTGCAAATGTATATGGGTTTAAGAGTTAAACTATAAGCTGGCTCCTTAAGAGGAAATGCTATAAGACTCCGGAAAAAAACACTAAAAGAAAACTGAAACAAGATAGTGGGACGGACCGCAAGCAACTTTAAAGAGTGAAGTGGCACAACTCTGTCGTCATGATCAGCAGTCAGTAACATGGTTGATGGGTACTGAACTAGGTTATCAGTTTGTTGCTCCCATGGCCTCTTAACATTGTGCAGAGGTGAGTACCTTTTTCACATTCACATCCAAATTGTAACATATATCAGCATTGGGGACAAATCAACACAACACAACATCACATACATATCATATACTACTAGACTTACTTTATCAGCCAATGAAACTCCTCTTCAACCTCAGAGCAACCATAATCAGAAGTCCAGGCATGACCTATGCAGGCATTACATCTCATGAGTTATAGAACCATGAAAGACAACAGAAATAAAGAAAGGGAAATAAGTGAACTCACCTATGGTGAACTTGTGAAATCGTAGCATGTCCATGACGCCCACATGAGCCAAAGCACACCCAAAAAGGTCTGGTCTCTGCAGAAATAAAATTATGTAGAAGTGTTTTAACCAAAAAAAATGGATTGCAAATTCTTAGCTTTATATATAGACTTACCTGGTTTATGCAAGCACCGATTAAGAGTCCACCATTGCTGCCACCTTCAATACACAGCTTGCTCGGTTGTGTATAACCAGCAGAGATGAGGTACTCTCCCCCAGAAATGAAATCATCGAAGCAGTTCTGCTTCTTGGCAAGTGAGCCTGCTTTGTGCCATTCCTCACCATACTCCCCACCACCCCGAATGTTTGCAAAGCAGAAAACAACACCAAGATGCTTGCTAAGCACAATGCGGCTGGCACTGAAAGACGGTGTTATGCTTATGTTAAACCCACCATATGCATATAGCAAACATGGGTGTGATCCATCAAGCTTAATATCCTTTTTCGCCACAATAAACATTGGTATCTTTGTTCCATCCTTGCTGGGATAGAAGACCTTTAAAGAAGACCAGAAGCCACTTTAACATATGCAAAGTGATTATGAAAGAAACAAAGAAGATGCTACTAGAGAGTGTGTTACCTGAGTGGCTTGAAATGCTTCCCTGTCAAATCCGGGTACAGTAACCTCCCGGAATACCTTAACTTCTGGGGATTCATTGGCTAAGTCACACTTGTAAATCACACCAGGAGTGAGGAAGCTAGTAAAGCTAAAGAAAAAGCTATTGTCCTTGCGACGAGCAGAAACATCAGATACCGAACCAATATCTACAGGTAACTGGTGAAGCAAGGAACCAGATTTCAAGTCTCTAATTTGCAGAATGTGCTTTACATCGCTCATGTAGCATGCCACCAGTTGATTCCCATTGACTGCACAAGCTGATGCTAGGACATCCTTCTCGTGTTCTTCAACAACATCAGTCCAACTGTTTGGTTCCTTTAGATCAACCCGGACTAATTTGTACTTAGGGGCATCTTTATTTGTCAAAAAAGTAAACAGTGTCTCATCATTAGAGATAACACTATATTGCGCGTCAAATGTGTCAACAAGCTTAATGAATGGAAGAAAACTGCTGCTTCCTCTGAAACCCTCAAGACCTCCTGAAAATGAAGTCATATCACAGTAGTACAATTTGTTGACAGGGTCACAACCTTCTCCAATGCTCATGACTAAGTACTGCATGAAGAAACAACATGAAGAGATTTATATCGGAAACTAAGAATCAAGTTAGATTAAAAAAAATCACGGATCTATGAAATTAAGCAACATGACCATCACTTAAAACAGGAAAAGGATTATAATGGTTTTCTAACAGCATTTACAGAAAACCAAAAGGGTGAGGTTTTTAAGATCTTAATCAAAGTTAATGAACCCAAGATAAGAACTGGTCGTGTACCTTCCCATCGTCGGTGACTTCAGCGCCGAACATATACTTGGGATTCTCGTGATCTCTCCAGCACAAGATATCTTGAGATTGATCGGTGCCAATAAAATGGTAATACAGCTCATGATAAAGGTTAGAATTTGTCTCGGTGCCAGCGTCGATATCCTCTCCTTCTCTGCAAATCAAATAGGCAGAGTAACTAAGCTTTCTGAACTGTATTGAAAGGCGTCTTCCAACACAGCTTGTACGTCTCTTAAGCCAGAAATCAACTATTACAATGACTTACTTGGGAGCTGGGTAGCGACCATAGAAAAACCCTTTACTGTCATGCGTCCATGTAATGCCGGTAAACTTAACCTGTTCCACCAGAGGATCATGATTACATCAGAAATCTTGATGGTATAACTCTATGTAATCAACCTCACTAATCGGTACCATCTTAAAGACCATACCCATGATAAAGTATCAGGCTCCACTTTCTTATTCTCGATCTTCATCAGCTTAATGGTCACCCAGTCGCTACCACTTGAACTAAGACCATAGGCCAAGTACTTAGCATCCTCACTAACAGAAAAGGTGTTTAAAGCCACTGTTCCATCATCACTAAGAGTATTCGGATCAAGCAAGACCTCTGGCTCAGCATCGAGATCATCCTGATACAGAACGCAATCAAATTCAGTGACAAAAACAAAGCTAGAGTAGATTTAATGATACAAATGCCATGTCTCCCAGGAATTACCTGCATATAAAGCACACTTTGGGCCTGTAGACCGGTGTTATGGAAGTAAAAGTACTTATTCCCTTGCCTGAAGGGTGAATCGTAACGCGGATGATCAATAAGTTTCGTAATATTCTGACGGAGCTTATCCTTAGATTCGCATTTTTCAAGCACAGAATCCGTCAATTTCACTTGGTTTTGCACAAATTCCTTCACTTCTTCAGCATCAGGATCCTCTAACCTATCAAAAAAAACAATCCAGAATGACAAATCCAACGCAAAAGGATACAATTCATAGCTAAAATGAACAAATGACAAGAAATCTCGAGCAAGTGAGGAACGTATCTAAAAGTCAATCTCCAAGTCAAATCCAATGTCTGCTAACTCGTCAAAGCGATAAACAGAAAATTCAAAATCGCATTTATATCCTAGGAGACGTCTGTTCTCAGCTGGAGCTACGAGCCCATAAGAAATACTAAACGAACGAGAAAGAATTGAAATTTGAAAACGAACTCTTACCAACGATAAGGATCTCCGATCTTGACGCCATGGTAGTCATCGACGACGGAATCATCACGCCGAGCAGCAGGATACTGTAATCGCTCGCCTAACACCGAAGAAGATCCCATGATCGCAGAGCTGGAACAGCAAGAACGAGAAACAGACTTGGTTCGATCGGAGAAGTTATCGCTTAGAAGAAGAGAAGAGGAGAGAGACGATTGACGTAGTAATAAGGTATTTATACGGAGGCGGCGCGTGATTGTTGGGACGGTAACAAACGCGAAAACGTGAGAACGCGCGTGACTTGCAAACGCTGTGAGCATCGGTCTTCTCTTCTCTCTCTCCACCTCTTCTTCTTCACCGAGTTTTCCGCTAAATCGTGGTTCTATCAAAATATTTATACGAGTCTTTCTTTTATAGGCTAAGATCTTTTAGAGTAACTTTTTTTACAGTTCGTCTAATTTGAACACTTTTCCAAACCATGGAGTTGAGAAGGTTTACGCCAAATAAAATGTATGAAGTGGTGTGTTTGCATTTTAAAATCAACCAATTCAAACAACATAGGAGAGAAACTATTGTGAAAACTATGCATATCAGTGCCTGTGGCACTATCAGAGTATCAGCATATTATGCATATCGTGTTTACCATTAGTATGTACTATTTAAAGCTTTTGGGCCTAAGTCCTATAATATAATGTGAAGCCCATATCTAACAGCTTGAGACGATTACATAAAAAAGCCCATGAACTCCCTCGTATGTTTTCAACAATCAAAAAGTTTTTTCACCGTTTAGGAGAAAAGAACATACGGAGTATTTTCTTTTGTTCTTTCTAGAAAGTAGGGTTTTGAACTACTCCATTTGTTTTCTTTAATGTCTTAAAGTATTACACAGAGTTTTGCAGAATAATTGTTTTTCTTCTTCTTACTTATAGAAAAAATAATTATCAGAGTTTTTTGTGAATTGACCGAACATAAGAAGAAGAAAAAATAGGCATTTACAAAATAAAGCAAATGTTGACCCCTGCCTGGTACTAATTACATTACGTATAACGAGAACGCAAAATTTGGGAGTCACGCGCAAATAAATAAATCGCTTTGTACAAAAGTTTGGAGATTTTGCATTGAAAGGATAATTTAAATGCTACCTGACACACTTCCAATGATGAGGCTACCAGGCAAAAGGTTGGGTTGAATTCTAGTTTTAATTTTTCTCTCATGACAGACGAATCGTAATTATTCACACTAATGGTAAATGTTTTAACCTATTTCCTTAATTAATCTGTATAATCATAGGCGCATCAAAAGACGTCGACCACTATTGTCTTGTCTACTACTCCAAACGCATTGAGTTACCAAAGAACCAAAAGCTTTCTTTCTCTACGTTATAAGTCAATACTTAGCTCAGACAAAAAGAAAATATATTGAACATCGGCCATACATATGCATTTATATTCCAACTTGAAGGTTGAACTTGATTTTTCTTGAACCTTATTTGTCAGATTGAACACATTTATAGAAACATGCAATTTTACTCATAAGCAATACTCATAAACAAGATAATCACTTAGCTATATATATATATATAGATTCCAACTTAAGGAAAAGAAGACATCATCATAACATTGTGTGGGCTTCAAAGAACATAAAAAGGAAGAGTAAAATTCTCCTTTTCATTACCATATTCTCCTATGATTTCAATCTACCTGTAGCTTTATTGGGAGTAATGGGTCCTCTTCCTTTATGAATAGTTTACCTTTCCTAGATGATGTAAACGTCTCAAACGCCACCACTATTTCTAAACCTCACATTTGTCAACGCCGTTGCAAACTAAAAAGATGAAAAGAGTTCTTACGATCAATTGTTTTTTACAATCAAATGCAAATGCGATCAACCATAGAAACCCACCTTCGGATCACAGTCTCAACCAAAGAAAGCATCAAACTCCGAGAGATATATTAAATCGAAAGAGATAGAATTATCAAGTGAAATTGACTTAAATAAGAATAAGTAAATGATCACGTATGAATAAGAGGTTTGAGTAGATTCGAGTTAATACCAACTTCTCTTCAAACCTTAGATCTTAACATTCATCCGAGTGATCTTTGAATACATCATGAGGGGTTTTACAAAGAAACCCTAACAGATCTCTATTGGCAGTATGCCCACCTCCTCCCACAAAACACAAGGAAGATACTTACGCTTACTACACAAACATATTATATAGAGAGAGGAGGTGGACAGAATGCCAAAGATCTCTGTAAGAGACTCTTTTGTCAAAACCCACATGACCAAAAAGGTTAAAGATCCAAAAAAAAAAAACACTCACTCATTTGCTTTCTGTCCGACTGTAATATGGAAAAAGGGGTTTTTCTTGAGAAAGAAAGAGAGAAAGAGAGAGAGAGAGAGAGAGAGAGAGAGAGAGAGAGAGAGAAGCTACAGAGAGAACATTTAGAAGAGAGAAGCGAACGGTGAGAATATTTATGAGATAGAGAAAGAGGCAGATGGGTTTCTTAATGATGGTGATGTACAGTTGTTGTTTTGTAGCAGGAAAATTTATGAACCAAAGACTTAAAACAAACATACAAGAAGAAAGAGAAAGCAAAAAAAAGAGAAACAAAGAAAAAAAAAAGAAACCCTAGATTCTGTCGTCACAAAGCTACGGAGAAGATCGAACAATAATAATATCGTCTCGAGAGATGGAATTTTCGTGGATGAGTATAAATCAATGAAAGGAGAGATCAAGTTTTTTAAGATTCGGACTTGAAAAGACATAAGATCTAACAACTATATGAACAGAAGAAAACAACAGTGAAGAAAGAGATTGGAAGAAGAAGAAACTCAAAGGTTTTCTTGGGAAAATAAAAAAAGAACCCACAAGAGGAATTAAAATCTCATTACGGAGAAAGAGAAGAAAGAAAAGAAAAAACAAGCTCTTTCATCTCAACAAGGTTTCTTCTTTTCCAAAATCCTGATGATGATATAAGTAAAGCCAAAAACTCGAATTAATTTCTAGGGATTTTATTTAAGGGCAAATGTTAAATTCAACGGTGTTCTCTTTTTACGCCAACACGACCTACCCTTCGTTTTTCCTTTTCTCAACTTTTGTTCCGGACCACCACAACTCAAAACGGCACCATTTCTTAATTGACTACCGTATTAGCAATTTATAGAAGGGTTAAGTGTAACGAAAGTTTTTTTACCTTAAAAATATCAACTAATGAATTTATATGTAGAATACAACAATCAAATCAAATAAAGACCAGCTAATTTATTTTGAACCAAATATACTGAAATAATAAATAATCTATGATTTTCTAAAACTGCGTTATTGATAGAAAATAATTGCAGAACAACTTTATAATCTGATTTATTAAACACTTGCTAACTATTCTTAACTCACCCATACCAAATTATTTATTTTCGGTTATAAAAGTTTACATATATTGGAGAGAAAACAACTGTAAATTGCTTGTGATTTAAAAACAATTTGAAATATATCTTTAATTAACAGATGAACGTATCAAGAAATTAGTAACTACGTAAAGAGATGTGATATCACGAGTCATGTAAAAATAACAATTTCAATTTCTGACTTGAGTTCGTGTGAGGCAACTTACCATTGATATGGGTCCATTTAAAAACTCCACCATGGAGTGGATTGCAGAATCCTAGGCTCATGTAGTAATAGTAAACACACAAATTTTGTAATAAAATATTATTACAACCTTTTGACCTAAGTTAATTAAACCATGCTACTACACTAGATTTTTTTTAAAAAAAAACAAACTCGAGGAATATTCATTCAAGAAGAAGAAGGTCAATCCCCTTTATTGTTCATCTTTATTTATGACAGGGGAAAAAACAATTGATATGACATGATTTTATAGTATATAGAGTATATATATATATATATAAGTAAAAATCATACAATATAATTTCCCTTCTGTCGACTGATATGTCGCACTCATCACTCCCACAACCTGCAAAGTCTCATTTATTCTTTGTGACAATTTTGTGTGTTTTCGTGGAGAGAGTATTATTGTTTTTTTTCACATAACCGGAACAAACTCCAACATCAAAATTTGGGACTTATTATTATTACGAGTAAGTAATAGTGTAGATGAAAAAACAAAAATGCATGCCTTGGGTGCATTCACTGCAACAACAACTCATAATAATAATAATAATTCTCCCCCAACACTATTTTTATTTATTTATTTATTGCCTCAACATCTACCATCCCCATCCAACTTTCTCTCCATTGAATTCTCCTCCTCCACATTTCGAAATCAACTTATTAATTGAATTCGTTGGACAATAGCTTTGTTGGCTTTGTAAACTGTAAATGTAATCTGATTTTGTATTTTGTTTCCATTGTTAATCTAAAAATAACTAGTACTTTCTCTGTTTATAAAAAAGTGTCACTTTAACATATTTCACACAAATTAATAAAAGATTAAAATATACATATATATCTCTATTTAATAAGTAGTTAATAGTTTAATTAATTATAGATTAAAAGTAAAATTTAGTATAAAGATGCATTGAAAATATAGAATAATATTTTTTATATAACAAATTTTTTTTTCTAAAATAACACTTTTTTGTAAAACAGAAGAAATATTATATTTCAGAACATTGCTTCCAAAATATTATATTTTCGAAACAACTTGTAGTACAAAATGAAAACAAATATTATAGGACAGTTTTTTCCATCTAACTTGATCTTTAGTCTAAATCCAATTTATTGATACTATTGACTATGAGAAGAACAAAAAAGCGATGGGTTTGTCGCATAGTGAAATTTGTCAGTGGTATGATTGAATCATTTAAGAAATGGCTTCAAATTTTACTTTCCCGAACGTACCATGCTATTGATATATTTTAAAAAAGTTTATATGAATAGATTTCGGATTTCGTTAATGATATATTTTAAAAAAGTTTATAATAAGAGAAGACGTCTGTGTTACATTTATATGAATAGATTTCGGATTTTTTTTTTTTTTTTCACGTAATGTCGAAATATGGCGGTATATCGTGTAATGCCGTCCATAAACAGAAATTTTGAAAAAATGTGAAGGCATGAAAAAAAGAGAGAACTCGACTGTAAAAAAGGTCAACACTTTTGGTTCCCTTTTAGAAAGGCTTTTTATTATGCATTCCATCTTCCGGACAATTTTATTTTCTTTCTACTTAAAAGATTCTTCTTATTTTTTTCCCTCAAGCCTCAAGGTTAAGTATTATTATAATGGCTAACATAATATTAATATCGTAAAAAAAAATCAAACGAAAAGAACACTTATGGGTTTTAATTTTTTAATTTTTTCTATTTTGTTTATTGCTGACAATGATTCGTTTGTTTAACATATGGGGTTTTAGTTTAGATTCATATATATAGTGTAGGAGGAGCATGTTAATATAATTCGTTTAACGCAGAGCTCGATGCATGGACAAAATGCTTTTACCCCACCCGCATGATTGCATAAACTGGTATCGTTAATATGCTGTAAAAATACACCATTTTTTTTCAGTTTTATTACTAACGAAAACTAATGTACTTTTCAAAATGTATATTTTTTTCCTCTAATTAAACTATGCAGAGGTTTCAAAAAGAGGGCAACAAAAGTAAAAGAAGAAAATGCAGGTATGGTTGGTAAAACTATAATTGCGAGTAGTGACTTTTATATAGAAAGAGGAGCAATCTTCGATATATATATACATACATAACACATCTTAGCTTTGTTAGTATCGTTTCAGTAATTTTCAGAACTAATCATTCCTCCCCGCTGTAACTTTTTATTTATTTTTTTTGGTTATATGTTCATCGTATTTTATATATATTTGATTTAGAACTCTATTGTTGTCAATGCGTTTAGATTTGTTATGGAAAGTTTACCATTAGTTTCATAGTTTCACACCTAAAGTCCATAAAAAGAAAAAAAAAAAAAAACGAACCAACGCATTAATGATGAAGACGACTCTAACGCCCTACTAATCTCGGACTTGACTTGCGTTAAATTGCATAAATTGTGAATTGTGACTTTAGCATGAGACGTTCTTTGCTTTCGATGGAAAAGTCAAAGCTTTTGCAGTATGATTTCATTTCCTTAAACACGTTTTATTAAAATTCTCCAGCTGTAATCGGCACGATGATTTACCAAAGACGAAGAGTGGTTTGAAAGCAACAAAGGTGGTGAGGAAACATGCATGGGTTGAAACGGCGATACATAAGCTTTCATTGGTGAGACATATATCACATAATCATATAAAACTTTTAAAACAAACTTGAGTTTACGCAATGAAATAATTATGCAGATTTTAGAACTCGCATAATACAAAACACCATTGCACCATTATGCATGTTATCAATCATAGTCAATTAGCCATAACAAAATTTATATGTAAAAAGGATGTGTCTGTTGTTGACTAGACACATGTCAATGTGTTTTTTTGATGTATTCCTATAAAAAGATAACATTTCTAAAACATTATTTGTCATCTTTCTTCTTCTTTCGAATTATCACACCCCTTATTATACAACTCATTTGCTAGTGACTTATATGAATCAAACATTATTTGTGATGTATTCATGTTTTTCAAGATGTATACTTCATTTGTTTAAGGAATGACATTTTCGCACCAATTAGACAAAAAAAAATATATTATATTACTAAAAATTATAATATTTTCAAATACAAAAAAGAAGTGATATAAATTTTTCGAAAAAACAAAACAGTAAGAAGACAAACTAATTTTGACAAAAACTGTAGAAATTTTTGCAAGATATGATTTTTGGAATATATGGTAAGACCAGAAAATGCAATGTACTACTGTTGACAAAGAGAAAGAAGAAAGCAATGTGATACGTTTTAGTGGCTAAGTCACACTTCAACACTAGTATTAATATCCTTAATAACGGTTTAGCCAAGTTAATTTGTTCCATCTCCCTTTTTCACTTTTTGCTTAAGCAACAATATATGCATGCGGGACATATCTCTCTCTCACTCACTCTCACTCACTCTCACTCTCAAGCTCATCATGATCACCACATTTTCTCCGGATTAACTTGTAATGAAATCATTATAAATCCATTTTCTTTAAATTCCTTTTAGTAGTTGCATATAGTCTGTACTTAAATATATTCTCCGTGGGTTTGTTTTGAAAGCACAGGGTTTGTTTTGAAAGCACAACATAAATATGTTCCAGTAGTACTGATATTGGATATCCAATTAGCAATGCATCTAGTAACTTAAAAATATATATCAAATGACCATTATTAAAAAAATTCAGAAGAAAACAATTAAAAAACGGGAAAAATCTAGGAGACCTTCTATGAACAGAAGATCTTTTTAGCACAGCATGTTCACGTGAAGCCAGAAGGTGTTCATGATTGATTCGATTTTGTTCTTTATGCAGTTCCCAACAAAAACAGATTAAAACAAGGATTAAAAACTAGTAGTTAAATACGTATACAAGAAAAGACAGTGTTAGAGCAACATTAACGTTAAGCTCTTAAATTTTAATCTTAAGAATATTTAATTAGTAAATTTGAAAAAGTACAAGATAAGAGTTGTGAGTTGGTTTATAGTTCTGAGAGGTGATTATTGATAAGCTCTTAATTAGGCAAAATAAAAGGCATAGGTTAAGGAAGAAGAGTGGTCATAAACTGCATAAACCCAGCGGTGACATTAAGCAAAATACCAATATTTGGCGATCGCTTATCAACGCCGCCGTGATGAGCCGTTGTCGTCTTTCTGATCAATTCGAAGGTTTAACGGATTTGAGGAAATGAGAACGCGAAATCAAGTGAATCTCACGCTAGCTAAGTTTGTCATGTAGATCCCAGATTTTCTCAAGAACAAATTTGATTTTTTCTATCTCGTGAAATCTGAATGAGAAAAGAGAGAAGACAGAGACATTGTGTTTTTTTTCCTTCTTTTTCTTCTTCGACCAATATAGTGATGCCACGTGTGCGTCTCTTATGCTTGTTTATGTCTCTTAATTAAAAGACGTATCTTAAGGAAAATCAACATTAAACATTAAATTTTAATCTTAAATACCTTAAAAATCACCTTAGATCTCACCGGGTGGTCTTAGTAAAAAGGAGCGTATTGGGCTTGTGTTGTAACTTACAATTTTCAAAACAAGAATCGTGAAGTCTTATGACAATATATAATATACACCCAGAACACACATCATCTACTTTATAAGATCTCTCTGCTCGTCTGGTCCTAGTCTAGTGTCCACCAATAATAATATAGTATGTTAATAATGCAATATACACAACCATGTTTTTGAGTTTTGTTGACCAAGGAATAGTTAAACTTGACTTTTCTAGATTATTCTTCAAATTATATGAGTTTTATTTAATGGTAAGTATCAACTTATCCTATCAACAAACCCTAGCTAATGTCCATTATCATCTGCTTTGTACCCTACAAATTATTTCAAAAATTCTATATGGTTTTGTCTTGCAATCTGAATACATTAACTTTTTTGAATTGACACAGCACAAGTCAACTTACTTCTCATAGCAAAGTGTAAATCCCTTTTTACTATAGCCTCCATTACTCTTTCTCACTAGCCATCCAGTTTTGTATATAATAAGTTAACTAAAAATTCAGACAAAATGCGAACTTTTACACTTTCATATAATCTAGCTTATAAAATCTTTCGTCACGAAGACGTAAGTGCTTGACATTATTGGAAAATTCGGTACAGACAATGAATTACATATATATATGGACTCTGAAGACCAGAACCTTTTGCATTGGTAGGAAGTTGAATTGGGAAGCTAGACAGACACATAAAGATTACTTGTGCCAGACGGCATAGCGATGGCCACTTGTTGCTAGAGTCCAGTCTCTACCAGAAGGGCACCAAGAGCCGTCTCCGAGCTTCATACACAGTTTCTCACCAATAATGGCTGCGTATAAGTTCGATTCAGCTTTAAGAATGCGGATCGTTGACCTACTGTGGATATCTTGTCGCCTCCTAATGTCAATCTGTCAATGAATCAAAAGAAGGAGAGAAAATAAAACAGAGGACCATGGATACAAATGATAGCTGGATATATCTAGATATAAACAAAACGATACCAGTTTGACAATCTGATCATGAAACGAGCTTCCCCAATCGTAAAAGTGATCGTAGAATACAGAGGGAATGCCTGGATGAGTAAGTATATATGCATAGCCCTACAAAAACAACAAGACCGATCTTCTTTAATGAGGGAGAGATTTAAAAGGCGAGAAAATAGATAGTCTTTTTGTTTAGAGAGCTTCTTTACCTCCATAATGTGGTGTGAAGGGAATGGCCAATGAGCCTATGAAGCCAACAAGAAGGCAGCCACACAAAAAAACGTAAGCAAACATGTGAAGGCTAATTAAAGCAAATGATCAACAGAAGAAATAGTTAAGGTAACCTGAGTAGAGCCAGTGTCATGGTTATCAAGGAATGTGACTGCTCTTGAAGGCCACCATCCCATTACACCCGGTGGCTTCCCTTGAGCATCACATAAACGCCAATACTGACCCTTTACGGCTTCCTATAGAAACATGGGGCATTTGAGTTTCAATACGATGGTGATATTATGTTACCAAAAAAAAAGGTGACATAGCGGAAGATAACCATCCATTAACTAAGATAACTAAAACACAGATATTGGTCTTGAAGAATCTACGTACCTGAAGAATTCCTTTAGTTGTGAAGTCAAATGCAGCGGAAATCTGTCCCGTGGAATCAATCCAATTGATTATACGCTGTCTATGGCTATCTGTGAAATTAAAGTGTTATAATTTCAGAACACTAAAATCATGGAGCTAGTAGAGTCGCCTGTAAAAAAAACAATTCACAAGGTATAAGATGAAAAGACATTGTGAAACCTTGATTGTAGTCTAGACCATGGCCATTGTATTTGCAAGAATCCCAACATTCTCCAACCGAGAATAATGGTTTAGCTGCTCCAATGTATTCCTTCACATAGTTTGCTGAATAACTGCATCGATTACATTTTCAAACTTCACAAGATTAATGACTCCACAGACAAACAAATGAGTTAAGTGAAGAGAAAGCTTACCCCCTAGCAAAGTCAAAACGGAAATCTTGAAACCCGACAGTGTTGCGCAGCCAACGAAGCCACCCGATTATATCTTTCCTAACAAATTGCTGAGTGTGGTCAACATTTGGAACTCCATTGAAATTATCCCCGGTGCTTCGGTTACCCTGTTTTAGTGGAAACCTTTTCTTTAGCTTTCAGAACATTATGATATCTATCAAACATTATAATATAGTCATCACTCACCAGCCCTCCGGTACAAGAAGTCACGGCGTGTTCATCCCACGGTAATGAAAGTCCATCATAACGGTTATACATCCCACCATGTCCTCTCGTTGTCCCAACACGATGATTGATGACTATATCAGCCATAGCTCTAACTTTGTACTGTTTCATCTTATGAAGCAAGGATTTCAACAGATGCTCAGAGCCATATGCTGAGTTTAGTGAATAAAGGTCTTGTGGAAGATAACCTGGAAGTACAACAACGACAACAATAATAATAATTTGTGCAGTTAGTAATGGTTATTTGAATAAAAGGTCAAACAAACAAAAGCTCATTATGTTTTGGAAATCAATTTAAGCTTACCTTCTGGTGCAAGAGACTGAGATGGTGGAGGCAACCATGCAGAAGTAAAGCCAGATTTTGCGATGTCAGGAACTTTTCCGTCCAAGTTTCTCCACCAATCATGTTTGTGAGATTCCCAGTTATAAGCCTGAAACAGAATTCCAAATTCCTCTTAGGGTCTCTATAAGACTAAGATCAAACCAACAGCTATAAGTGTTAGACTATAATAATATAAAGATGAGCCTACCTGTAGAATGACTTCCCTCCCATCGCGTAAAACTCGACCTGATATAGAGAAGCAATAGAGTTAATGATTGTAGCTTTAAAACTAAGAAACCGGAAAAACTCATGAACATAAGGCTAAATCCTACCGATATCAGTTTGGTCGTTGCATTGATCAAAGACCTGCAAAAGTGTCATGCTTTAAAAACAAAGAAGAAAGATGGGGGCATAAAATGGTAGAGCAGCAAGAAAAGAAAACAAAAGACACTTACATTGTTATAGTACCCCATGTCGAGATAAAATCAGTGAAAACCGAAAACCTCAAACACTGATCGATGAAAAACAGGTTGAATTCAACAATTACCTGCATTCGTAATGATAAAGTTTCAGAACCAGTAACTTCTAAAGCAGCAAACCAAAACCAAGATCCTAAATTCAAATTCAAACATTTCCACTAAGATTACAAATTAGTTTAAGAGCAACAATTACTTCAATTGCAAAAAAATTGGCTGTTTTGCGTTACCAATTCCCCTAAATTCGAAGAAGACAAGAAGATCAAATACCAAGGAAACGACGACGCTACTGCTGCTGCTTCTTGTTCTTCGTGCGATGTTCTATGAAATTTCTTTGCAAACAATCCTGCATAAATAGAGCCGGAGAGGGAACGTGAACCGATTGAATTGCTTAAAATCCCAAGTCCCAAAACGAATCAGAATCAAATTTCAAAACAATTTTGAGCCGCACACAACGAACTTTTCAAAAAGGTGACATTGAAGACAAGGAAACAAAGAACAGAGCTAATTGGTTATACCCACAAAACCCAACGTGACTATTCGATTCTACGGTATTAAGAGATGAGCCACTCATAGAATACAATACCTTCTTCAAAAAGTAGAAAGCTGTAGACAACTTGAGTGGAGAATCATACGCAGAAGATAAAAGATAGTTCCTTTTTAAGATACAAAGCTCCATACTTGTCAAAGTTTGCGTTTTTTCTTCTCATTCGTCCTGCAAAAAGAAAAATCTAAACGCGTTAAGTTAACTGTTAGATTAAGCAAAGTTGACGTGGCATATACAATTGAAATAAGTTTGTATACGCGTAAATGTACAATGAGCAACGCCTATGTCTGATGTCTGAAGGAGCTATGAAAAGTTTCATAGATCAATTAACAATGGCTACATCTTTCTCTTTGACGACCAAGTGACAAATTTGCAAACTTTGTGTGATCGATCGAACAATGTGTATATCGTTGACTTTGTCAAATTGAATTATAGAAGCTTTTGGGCTTGAGAAAAAGCCCATTTTAATGAGCAATCTGGGTGATACCAAAGCGGTGTCGTAGAGCTTCGGACTTTAGTCGTCATCTAGGTATTTGACTTTTGTGCGGTAGCCATTAACGTAGTTACGCTGGAAGATAGAGAGCTCGATGAAATCTCTTCACTAACAATGGAGACTCAGGAGTCTAAAAGACAAGAAATTTCTCCCGGTACGAGTTTTTTGAGATTTAGACCAGAATAAAGCTCAAAAATGTTGACCACCACCATCAGCGGAGACGAAACAGATTTGCCCTGCGGCGGAGGCGGGAATGAGCCTCAAAAAGTTGCTATAATATTTGCGTTTTGCGGCGTAGGATACCAAGGGATGCAAAAGAACCCCGGCGCGAAAACCATTGAAGGTGAGCTCGAAGAAGCTCTGTTCCACGCCGGAGCCGTAACGGAATCTAATCGAGGCAAGCCGAAACAATACGATTTCGCACGATCTGCAAGGACCGATAAAGGAGTCAGTGCTGTGGGACAAGTAGTCTCAGGTCGCTTCTGCGTTGATCCTCCTGGATTCGTGGATCGTCTCAATTCAAATCTCCCAAATCAGATTAGAGTTTTTGGATACAAGCTTGTTACGCCGTCGTTCAGCTCCAAGAAGTCTTGCGATCGAAGAAGGTATGTGTATCTGCTTCCAGTGTTTGCTCTTGATCCCATCTCGCATCGTGATAGAGAGACAGTAATGGCTAGTTTGGGTTCAGGAGAGATATATGTTAAGTGTGTTGAGTGCTCAGAGAGGGGTCGTAAGATTCCAGGTGTTGTGGGCAATGGGAAAGGAACCAACTTTGTTACAAAACCAGAAATTTTGTCGACCAAGTCTAGTGCATTAAGAACTGACGTCAAGATTGAAGCTTTGAGTTCTAATTTATCTAGCTTGAGCTCATTAGATGTTGGAGTAGCTAGTATACAAGAAGATATTTGTAAATTGAATACAAGTTCATCAGAGAAGATCAATGGACAAGGTTTTAAAAGTACCGAAGCAAAGAGCAAGTTTTGTTACGGCGAGAAGGAGAAGGAGCGGTTCAATAGAATACTGAATTGTTATGTTGGATCATATAATTTTCATAACTTTACTACAAGAACAAAAGCAGATGATCCGGCTGCGAATCGTCACATCATCTCCTTCACCGCTAATACTGTCATTAATCTTGATGGTATTGACTTTATCAAGTGTGAAGTCTTAGGCAAAAGCTTCATGCTTCATCAGATTCGAAAGATGATGGGTCTTGCTGTTGCAATCATGCGGAATTGTGCTTCTGAATCACTTATCCAGACTGCTTTCAGCAAGTAAGCTTCTTCTTCTCGGTTAAAAGCTTGCCCATGTCTATAGTTTTGGTTTCTTTGATATTAATTTTGGAAATTATATCTAATCAGGGATGTGGATATTACTGTACCAATGGCTCCAGAAGTTGGACTCTACCTTGATGAATGCTTCTTCATGTCGTATAACAAAAACTTTGAAGACGGTCATGAGGAAGTGTCGATGAAAGCATACAAAGAAGAAGCAGAAGCATTCAAATTGAAGCATATATATTCTCATATCGGCGCTACAGAGCGAAAATATGGAAATGTGGCTCTTTGGCTGCATTCCTTGAACCATAGAAACTATCCTGACCTAAATTTTTGCAGCAATGGACATTACGCTGACCAAGTTCTTGTTCATAAGAAAGTTGATGAAACCCGCCACGAGGAAGAGTAGGTCTTATAATTAGTCCCTAAGCAAAATGATGGAAGCATAGTTTGAAGATTTCATCACATTGTTTGTGCTCTTATTTAATAACTTTTTAATCAATGATTTGTTTTGTGTATTGTTTGTATTATGGTTAGAACTAAAGAATTGATTTGTGTTTCGAACAAAGTCCCCCTCCAATGTCGTGGTCAGAAAAAGAAGAATCTAATAATATGAACAAATATTACTAATTAAAATGATTATAAGGAAGAAACGTGGAACCGAATCTACAGGGCAGAGAGACGTGACGTTACATAAGAGCAGAACCATAAAATCCCCTTAATCCCCACGTCAACCTCTCCGAAGCATCAGCCCAGCCCCATAACTTTTTTACTCTTTTTACTTTCTTTTTTTTTGTAATTGTGATTTAAAATTGGTATTTAGGGTAAATAAAATGTCAGACCATCGATTGACCCGATGAGTTTTAGGGTGTGACTCCTATCTCTTCGTCTGCACTAATAATAAGTACTACTTTAACTTTCGCTTACCAATGCATGTCAAATACTCAACAGTGACATTTTTATTTTAATATAATTGTTATTCAAAAAGCTAACATTTGATACTAATATTTAAGAAGATTGTACGAGTTTTAATAAATTCCTCACCTAAACGTTGCCTTGTGTTTTTTTTTTAGGTATCATTAGTTATATATAACTCCATATATGTATATCGTCCTCCAAATTCTTAACTTTCGTTCACTCACATTCTTGAATTTTCCTCCTACATATTAGTAATATAAGTAGTAAATGATGAAGAGAAAAAAGCAAAGAGAGTCTTTTCTTTAGATATTTTCATAAAATGAACTAGACTTAAAAAAGAAATTTTAAAACTTGTTGAATCATTATTGGATTACACGTTGGAAAGACACACAGATGTGACTAAATTTCGACTGCTCGTAAGCTTAAAAACTTAAAGTTGGTGAGGGTGCAATAATATCACTATTAATAATAACGTGTGAACGAAAAATGTAATTAATACTACGACTAATTACTAGTTGTAGTAGAAGTAGTATCAGACAAATTACAAAGCAACATCATTCAGAAAACGCCTCGAAAATAAAAACAAAATAATTCTCTATATATATATATATATTATATACAATACAACTACAAAATACTTACAAGAATGTTAATTTCCTTTATATCTCTCTCTGTGGTATATATTGAAAACACACAGAAAAAATATATATACATAAAGAAAGAAAGAAAATGACAAATCCTCACGTCCGTTACTTTTAAATCTCTTATCAAATTCTTATATTTTCTATTTCTTTCTGATTTTAATCACAAATCTTATCTTGAATCGTTATCTTTTTCTCTCTTCTTTCCTTAAACCAAAACCCAAAAAAGAGAGACCAGACAAAAAAAAATAAAACACACACACAAACACAAACACTCCCCCAACATTAAAAAGAAAAAAACTAATAGTCAGTCTCGCTCCGAGTACCACCATCTCTGAAACGATGTCATCGGAGAACGAATCGACACCTTCTCAGGCGACGGTAGAAACGACGGCGACTTCACCGACGAAGATGATGAAAGAGTATCCAGAACCATTGGAGACACATGAAGTTGTGGTTCGAGATTCTTCTCGCTTCTGGGATACTCTCAGGCGGTTTCACTCCATCATGTCCACTAAATTCATGTAACTCTTCTTCTATTTCTTTCTTCTTTACTTTATTTTTTTATAGATTTCCTCTTTTATAATTTTTATATATATTCAAGGATACCTGTGATTGGCGGAAAAGAACTGGATTTGCATGTTTTGTATGTGGAAGTCACGAGGAGGGGAGGTTACGAAAAGGTCAACACTTTTTATTTTTTCCTTTCCTTTCCCAAAATACATAACTTTAATGGTAGTTTTTTTTTTTTTGGGTCTATTCATTCTTATATGGTTGAGTTGTTTTGAAAAAAAAAAATCAAAATGCATGTAAATTTTTTTTTAAAAAGGTAGTAGCAGAGAAGAAATGGAGGGAAGTTGGAGGAGTGTTTAGATTCTCTGCGACAACAACAAGTGCTTCGTTTGTCTTAAGGAAACATTACCTTAACCTTCTCTTCCATTACGAACAAGTTCATCTCTTCAATGCTCGTGGTCCTCTTCTTCATCCCACAGGTTTGTTTAATGCTCATCAATGTATCATAACATATGATGCTGCTCCTCTATATACTTGTCTTTCTTTAATAATGCCCTAAAAGTAGACTAGAAATTTCAATTTCTTATTGTTCACAAACTTAAAAGCTTGAAATTTCTAAAATCTCAAGGTCCGATCGTGGGACACGTTCTTTTTTTTTTTTTTTGGGGGTGAATTCGTGGGAAACTTTCTTCATTATGGTTATTGTAATTATCTTGGGACATGACATTTATATAGCGAGGATGATTATTTCTGTTTAACACATAAATTGATGGGATGTCAAATTTTGCAGCTACATTTCATGCCAAGGATTTATCATCGAGCAAAGAATTGGCTCTAGTCGAGTATACTCCTCCGAGTATAAGATATAACAATACTCTTCCTCCTCCTCAAGGTTAGTGTATTATTATTATCTACGTTTTCTTTCATTATTTTTGTATAAGAACTACTGGACTAGAATGATTAAGGATATGAAACAATGATATTATATATCTGCGTAACTTATATTTAGGGGCACAATTTAATTACGTATGATGATTTGTCTAGTTAGCTTTATGTACTTATCGTAAAATCTTTGTTGTGTTTATCTCAAAATACTTTTCAATATATAGTCTAGAATCATAATAAAGGTCCCACTGTCATTATGGTTGATGCAAATTCATTTGGATTTTGTTGGATACTAAACCGAAGACATCGACTTTAACCGGAAACCTTTTAGACTTGGTTGTCAGTTGTCACATAAGATAAAATGTAGTATTTATTCGAGTTTTCTGTATTATTCACCATAAGATAATGGATTACATGTGATATTAAAATACATGGCACAGGTTCGTCGAGTTTCACAGCCATAGGTACAATTGAAGGCAAGTTCGATTGTGGTTACCTTGTCAAAGTCAAGTTGGGCTCAGAGATTCTTAACGGCGTGCTTTACCATTCGGCCCATCCTGGCCCATCATCATCATCACCCGCAGCTGATCTGAACGGCGCCGTTGCGCCTTATGTTGATGATACTGGGAGGAGACGACGCCGTTTAGGTAAAAGACGAAGAAGCAGGCGCAGAGAAGACCCGAATTACCCGAAACCGAACCGGAGCGGTTACAATTTCTTCTTTGCTGAGAAACATTGCAAGCTTAAGTCTCTTTATCCAAACAAGGAGAGAGAGTTCACGAAGATCATTGGCGAATCGTGGAGCAATCTCTCTACCGAGGAACGAACGGTAAGCAAATTGTATCTTAATAACCGGGGATGACATTAGATTTGTTAACCGATAACTGAACCGAGTTTTGGTTGTTGATTGCAATAGGTTTATCAGAACATTGGGTTGAAGGATAAGGAGAGGTATCAAAGGGAGCTGAATGAGTACAGAGAGAGGTTGACACTAAGGGATGGTGACAAGACAAACGGCAAGGTTTCTTAGAACTCGATTTGTTGTGCGTCGTTTCTCTCTTATAAGACCGAACGCCCCTCCGTTTTTTAATCTAACTTATGTTTATCGTCGTCGTAGTTGGTCCATGCTAAAACTAGGCTCAGTATGTAAGACTTGACAAGATTAGCCGTGCGTTTGGAATTTTATTGGACAGTTCCTTGAGAAATTTGAGAAGTCTTTAGATATTTCTGAAATTTTTTTTACAACTAGTATATCAACCAAGAGATTGTGCTAGCTTTGGCATTTTCAAAGTCTCCTCCCTAAGCTTGACTACTTCTAGTAATGCAACGTTAGACAAAAAGAAAATATCATTATCCAATAATGCCACGTAACCTTACCAACATCTGAAACAACCAATTACAGCAATTCTCATGCAGATAACTCTCGTGCTTCTAAAACTAATTTGGAAGAGAGTGTTGTTGGGTTATTAAACATGATGATACACTGTTGTCTCACAGCCCATACGCCCCCGTAAGGTTATCCATACCATATGTCCATACATTAGTCTTTAGATCATCTTTCTTTGTGTCTGCTTGAGACTTGAGGGAGCTCTTTCGTCTAAATAAAAATTCGCGTAAAGTCCGAACGTACGAGTCTTCTTAAAGGCCCAGAACGGCCTGGATTCGTTATTGGGCCTAAGGGATCATGCTATCTCCGGGAAATATAGGCAAGTAGTTTAGTTATAGGTGCCTCAGTAAAAGAATTGGTTGTATGAAATAACGAATCCGTAAATTCATCAGTTGTCCGAAAAACGTTTGCAATAAATCAGCTAAATAATCGAATATAAAAAATAGAGAATTTCACGTGATGAAATCATTATTGATTTTAGCAAGAAACAAAGTTGCAGACAGATAAGATCATGGATCCAAGGGAAAAAAAGAAGTGTATATTTTCAGTTTGATCAAATATTGAAGCCAAGAAGGCAAAGACTCTCTTTATCGAATGGAGAGGTACACGTTGAACAGAGTTTCCAGATCTTGCTTGAACAAGTCTAGTGGGCATTTCCCATTTGGAATCTAGTTGAAAAAAACTATATGAAAAAAAAAAAAAAAAACTATATGAATATTTACAACATCAGTAATGCGTAGAAAGCTCTCGACAGTTGTCACGTTTTGTGCTCTATAGGAAAAGGAAAACAGAAAGAGTGAAAATAGAAACATATTTGAAGACTTCATCTTTCCTATCTGTCTACTTTACTTAATATAGTTTTAAAATGTTATAAAATCATAATTTCGACGAGTTTCAATAATACTTTTGGGGTCGAATATTAACACAGCTGGACATCAGTGTCGTATTATGATAATATGATCTACAGTTGGTATGAATAAGAGTAAATTAATATCGGGTTTCATAAAAATATGATAGAATTGGACCAATCTATAACGAAACTTGTCCTCATTATTACATTAAATATGTCGTGATCACGTGACCAGTGTTTAAATTTTCTTTAAAAACAAAACAAGCTGTATTAAGATGAGTGATCAAAGATTCGTCATGTGATATGATGGTTCATATAAGTCATGTGATACGACTCAATTTACTAAACATCATAATTTTAAATTTAAACAATAATTGGGATACCCAGCGAACTTGTTGTGGGTGTTAAATTTAAGAGAAGCTCACGGATCCCCAACAAGGGTAATAACGATTTGAGACTCTGAAAATGCGAAAGGTTCACAGACTCATCATGCCCGGACAGGGAGGTTCAAGCCTTCAAGTATTTCATTAGTAATCAATCATTATTAGCTACATATATATTTCTCCCTTGATTCAATTTTCATTTTATACTGATACACACCGTCTCTTTAGTTAATCATATAACAACAATTCCTAAGTTGTACGGAGAGGGAGAGAAATATATAGAAATGAAAAGAGAGAAAAAAATTACAAAGACTTTAACATAGACAAATATTAAGGAGCTGGCCATGACCCTACAACGTGGGAACAAAACAGTGAAATGCTTGTTTGAACCTATTAAGGATATCACACAGAGAAAAATACATCTCAGTCAGATAATTTAAGTTGGAGATCGTATAAGTAATGACTAATGATCCCATGGCATTCACATGTAGTTCTGTAGATCTAGATCTATAAATAATTACAGTTAATTTGTCACTGTTATGTAACTTAGAACTGATGTGAGTAAAAATATATAAATGACTAGTAGTAACCCTCGTGATATCTTTCTTTAGGGAGGAAGTGGTGTGGATCAAAAAGTTTCTGTTATTTTACATCGTCAAAAGGATTATTTAAATTGCAAGATTCTAAACTGGGATCTTCCTACTATTTACATACATGTTTTGTAGATAAAAACCATTAACACGGTACAAGTAAAGACTCGTGAACTTAAAAGACTCCTCTCTCTCTCTCTCTGTTCTATTGTTTTTTTCTGTCTCTCTCTTGAAAATGGTGGACTCGGTGGCACTCTTCTGCACCGCCGGTCTCGTAGCCGGCGCACTCTACTGGTTCATCTGCGTCTTAGGTCCAGCAGAACGAAAGGGCAAACGAGCTTCAGACCTCTCCGGCGGCTCAATCTCCGCCGAGAAGGTCAGAGACAACTACAACCAGTACTGGTCTTTCTTCCGGCGACCAAAAGAGATCGAAACCGCCGAGAAAGTTCCTGACTTCGTCGACACATTCTACAACCTCGTCACAGACATCTACGAGTGGGGATGGGGTCAGTCTTTCCATTTCTCACCACATATCCCCGGGAAATCTGACAAAGACGCCACGAGGATCCACGAAGAAATGGCTGTCGATCTCATCAACGTGAAACCTGGACAAAAGATCCTCGACGCAGGCTGTGGCGTAGGTGGTCCGATGAGAGCCATCGCTGCCCATTCGAAGGCCCAAGTCACTGGAATCACCATCAACGAGTACCAAGTGCAACGAGCCAAGCTACACAACAAGAAAGCTGGACTTGAATCTCTCTGCAACGTCGTTTGTGGTAACTTCTTGAAGATGCCTTTCGAGGAAAACACGTTCGACGGTGCTTACTCGATCGAAGCAACGTGTCACGCTCCAAAACTCGAAGAAGTCTACTCAGAGATTTACAGAGTGATGAAGCCAGGATCCTTGTTCGTGTCCTACGAATGGGTCACAACTGAGAAATACAGAGACGATGATGAAGAACACAAGGATGTGATCCAAGGGATCGAGAGAGGTGACGCACTTCCCGGACTAAGAAGCTACAAAGATATAGCTGCGACGGCGATGAAAGTTGGGTTCGAGGTAGTGAAGGAGAAAGATTTAGCTAAACCACCGTCTCAACCGTGGTGGAACCGGTTAAAGATGGGAAGGCTTGCGTATTGGAGAAACCATGTTGTGGTTGTGATTCTTTCAGCAATTGGTGTTGCTCCTAAAGGAACTGTTGATGTTCATGACATGTTGTTTAAGACTGCTGATTACTTGACCAGAGGTGGTGAGACTGGAATCTTCTCGCCGATGCATATGATTCTCTGTAGAAAACCAGAGAAAGCTTCTGAATGATGATTTTGTGAGGAATCTTCTTCTTCTTCTTCTTCTTGGTTATATTTTTCAGTTTTCCTGTTTTGCCTTTTAAGAATCTTTTTGTCATTGTATTGATTGATATGCTTTGGTGTTCAGTGTACTTTATTTTTCTACTTTTCAATTTGATTTGTTTTGATTGACGATGATGAATCACTGGAAACAAAAACTGTTATCTTATTTCTTACATAATACCTTACAAAGCATTCGCCGGAAATATCTACTGGACTTGAAGTGATGTACCACCTTATTTAAAGAGAGCCTCTGTTTAGTTTTAACTTTTAATGATCTGCTGAGAGTAGCGCCGGCGACGAAACAGGGGATTAGCAGTTTAGAACGTGTAGTGTTACTTTTAAGATCAGGAGGTAGCTTTGGTTGATGAAAAGGTGTGACATCGTTGTCCGAAAGTAGTGAGTTAGTGACTGGTCGTGGGATTTGATTTGTGGCCTTCCGATATGCGTATGACTTTTAAAATTTATATTCTTATTTTATTTTTGGGTTAATGGTTTTGTCGCATTTCGGTAGTAGGTGAAGCGTGGTCGCACGAACTCTGGCTTACCTTAGAAAATTATTTATTTTTTCTTAGTTTTACAAAGTGGTTTGAGTATTGAAGTGATTTTGTGCATAACTACAAAAGCTACCCACATGTAGCCAACTCATTCTACTGCATTGTTTGCATTGACTATCACCAGTACAGTCGAATCTATAGTGGGCTTTTATTTGTAATTACATGGGCTAAAGGCCCATTTATATTGGTTTTCAGGATATACGTGTGTGACATAGACAACAATACACGTATAGATGTCGAAGTCAAATAGTCAATAGACACCTATGTGTGTCGAAAGCTGAGAAAATGTCCAAACTTTGACAGCTGATGCAGTTTTTTTTTTTTTTTTTTTGGGTTTTCTTTGCCGAATACATTTTCCTTTTACCAGATCGAAGATACATACAATGGACTTTTAGTATGTAAAAACAACTGGTTCAATTAGTCTTACTTGGGTGCTGCTGATGGAATTTTCTAGAATATGTTGTCATTATGCAACTTAAACAAAATCAATTTCACTTCAATTGCTTTTAGAAACAGCAATCTCACCAAGTTCACATATTCCTTTTTATATTCCCATACAAAAAATCTAATCCAACAGTGAATACAATCCACACAAATTTTTAACAAGTGGACATAAAAATCTTGGACCCATTTTAAAAACTTCTATCCACATTAGACCATTCACTGATCTCTCTAACCAATCCACACACGTACAGAATGGCCACCGTCGGTAGCTTCTTAGCCAAACCGATCGCCACCGTAGTTCCAAGGCCTTCCTCCGCCGTTGCTTCGACCTCCTCCTTCGTATTCTTCAACCATAAAACCAACTCTCTCTTCCGAAGGCAAACCATCCCGAAAAGACTATTCTCCGCCGTTAGAGTGAAGGCTGGAGCGACATCTCCGGGAAAGGTTGGTACACCGCCAGCGAATGATGAGAAGGTAATAAAGATTCACAGCGGAGAGGAGTTCGACGAGGCGTTGAAAAATGCGAAGAGCAAGCTTGTGGTTGCGGAGTTTGCTACGAGTAAGAGTGATCATAGTAACAAGATATATCCGTTTATGGTGGAACTAAGCAGGACCTGTAACGACGTCGTTTTCTTGCTCGTCATGGGTGATGAATCTGACAAGACCAGAGAGCTTTGTCGGAGAGAGAAGATTGAGAAAGTTCCTCACTTTAGTTTTTATAAGAGCATGGAGAAGATACACGAGGAAGAAGGTGATTTTTCCCCATTTTTTCTCTAGTCAATTTCGTTTTTGAAAAACACTCGATTAGATTAAATAAACAATTAACCCCCAATTAAAGAAAATATATTAGAATTATACTTTACTCTAACGATGTTGCACATGATTAGTTGAACAAATCTCTCAAATTTAGTGAAAAAAATATAGCACAATCTATCAAAAATATAACCAGTCTCTCAAATTGGTCTCACACTTGTAAATGAACTGATTACGATTTACGATGATTATTTATGTTAGGTATCAGGTATGTAGTTGATGCTGTAACACTAGTAACCATAATTCTAATTTCTATGTAAAACATAAATACATAAGCAAATTTAGTGTATTATATAGGATTTCGAAGCACATATTATTCGCCTAGTTCTTAGTAGGGTAATGTAGTGGCAAAAGACGTAAATTAAATGGGAAAGTTGGCTATTGGCAGGTATCGAACCGGACCAGTTAATGGGAGACGTGTTATACTATGGCGACAACCACTCGGCGGTGGTGCAGCTACACGGCCGACCTGACGTAGAGAAGCTGATCGAAGAGAACCGCACGGGAGGGAAGATGATCGTTCTTGACGTCGGACTGAAACACTGTGGTCCTTGCGTTAAGGTGTATCCGACCGTGTTGAAGCTGTCCCGGTCGATGGCGGAGACAGTAGTGTTCGCTAGAATGAACGGCGATGAGAACGATAGTTGTATGGAGTTTCTCAAGGACATGAACGTTATCGAAGTCCCAACTTTCTTGTTCATTAAAGACGGCAAGATTTGTGGTCGTTATGTTGGTTCCGGTAAAGGAGAACTCATCGGAGAGATTCTCCGGTACTCAGGCGTTCGTGTCACGTATTAATTTGTATCAGAAACTCAATTTATTAAACCAATAAATTGATATTTTTGGTTTTTGTCTGTACCATTTGAGACTGTTAATGTGAAAAAAAAAAACATTTTGGGATTTTCAGTAAGGGAATGAAATGTAATTGTTACATAAAGATTATGATTTGTAGCCACCAAGCCAATGAAGATACTCTACTATTTATTCTGTACATATTACACAAATAATATTCATTTTGGTATGTGATATTAATGGCTTGATTGTGAATTACATTTAATATTGGGACAATTTGGTGGTAATGAAGATATTGGTTGTTGTCACTCTTGTCAGACACATGTCATCATTCAAGAAAAACTATATGAAATTGTAAACTTAGTAATTGTAAAAAAATGTAAACGTGAGAGAGATTTTTCTTGGTGGAGTAAATTTGAATATTCACAAAAAGAAAACATGAAATGAACGATCATCATTATCACAAATCTTCAACATATACACGTAACAACAAAATCCAGATTTATTGTGTTATGATGATCATTATACAATTTGGATATAGAACTAGTTTATAAATATATAATGAAAGGAAAATAAAGTGAAAAAAAATAGAAATGAAATTTTTGATCAAGTGACTTGAAGATGAAGTGGTTTTGGTGGATCCATGGTTCTTCTCTTCCACAAGTTAACTTCTTTCTTTGGTTTTAAGTTTAACCCTAACGGAGCTGAGAACGGGATTATGATGTCGTCTTCGTCATCGTCGTCTCTCAAGTAAGCTCCTCTTGTGTCGTCGTCGGAATAGTAACCACGGTGAAGATCAGCTGGCGAGTCTTCTTCGTGTTTCATCTCAGCCGCCCAATCAAATCCACCTAAAGCTTCACGGCTGCTTGCGAATTTCTTCATCTGGCCTAACGAAGGCACCGCCGCGGAAGAAACCACGGTGACAGGATGCTCATCCGCGGCGGATACGGCGGTGGGATGAGATTTTCTTGAAGTGGTGTTGGCCGGCGAGAAGGAGAAGAAACGTTTGATCTTGGATATACGACCTTTATCATCTTCTTTGGTCAAAGAAGACGACGTTTTAGGTATAAGAGATGCGGTGGGTTTGTTCTTTTTACCGGTTGGGCATTTATTAGACTTACCGAGCTTGATCTGGCCGATGCAAGAGACTTTAGGTGAAGTGGGTTCGTCCCAAACAGCGTCGTTTTTGTTTCTTCTAACCCGAGCCGCGTTAGGAACCAAAGGAACCATAGGACCGGAGAAAAACATTTTGTTAGACGCCGTGTTACTGTGGTGGTTGTTGTGGTGGAGATCTCTTCCGGGACTAAACGGCGGAACTCGATGTCCAAACGACATGGCTTTGGGAAGCATCTGCAAGAGCTTGTTCTTGCTCTTGGGTTTTGAAGTCGAAGTATGGTGTTTGTTGTCCATTGACGATGATTACCTCCAAAGCTAAAGAAGAACAGAGGATTCTGGGGGTTTTTTGTTCTTTGGGGTTCTGTTTATGATATGAGAGAAAAAAATAAGGAAAAAGAGAGGAAATGAGTTTGACAAAGTCAACGATGATGCCTGGATTGGTGGAGTTTTGGGTCAAATTGTGATCTAAAAAGGAAGAAGAAGACCCTTTTTTGTGTTTGTTTATACTGCCGAAATCTAAAAACTTTTAAAAATGCGGAAGGCATGTTTGATTTATCGCAAGTTTCCTCTTTTTGTTGTTGTTACTGTCTATATTACTACTACCCTAAAGGCAATACTTTTGTTTGGTTCGACGAGGATTAGTTAATTACTAATTTGACTTTAGTTTTTGAGTCTTAAAAATCAAAATAGTATATTATTCTTTTGAAATGAGGGGTGATAGTCCTACATGTAAAACAAGAAAAATTCAGCCATATTGGAAAAAAGTAGAACTTATCAACGAAGCATTAAACTATTTTACGAGTGATCCCCACAAATTTATAAAATAAAATAAAAAACCAGTTGTTGAAACATTAAAAAACGACTATGTCTTTTTGATAAACATTTTGATTTTTTTTTGTGTCCATGTTACGATAATGGCATATAATGACGACAATAAACAAATCATTAGGCTAAATATTTACCATGTTCTTTTTGTTTTGTTTGGAAAGATTTAATAACTGAACTATTTGAAATCACATGTTGTGTCTCTATTGAATCACCAAACTTCGTGTTTAATTTAGTGATATCTTATGGTTTACCCTATTTTGTGCGTTAAAAAAATGAAAAAAATGGGGGAATATAAATTAATTAGTCCCCAAAGGCACGAACAACTAGCAAAACGATATTTAATTAGACTGAAAAATGTGACAAAAAAAAAAAAACGAAATAAGCCAAAACAATGGAGATAGAAAGAAAATAATGCGAAGTTGTCCACTAGTGAGGAGGATTAAGAAAATCATGTTATTCAAACACGATGCTAAATCCAGCTTTTAGTATACATTTTCCTCTCAAAAGCTACCTAATTACTTTGTTGTCTCTTTGCAACTATTGAGTTAATACTTTGGGCAACCATTTTAATAATAATCGGAAACGAATGGATCTGAAACTTTGAACATGAACTGGTCCAAAAACATATTGATGGTTTCGTCAACTTAAAGTGGACCAAACCAAGCTACATTAATATTGATTACCGGTTTACACTTAAACCGCACATCATTTCATTAAACCCATCATCTTGTGCTTCTCACGTGACTTCTTTCTTTTTTTTTTCTCCTTTTTTTGTTTTTGGAAGTCTTTCCCCAGATTTCGATTTTGGTTTTGTTTTTTTTTGTTTTTCTCTGAATTGAGATCTTTTATCCAGTGTGAATTCTTAATTCAAGCGGGCAGGGAGAAATTATGGCTCAAGCGTTGGATTTGCAGAGCTTTATTCTTCGTGCTCGAGTTCTTAAGCTTTACCGACAAGCGTTGAAGATAGCTCAGAGAGCTCCTGTTCATGTCAGAGGTTCGTGTTTCCATTTCTTATTTCTGAACTCGATTAGGTGTCTCTAGATTCATCCAATACATCTGAAACTTTCACACCAGAAATTTGCCTTCACCTTAGATCCAATTGATTACCAAATCTTTAAATGTAGGGGTTTAGTAAGAGTTTGAACAAAATGGTATAATGGAAACTTTAGAACTTCATATAGCTCTCGTAGCTCGTGGTTGAATAATGTTTTCATGTAATCAAGTGTTTTATGATTCAAGTTTTTTTTACAGGGGAGTTGAAGCAGACTGTTAGGGAAGAGATGGAAAAGAACAGAGACTGCAACGACAAACAGAAGATTCGATATCTGATTAGTGAAGGTTTAGAGAGAGTTAAAGGACTTGATGAGATGTTGGATATGCAAGGCCATTAGCCATTAGCATTGGTATAAGATGATGCTCCTTTGTAGCTTCTTCTTTAATTGAAGGTGATGATGCGATGCTAGATTCTTCAAGTATACATTCTGGTCATCTTTGTGTTTATGCTCTTTCTTGCATGTCTTCTTCATCTCTATAGATTGATATTTTTTTTAACAAATTTAGTTGGAGACAATTCGATGTTGCTTGTTGAAAATCTATAGAGATCAAGTAGATACGAAAGAGAGAGTTTTAGTTTAAACACAAAGCATTGCATCACCTTCACCTTCAGTTAATTGTTCATTTGTATCTACACATCATATGTTTGACATAATTTTAGTCGTTTTGTGTGTGTTCTTCAACCTGCTTCAATCTTTAGAACCATGTATGTGGATTGACTTGGCAAGTATCCATATCCCTCTACTGTATTTATTATTTAAAAGTTGTATTCCAGCTTCTTCTTCATCTTCTCATAATGCACATAAGAAGATTGTTCATGCCTTTTCTTCTTAGTCATTGAGTTTAAGACCTTTTAAGAGATCTTTCAAATTCTCATCTCTGTGAAGAGAACAATGTTTGAGTTCTTTGTAAGAGATAGCAAAAAGGCTGCTTCAATAGTATTAATGGAAGCTTAGTTCTCCCTCTTCCTTTGAGGAACGCAACTTTTAGCTTCAGTGTTGTTAGAGAAGCCAAAAACACTGAAGAGGAGTTTAAAAATTTGATCTAACTGGACTAAAATAGACAATACCGAGCGATTATGTTGATCTAAGAATGGGCCTATACAGCCTTATGAAGAAGCCCATCTACTTAATTCTTGTATGAGACAATTTTACTTTTAATTTTTGGTATTGAGTGAGAGAAAGAGAGAGATGATGGCTGCGAAGCTTCAGCAATGGCGAAATCTTGCAGGTCGTCTAGATCTGATGGCTCGGATCGACGCCGTGTCGACGAGACGGTTCATACATGAAGGTCCAGACACCGTGGAAGAGCTTCTCGATAGACATCTAGCGAAAAAAGAGAAAACAATTATCGACGATGATGAGGCCGAGCTTCTGAACAGGCGGCGTCTGACGAGCACGCGCCGGGAAGCGCTGAGTTTGTACAGAGACATATTACGAGCGACTCGGTTCTTCATGTGGATTGATTCCAGGGGAAATCTGTGGAGGGACGTGCTGAGAGAGAACGCGAGGAAGGAGTTTGAGGCGGCGCGATTTGAGAAGGATCCGGAGGTTATCACGAGGCTTCTGATCAATGGAAGCGATGCGGTTTCGTCTTCTTTGGATAAGCTTGCTGAGAAGCAGAGAGAGATGATCGAGAAACAACGCCGTGGCGATCAACCGTGACTTTGACTTGATCATCGTGCAAGAATATTTCAAACAAATACTAAACCAATTGAGCTAAATTTTGACATGTTTATAAAGTTCTTCGTCTTGATGCCTTTGGTTATTGCTGTAAATGACCGCGAGAAGAAGAAGAAGATGCTGGGAGATTTTTGGTTCTATGTCATTTTGAGTGTTGCACGACTTAGATGTTTATGACATATCATTGAAGAGTCTGTATACATACACACCTCTATAAGCTATAAACAAGGCTTTGATTTTAGAATTACTTGGTGCAACATCATAAATATCAAAAACTGGAATCTACAATCTCTTTTGTTTCGTCAGAGATCACCAGACACGAAAATTGCTTGTTTATTTGAAAAAGATGTGTTCCCCTTCTTTTGATCTTCACCATCAGTGGCTGTGAGGAATTATAAACAAAAGTCGAGAGACGAGAGACTAGTTTACCTGCGCAAAGCAAGAGCAAGACTTACTTGTCTCAGTATAACCAAAATCTTTGTCACGAAAACAGAGTCGTTAGGTATGATGAAGTAAGTTAGAAACCAGAGATAATTGGATTACGTTTTCTCTTCCGCTCCTACGAAGCAAGCCTACTATCTCTGCAAGATCTGGAGGTGGTGGACATGAAAACTTTACAATTTTCCCGGTACATGGATGCGTAAAACTACCAAGGAAAACAGAGTTCAAAAAGCAGTTATTAACTGATTCTGCTCCTAAGTTTGAGTCGAGAATATAACATTGAGAGTTGAGTTCTCTTACCCGAGAACTATAGCATGAAGGCACGGCCTATCCAGTCTGGAAATTAGCTCTATGATCTCATCTTGATCACTGCGGCAGACTCTTTTCTGAAGAAGAGAAAGGGCCATGCTTTTGGTTCCACCATAGACTTCGTCACCCAATAGAGGAACTCCCATATACTTAGCATGAGCACGTATCTACTTCAAATCAAGATGGAAGAAAAAATGCTTTTCAGAAATCACAAGTTCAATTGTTCAAACCTGCTGGAAATATATAACTCAGGGCAGTAACTTAAACAGAAAGCGAAAATAGATGACTCAGGACAGTAACATAAACAAAATGTGTTAATACTTTCAAAGATGATCCTTCTTGTGGACAGAGTTTAACATGAACAGTTTAATAATACCTGATGGGTACGGCCGGTTTCCAGTCTCCACTCAACCAATGCAGAGCCACCGCCAGCTAGTGTCTCAATTACCTTATACCTAAGAGAACATTGTTTGAGCACATTAGTATCAGTTGACCACTCTTAAGAGATTTTTTTCTCATTTCTGAAGAATAGATGCAGTGTTTATAGTGCTTGGTGCACTTGTAAAAAAAACTGCTCTCATCACCTACTAGCAGCATGGCGGGCTCTTCCACTGCTTAATCCGCCAGGTATAGCAGCCATACGGATCCGATTACTCGAATCACGACCAATTGGTATCTCAATGCGCCCCTGAGGTGGAGAAGGAACCCCAGTAGTAAGACTTACATATACTCTCTCAATTGTGTGTAGCTTAAACTGTTCTGCTAGATGGGCATGAGAATGTTCATCCTGCCAATACACATTTCATTAAATTAAGAAGAAGCAACCAAAGTAGTTCGTAAAGTAGCCACCAAAAGAAGAAGAAGAAAGAAAAACACTAACCTTGGCTACAACGAGCAATCCAGTTGTGCCTTTATCCAACCTATGAACAATACCAGGACGAACAGAAGCAGCATATGAACTAGAAGAAGTCATCTCTTCACCATCTGAAAAACTTTCATCATCGGAATCATCATCTTCCGGGCTTGAATAAGCGACAGAAGGAAGACTGCAATGGTGAAGTATGCCATTAACAAGCGTGCCGGTAGGATTCCCAGGCGCAGGATGAACAACCTAAAACATATGAAAGATACTTAAAATACTAATGACGATTTCTAAGTCATATCTAAGTATATTGAGAGAACATGATTACCATGTGAGCTGGTTTGTTAACCACAAGGACGTGTTTATCTTCATAAACTATATCCAGTGGTATATCTTCAGCTTCAGCTTTCAAAGGTTGAAGCTCTGAAATTGTGCAATTAACCTCATCGCCAGCTTTAACATTGTGCGAAACCTGGAAGAGAGCTTGAAACTTGGTTGAGAAGGATAAGAAATTGACAAAAAATTAAAAATATATAGAAGAACGGAATCGGAAGTCAAAAACCTTATCAACGACTCGACCATTGACGGTAACAAGCCCAAGCCGAATACTGGACTGTACACGAGCTCGGCTAACACCATTAATACGAGAAGAGATCCAAGAATCAAGTCGAATCTTCCCTTTCAAATCGTCTACTGTCTCCTCGATTCTGAGGCCGGCGTTATTAACTCTGGGGAGGATGCTCTCCGTCGGACTACAGGCGACCAAATTGTGGATTCCAGAACTTGCTCTGACGAAATCCGAAACCCTAGGGAAGAAGGAGAAGAAGACAGAGAGAGAAGACGAAGAAGAAGAAGGATAACGAAGGGATTTAACGGAGGTTAAGGAGAAACTCGGCAGCTGAGAGATTGAGAGCATCGTTGTTCGTCGTCAACTTCAAAATCCCCCAGTTTTGGTCTCTCTCTGAAGCAAACCGAAAGCCTCTAAGTGAGAGGGAGGTTTTCCCACTATTTTTTTTTGTCATGCCGTTAAAAAAAAACAAAAAAAACTTCTAAATTTTCTATTAGTTTAGGCCTTTAATAGGCTTTTCGTCATTGTACATGGGCCACGACATTTGTTTCAAATATGGAAAAGTTTCTAATAATACGTCATTTAGTAATAATGTTTTTATTTAATATTCAAGTTTTGTTCTATTTACACCTGAAATTTCATAGCAAGCTATATTTTTGAAAAAAACCTCCAAATAGTTTTAATTTATATTAATTTATTGGAAATAATGAAAATAGATTAATAAATAAAGGAAATTTTCTTAAATACCACTAAAATAAAGAGAAAATGAATTGGTCAAATTATTAAATAAAGAGAAAAGGAAATCAATAAAAGAAATCTTAAGAAAATACTTAGGTTCACATTGGTCAAATTATAAAAAATCCATTTTATATGAATTGAGGTTTTTTTTTTCCTTTTCTTTGAGTAAATACTCACGAAGGTACAAACAATTCGTTTTATAACATGTAAGAAAAAAAGAAAAGAAAAAAACATAGGGATGCATTACTTGTCATTCATTCGACTTTATTTACGGCCTTTGCTTTATTTATAGAAGAAGCAAAGCATCCGTTATATATAGTAGTAATTAGCTTATCATCTGATCAGCTTCGGATCTGAATCTGTAGTTCCTTTCCTCATCATCGCCACAAATTCCTCGTAGTTTATCCTCCCATCCTATCACATTCACAATCATCATCATTAAATCATCTTTTGTAAACATCAATCATCATTATAGACAGAAACAAAGACAACCAGATGTAAATGTGTTTTGACTTACGTTGTCGGTATCAACATCATCGATAACTTCATCTATGGTCGCGTCATCACCCATACCATATTGTGTCATTGAATGTTTTAGCTCATCCCTTGTGATATATCTTATTTTAGAACAAAAGGAAATAACATGTTAGTAATTGTGTTTTTGTGGGTGAAGAAGGAGAGACGTGTAATAATATAAGAATACTAACCCGCTTCTGTCCTTGTCGAAGAATTTGAATGCTTCTATCAAATTCTCTTCTTTCTCCAATCTATGGCGATGCATTGTAGCTGTTATAAACTCAATGTAATCAATCGTCCCACTTTGGTCCACATCAGCCTATATATGAACAAATCATTGAGAATATAGCTTATTTGCATGGTTTGATAAGTAACCAGTAGGATTTGTTTTTTTGGGTTCTTACAGCTTCCATGAGTTGTTTGATTTCAGATTCTGTAAGCTTAGATCCAAGACGATGTAACCCGCTTCTTAGTTCATCAAAAGTGATGGTTCCACTACTATCTGTATCCATGTTCTTAAACATTTGCTTTAATCCCTTTATCTCTTCTTCTGATAAGTTTTCAGCTATCACCTTAATTAAAAACATGGAAAGTTTCAAAAATCCAATTTTCATTTAGATAGATCTTGAAATAATCTTTGGAGATGGATACTCATTTACTTTACCTTCAAGGCAAGTTTCTTGAGCTTGTTCATTGCGCGGAACTGCTTCATCCTAATAAGAACAGCGCTATCGATAGGTTTATCTGATATTTTGCTGTCTGTCATCCATGGATGCTCTGTTTTTTTTTTTTTGTTTCAATAAAACAAACACCACGACAAAAGATTGGTTAGTTACTCGTAAGGTCTTAGGAGGTAGAATATGTTACAAATGTAGACGCATTGCAAACATACCAAGTGCTTCAGCCGCGGTAATCCTTTTCTTAGGATCTACTGTCAACATTTTTCTAATCAAATCTTTGGCGCTTTCGGATATAGTAGGCCAAGGAGAAGTCTCAAGATCCACTTTTCCTTCTAAGATTGCCTCAAATATAGTCTTCTCGGTCTCTAAAGAACATTAAAGAGTACCAATTCTATTATGTCTCCAACATTCTTCAAATTGAGTATATATGTGATAATTACTTTTGGATTAAAAAATGTTTGTGCATACCTCCCCAAAATGGAGGAACACCACTGAGAAGAATGTAAAGCATGACACCGGCGCTCCATACATCGATCTCTTTCCCATAGTTTCGATGTAGAACTTCAGGTGCAACGTAGTATGCGCTCCCAACTATATCTCTATACACTTTCCCTACACAACAATTTGTCATATATGTAGAACAAAAGTTTAGCCTAATATACGTTCAAACATATTCAATCCTAATACAGCTCCTTAGTAGTCTCAAAAGTCTTCTAATTTTTTTGGTGTGAATTAAAATCTAAAAAAGAATTAATTCCCTGTTTTCTTTTTTTTGTTATTTATCAATCTTGTGGGAAACATCTGTTGACTTGGGTTGACCCAAGTCGTTTTCAAAGTTGACTTGGTGTCACACTAGATTGATCCCACACGGAGATACAATGTCGCTATCTTCTATCTTGATTAGACCACAAGTTTAAACATTATGGTTTATCTCCTAAACACACTAACTACTCAATGTAAGCACAAAGACAAACCTTTCAAACAAGACACTTCAAATTTTGGTTCGTAAAGAAAATTACTAGCGTAGGAAAAGAAACACTCGTAGATGAAATATAACGTTAATTGATTACCTTCTTCGATGAAAACAGAGAGTCCAAAATCAGTTGCCTTGATGGGAGAGTGTTCTTCGTGACTGACAAGCAAGAAATTCTCAGGCTTTAAGTCTCTATGAACAACTCCCATGAAATGACAAACGTGAACAACGTTAACGATCTGTCTGAAGATATTAGCAGCTTCTTTCTCAGAGTAACTCCCTTTTTTGATGATACGATCAAAGAGCTCTCCTCCAGAGCAGAGCTCCATGACCAGATGAAGATTCTCTTTGTCTTCATACGCGCCTCTGAACTCGACGATGTTAGGCTGACCAGTGAGGTGCTGCAAGATCATGACCTCACGTCTAACGTCTTCGATGTCTTTGCGACGTATGAGTTTACGTTTTGAGATGGATTTGCAGGCGTATTCTCTGCCGTTGGATTTGTCCGTGCACCGGTAGGTTATACCGAACTGGCCACGGCCGAGTTCTTTGTGGAGGTCGTAGAGAGCTGAGAGATCGATCATTGGTCGGTTTAGGATTGGACCGATTTGAGAACCGGAGGAGGATGAAGGAGGATGAGCTGGTTTGGGTTTGGGTTTGGGCTGAGGAGTGGAGGTGGAGCTACTGGTTTGGCCTTGAGAAACGGTTGGCTTAGGGAGAGGTTGGTAGTGATGACGAGGACTAGAATCGGAAGAAGAAGAGATTGGGATCTCATGAGTTTGAGATTTGGAGAAGCAAAATCCCATAATTTTTTTTCTGAAAATTGTTCGAACGTTTTTGTTTCTCTGTTTTTTGGTAGCTTTATTGTGGTTTTTAAGCATGTGAGCAAAGTAGATCGGTCTTTCAGACTCTTGTTTGGTCTTCTTATTCCGTGTTAAATAAATGATTTTTTATTTAAGAAATAAAGGAAAGATGAATGAAATACACAAAAAAGGAAATTTAAAAGAGCATGAAAAATGTAATGTTTGCATTGAATGGGTTTGTGGGGGTGCCTTGCTTTTGCGTTTAGAGAAGGTTTGGGTATCATTTTTCTCCTTGGAGAGGGTCTCTCTAGGTTCCCTTCCCCTTTTGCTAATCAAAATATTAATCAACCTCAGGAAAACTCAACTTTGATTCAAAATGAGCAAAAATTGGTATAAACATTTATTCTGAGAAGATAGATTATAAATTATCGATAGTGCAATTGATTGGAAAAAGGACAAATTAAGTTTGGTTTCATAATTTCATTGATTCCTTTATTTCGGTGGTCTATCTTGTCATCATGATTTCTTTCCACAACTTAACATTAAAATCAGGGTTCTGTGGGTAACTTTGAACACAAAATGCAGCTCTACTCTATACAAACAAAGCTATGAATCACCTCTTTTTTTTTTTATGTCTCCACAATATATATTTTAATCCCATTTTCGAACCAACCTCAAGAAGACAAGAAGGTAATAAAATACGACATCGTCTCATCGATTTTTATTCAATTTGGAACATATTACAGAACCAAAAAAAAATATCACCAATATTGGAGAACACACCAGATATGTAGCTCTTTCTTTTTGTTTCTCTATATAAACATCAAACAATACATAACAAAATTCACACTTTTCACCTGGAAAGAGTTTTTGATACGATATAGCACCATTACCTGATTTAACTGGTTGCATCGCGGCTGTAGAATAGGTCAAGTGTCTTCGCAGGGATACGATGAAGAAGCTCGCGTGGGAAGATACGGAGCAATGTCCAAGCCAAGTCCAGCGACTGGAAGATGTTGCGTGTGTCATAAGCTCCTTGCATCACAAACTTCCTCTCAAACTTATCCAAAAACTCTAAGTAAAGCAGATCCTCTGATGAAAGTGCTTCTTCTCCAACAACAGCTTTCATAGCTTGAACATCTTTACCAATTGCATAATTCGCATACAGTTGGTTCGACACATCTGAATGGTCTTTGCGAGTCATTCCTTCGCCAATAGCACTCTAACAGAACGAGGATTGATACGTTAATGAGATCTAGAGAGACAATGTGATTGGTATTTAATCAAAATGGAGTTGAATTCTAACCTTCATTAAACGAGAAAGAGATGGAAGCACATTGATGGGTGGATATATCTGTTTGTTAGGGAAGAAACAAAGATGAAATCTGATTCAGAGCCCAATGAGAATATATAAGTGCAATCGGTAAGATCAAGGTCTCGCCGGGGTTATTACCTGTCTGTTGTGAAGTTGCCTATCGATATATATCTGACCTTCAGTAATGTAACCAGTAAGATCTGGAGTTGGATGCGTGATATCTGATTTTGTTTTCAAACAACAAAGAGTATAAATATTGAGGTTTCCTAAGAAACAATTCCGCGGATTGTTTAAGAGATATGATTGTTTACCATCATTGGGCATAGTGAGGATTGGGATTTGGGTGATGGAACCTTTTCTTCCTTCGATACGCCCAGCACGTTCATAAATAGTTGCAAGATCAGTGTACATATAACCAGGATATCCACGTCTTCCAGGAACTTCTTCTCGGGCAGCAGAAACCTACAAATTCTCAAGCCTATTATCAAATTTGGAGAAAAAGTTATAGAATAGAGGGACTACTTCAGTATGAAATTTTCATCTTACCTCACGAAGGGCATCAGCATAAGAACTCATATCGGTCAATATAACAAGGACGTGTTTCCCACATTCATAAGCCAGATATTCAGCTGTTGTGAGGGCAATTCGAGGAGTGATAATTCTCTCAATGGTTGGGTCATTGGCCTGTTGGAATATTGGAAGGTCAATTCCGTTTGAAGGTAAGAAATATTACACTAAAACATAACAAGATATGGAAGTAAGCTTCTATTTTTTTACAACAATATGGAAATAACTTTAGAAGTCACAACTAGTAAAAATACCAGGTTCAGGAAAAGAGTAACTCTCTCCATTGATCCATTTTCTTCAAAATCACGTTTGAAGAACTGAGCTGTCTCCATGTTCACACCCATAGCTGCAAACACAATTGCAAAATTGTCCTCTCCATGATCCTAGAAAACCACAAGAGGGGGGATGAATCATAAGTTTGATGAGAGACAGCCAACGTTGAAGAGGAATGTCTACAAACAAGGATACTCAAGTTTATGTTTTTGACAGAAACAGAGTTTCCTTTAAAAGAAAAGAGCATCTCCAAATTGAAGGCCTTTTGATGTACCACAAATTCATCAACACATGTGTAGAAAAAATTACAGCTTAAATAAGTGCTTTAGCAAATTCTTCTGATAATAGTATATTTGTGGTGATACTGATTACAAGGATTACCTCAAGTAGATCAACAGTTTTTTCCAGACGCTTGACAAGACCAGCCTGACGGCAAATCTGAGCAGCAATTTCATTATGTGGAAGACCAGCAGCAGAGAAAAGAGGAATCTTCTGTCCACGAGCAATGGAATTCATGACATCAATGGTCGAAATTCCTGTCTGTATCATCTCTTCCGGATAGGTTCTTTCACTGGGGTTGATTGAACTTCCTATCAATATAACACACTGACAGATTTAAGAAAAAACTGAAACGTATTGCTTTCGAGATCTCAATGGAGCAAGTTTCCTCTTGAAGCTGACCTGAGATATCAAGGTATGCCTCTGGCAAAATAGGAGGGCCATTATCAATAGGTTTTCCTGAACCGTTAAATATACGTCCCAGCATGTCCAATGATACAGGTGTTTTCAAAACCTGAAACACACAAGTAATAAACAGGAAGCAAACACATCAACCAAAATATTTACAAAAGAAGTGGCGAAACACTGGAGAAACGAATGCTTTTATGGGAATTTACCTCTCCTGTGAATTGCACAGTGGTAAACTTGTTGTCAATTCCAGATGTCCCTTCAAAAACCTGAAACCCTTAGCTGAGTAAGTCAAAGTGGAAATGATCTATTCATTGTAGATTCACATAATTGTTGTTTATGTATATAATTCAGAGTTTGAAATAACATGGACAAAAAAAGATCATAAACCTGCACAACTGCTTTCTCGCCATCGACTTCCAAAACCTGACCACGTCTTGTTGATCCATCTCCTAAGCGAATATTAACAATCTCCTGGTACTTTGGACCCTGGTTTATCATACAGTACAAGAAAGTGTATATCAGCTAAGTTTCCCTCACAAAGTAAATTCGCATCGCTTGATGAATCAAAATTCAAAATTAAGCTCTCACCTTCACTTTGTCAAGAATGACCAATGGTCCTGCAACACCAGAAACAGTTCTGTACTCTGCAATTCAAAGATCCATGATCAGTCATATACTAGAGAAATATAGTTCACAACATCAAACGACATGAAAACGACTTAACAACATTGATCAATAAAATCGTGATTTGGAGAAGTAAGTTCTGAATAAATAAGATCACATGCGTAATCAAACTGCAAAGTCCAAGCGCAAGAACAAAGGAAGAATTACAAACAAATCAAATATGGTGTGATCCACATTATTTTATGACTTACCCATGCCGATCTCCAAAGTCCCTTCCTCCACGTCGATATCATTCGCCCCCATTTTCACAGATCAAAGATAAAAACCTAAATCAAGACGCCCCTGTAATCAATCACAGATGCGGTCCGCGATACAATATCAATGGAAATTTCGATCCAATCATACAAAATGGAAGAACTTGAGCAACGCAAATGATTTATGAAGAAGCTCTGAATAACAAAACACGTACCTAGAACGATCTGATTCGAGCCGAGGGAGAGAGAGAGACAGAGAGAGTTATGGTTTATGAGTTTTCTCACTTTCTCTGTGACTAATCAATCAAGTTGTTCTTCTCTGTGAACGTGGTTAGACCATATCTCAAATCTATTATTTTTTATGGGTCCCGGATCGTTTTATATATTTTATAGAAAGAGGCTCTCGTTATCTTATATTCACATTTAAAGACCAAACTCTCTAAATTACAAAAACAGCCAATTACTAGATTACGTTTATGTCACCACGTCAGCAATAAATAAAAATCAACGGTTGGAGATGAAAGAGATATGTCTCGCTTAGCTTCTGAGCAATCGTAGCCGTTGCGTATACTCACCAACTCTCTCTCTCTCTTTACTCTATAATCTCCGGCGATCAAGGGAAGAGAGAAAAGAGTGTAAACGAGGGAGAGAATAATAATGATCCGAACGATTTTTCTGTTCCTTGTTGTCGTCGTCAACATCATCGGGACGCGAGTAGAAGCGCAGCTAGTGCCGCCGGTGAGACGAGATGGTTTCGTTTACCCACCGGGTCATCGTTTTGATCAGAATACTATACTAATTGAGGCGTTTTACGACCCGGTTTGCCCGGATAGTAGAGACTCTTGGCCGCCTCTGAAACAAGCTCTTCATCACTATGGATCTCGCGTTTCCCTTCTCCTTCATCTCCTTCCTTTACCGTCAGTTCTCTAGATTCTCTCTTTGCCTTCAATTTATGTTACTGAGCTTAAATTGAAATTGTTCTGAGCTTTGTTATAATTTCAGTTTTGTAATCTATTACATGAAATTTTACTTCCTTCATTCCTGTATTGATTGATTCTAACTAGTAACTATATGACTATATCATAACCAATTGACATGTAGCTTAGGAAAGGTTTGTACTTTAAAATATGTTTCGCTCTCTGTTTTATGATGTGTTTCATAAAAATATGAAGAAATCTTGGCTATTTTGGAATTTGCAGCTACCATGACAATGCATATGTAACCTCTCGGGCTTTACACATTGTGAATACCGTAAACGCCAATGCTACGTTCAGTTTGCTGGAAGGGTTCTTCAAGCATCAGGTTTGTTCAATGTTGATAGTACAAACTTGTTTCGCAGGTCTACGAAACAAAAGAGTGATCTTAATCTTGTAGAAATTTTAAACTTAAGCTCTCTCTGTGAATCTCTCTGCAGTTAGTTGTTATATTTTTTTGAATCTAAGAATTGATATATGATGTTTTTGTATGGTTCATGGAAACTGTTTTTTTTTGTTTGTTTTACAGACATCGTTCTACAATGCGCAAACACAACTCCTCTCAAGACCTGAAGTTGTGGAGAAAATAGTCCAGCTTGGAACAGTCACGTTGGGAAACTCATATCAACCGGTCCTCAAATCCGGCTTAAGCGACAAAAAATCAGATCGTGCGACCAGGGTGTCCTTCAAGGTACTTCCTTCAACTTTCATTTCGGGAATTTACCTTTTCTGACACCTTGCACTAGTCCAGGACCTAAATTGTCAGTCAGACAGGACAGAGACAAGGTTACTGGTTGCATAGTCATCCATATTATATGTTACCGTCCCTCTAATAATTGCGTTAGGGGCAGTAGAAGAATACTGAGTTTTCATGGCCTAAATCTTGACCTGAAATTAAGAATACTCCATGGCTATTCTCAATGTGTTACTGTTACCGAAACATGATATTTATGTCATATTTTGCTTTGGTGGCTTTATGTTTTGCAGTATAGTGCATCAAGAGGGGTTTATGGGACACCAACCTTCTACGTTAACGGATTCGTACTCTCTGATGATGCTTCCCCCTCAAATTTTGGAGGATGGAAAAAAATCATTGATCCTCTGGTTCAAACACATGAGGCAGAGATATAATGATAACTTCGTTTCTTTCCTTTGAAGATCTTAAGTGTGTTTGCTTATCTGTACTGTAATTGTATATTACTTGTTCAAAATGTGTCTATTGTTCATTGTAAGTTTGTAATTAAGGAAACTGATCCATATAAAAGCTGGACAGAATTTGTAATGACAAATGTGAATTTTTGTCATACTAATTATAAAATGAGTTGTTCTAAATTTTGGACGTCTTAACTTCAGTGATTTTAATATTGTGTGAAGCATTGTTTTTCAAAACATCATTAACACTATTTTAGTTTGGATAAATGTTAAGTAAGATGGATTTTAAGAAGTACAATCAATAACATCACATGTTGAATTTATTGTAAAAACATTTTATGATATTGCTAGTTTTATAAGTATTATCCCCCATCTCCATCTGTCTGTCTTGTGTATTTGTGTTAACAACGTGAGGAAATGGGACGATGTGATCATTTGACAAAGCGTTGTTGAAAGATTAAGGATCTTAATATCTTGTCACAGCCGAACTGTTATAACCTCGACGAAAAACATAAGCTACATTTTTTCAGATTATTAAGACAGAATAGATTAATGACCTTGTAAAATCTTTGTGGATTTTGCACCCAAAAAAAAAAAAAAAAAAAAAAAACATAAATGCTTCTCACGTTTAGTTGGTAAAGACTTTCCAACAATATTTTATATTTGTAACTATGGATTGTCATATTCACAACAATTATATTCTAGCTAAATTCAAACATACTTTTTTTTCTTTTCTCTTAAGAAAACATAGATCTCAGTTTCTTGTGTTGAAGTTTTGATAGATTTAATTTTGATCATAAAATGTTCAAAGAACTGTGTATGTATATCTATAAGTATAACTTTAATAAGATACTGGTATGTGTAGTATTTATTTATTTTATTTTTGTGTGTGCATGTAAAAGCCTAGAATTTTATGGAAGTTTTGTCTAAACTATAAAAGCATAGAGTGTAAGTGTACCCGTCTGCAAAAATAAAACACAGACACGTTCTCCAAAAATGAAAATTAAACTAAAATTTTGTCTTTTTATTAATTTAATACTAGTTAGTACCGAAAATCCAGAATAATTTTTCTATTAATAACTTGTAGATTTGGTTCTCATCTAAACAATTAATTTTATTTTATTTTCTGAAAAAGCCATTTAGACTTTTTCCTTCGCATTTTGTGCAACTGGATAAAATCTTCTTGATTACAAGAATTTGGAATTTACTTAACTCTCACCAAAAAAAAAACACATATGGCTCAAACTAAACCGAACAATTCTTTGTAAACCGAATATCATAAAGAGTCCCGGTTATGTGTTCGGTTCTGAATTCTAATTTAATCACCGGAACCGAATGAACAAGTAACACAATAACGAGCAATTCTTCGTTATACTCGACTGGTTAAGTGACCGGTTAAGCTTAATTTAGCGTGGTTCGGTCTGGTTGGGGTTTGAAACATAATCTTGAACCGAAACCGATTAGGGTAGTGCAACGTGTGTGTGTGTGGAAGAGAAGTAGTGCTGCGGCTGTGATATATATCAGAGATGCGCTCTGCGTCAAATGGTTCTTCTTAGGGCGTATAAGGAGAAGAAACAAAGCCATACAAAGAGGGCTCTTCCTGGGCTAAAACCACCATACTTCGTTTTATCTGAATCTTCGTCTCTCTCGAAAGATCTAACCACAACAACTGCACAAGGTAAAGTTATATATCAAAGATAAATCCCGATTTTATTCCTTTTTATTCTGGTTTCTCCATGTTTGTTTTGCTACAAGGATTCGAGAAAATTCCAAAACCTTAGGTTTCTCACTGATTTTTTTTTTTTTTTTTTTTTTTCATTTTTGGGTGGGATTCAGATGGATAGGTATCAACGAGTGGAGAAACCCAAGGCGGAGACGCCGATTGATGCGAACGAGATTCGTATCACTAGTCAAGGCAGGGCACGGAACTACATCACCTATGCGATGACTCTTCTTCAGGTATTTGCATCTTCTTCATCATTGATGAAATCTGAAATGTCTCAATCCATTTCATGTTTATGTAATTCATTTTCGTGTGTGTGTGTGGGGCGTGTTAAATAGATTTTGTTTAGGGTTTATGAACGGGTTTTGTCATTTGGTTTGAAGAATGTTTTGAATCTAGAGATGAATATTTTGATGTTTAATATAAGCTCGTTTGTAATCTAGGCGTTATATACTTTACAATTAATTGAGATTAAATAATGATTAGAGTTTTGCTTCATTTATGTTGTCAACATGATTTTGTCTTCTGATTGAACAAATTTATGATTCAAGGATTCTTATAATATAGCGGATAGATGCTTTAAGATTGTTTTGATTAATTATTAATGTCCTTTTGCTGTGTGGTTAAAGATGATAAGTTTTGCACTGGGGGATTTTGATTTAGTTGAACAATTTTCAAGTTAGACTTTGTTCTCTTTTTTATAGGAAAAAGGTTCAAGTGAGGTTGTATTCAAGGCAATGGGAAGAGCTATCAACAAGACTGTGACCATTGTAGAGCTGATTAAGGTGATTTTGAGATTTGTCATGTCCTAAACACGAAACGTGGTTCATTTGATGGGTTCTCTGAAAATGTTCTTTCTAATATGTAACGCAGAGAAGGATCCCTGATCTTCACCAGAACACATCAATGGGATCCACAGACATTAAAGACACATGGGAACCACTAGAGGAAGGCCTTCTACCGTAAGTGCCCAGTAAAACTTATGTAAAACCGCATTTTAATATGCTCCAACTGTTCAATGTTTTGTTACCTTTACAAACTGTTACTTATTTCTTTCTTTTTCGTTGTCTTGAAGTTTGGAGACTACAAGGCATGTGTCAATGATAACCATTACGCTATCCAAGAAAGAGCTTGATACATCCTCTGTTGGGTGAGAATCTAGGTTCCTTATTTTGATGTTTATGAATTAGTTACTTGTGGTCCAGCTTAATTAGATACGTGTGCTATGTCTCAAGCAATTATCTGTTGATTGAGTCTGTCTCTATCCAAAAAAACTTGCATATTGTTGACAAGCATCTTTGTTGTATCCCTAATTTTTATAGGCGGTCTCATAACTTCTTAATTCTAACAATTTTGATCAATTGATGTTTTCAGTTACCAGTGCCCGATTCCTATTGAAATGGTGAAGCCAATGGGCGATATCGATTTCGAAGGACGAGGTATGTCAATGTCACTCTCAGTGGCTCTTTCTAAATCCCCCTTTTACTTGCTGTCTTCATAAGTTTCCTGTTTCATTTTTCTTGTAGAGGGTTCACCTGGTGGCAGAGGGAGGGGAAGAGGAAGAGGACGAGGAAGGGGAAGAGGAAGGGGACGAGGCGGCAGAGGTTAGATTACTTTAAAAATACTCTATTTAGACCCCCTATGCATCCAAATCTCAGCCTTTTAGTTGACATTTTGGACATTTTATTCATGGAAATGCCTATGTGAATATTGTTTATTTTTTATTGCTGTCAGGAAATGCCTATGTGAATGTTGAGTATGAAGATGGAGGTTGGGAGCGTGACCAGTCCTATGGACGTGGCAGAGGACGCGGTCGAGGACGCAGCAGTCGTGGTCGTGGACGAGGAGGATACAATGGTCCTCCAAATGAGTATGATGCACCACAAGATGGAGGATATGGTTATGATGCTCCTCCTCATGAACACCGTGGATATGATGACCGTGGTGGTTATGATGGTCCTCCTCAGGGCCGTGGCGGTTATGATGGTCCTCCTCAAGGCCGTGGTGGTGGCTACGATGGTCCTCAAGGCCGAGGTGGCTACGATGGTCCTCAGGGTCGTGGTAAAATAATCAAAACTCACGTTTTTTCTTCTTACCTGGTTCTTGAACTGTATTTGTTGGGAGTAAGACATGAGTTTTGAATTGGTTTGATGTAGGGCGTGGACGTGGACGCGGAAGGGGAGGTCGCGGAAGAGGAGGCCGTGGTGGTGGATTCAACAACCGATCAGATGGACCACCAATTCAGGCAGCTGCTTGAGAGTGAGATTTCTCTTTCGACAAACATAAAAAGAAAAAAAGCCCAAGTCGTTGGATGTTTTTTTCTATCTCCTTGCTCTCTCTCTCTCTTTCTATGTTTGCTTCTTCTGTCCATCAAGAAGACATGTTTGCCATAAGTGTATCTCTTTCCCCCTTTTTTTTTTCTTTAAATCAATTGATTCACAGTTTTTTTAGTTTGTGGTCTGTTTTGTTTAGAGTCTCTTAGGGTATAATATATGTTCAATTTATTTTATGGTTGGTCGTCGTCTTGGGTTTTTGCTAGAGAAGAACTACTGAGGCATCTTCTTTCTTTCTTTTTTGTTTATCATCTCTTCTGTTATGTAGTTTTGTTTAGGTGAGAGAGTGAGGCACAAGTTTGGACAAATTAACTCTTTTCTAAGTTTTCTTCGTTGGTTATCAGTTTTTTAATATGATGGAACAGTTGATTCTTTTATATCCCTTTTAATTTGACTTGCTTTCCTGAGTTATTCATGACGAGAAATTCACTCGACATGCGTTGTTTACACGAACGAAAACGACGGTTTAATAGTAACCGGAGAAGAAGCCATATACACTCCAATTTGCTTCGAAACCTTTTCAAACTGAAAAGAATAGACTATTACAAAGAGAAAGCAAATAGACTTTCAAAACGACAGCAAATTGGGAAAAAGTTCGATCAAAAAATATGAACGCTTTTTAAAAAAGCAACGCCGCTGCCGGGGATCGAACCCGGGTCACCCGCGTGACAGGCGGGAATACTTACCACTATACTACAACGACTTAGTTGTTCGTTTTAACTTTACAAGTTATTTGTCTTAAAGAGAATAATTCTGTCTTGAAGGAAAAGAAAAGGAAATAGTTCGGGTAGGAAAAAGGAAAACATATTAACTTATGTTCTTAATCCCCCAGCTCTCTCCTCAGTTTTTATATCTTTGTGAAAGAAGACTGAGATTTGCGAAGAAAAAAAGATGACTCAAGACGTGGAGATGAAAGATAATCACACCCCAACTCAATCCGTTGTCTCTGCTACTACCTCTACGCTGCAGCGTAAATCTCCACCTTTATGCTTCACTTTCGCTTAATTTCACAATGCTAGGTTTGTTCGTTCTCTTTCAAAATTGATTTCATTGGAGCTTTTTTCCCCCAGATTTGAAGGAGATTGCTGCTCTGATCGATACCGGGTCTTACACCAAGGAAGTCCGCCGTATTGCTCGTGCTGTTCGTCTCACCGTCGGACTTCGACTGAAGCTCACCGGCTCTGTGATCTCTTCTTTCCTTGATTTCGCTCTAGTTCCTGGATCCGAGGCTCACACTCGTCTTTCTTGTTTTGTTCCTAAGGTATCTCTCTATCTTCACTTCTCTACTTTGATTTCATTGAATTTTTCTTTTGAGCTTATTAGATTCTGTAACTTTAAGATTTACTGATTACCCCTTAATTTGAATGCTTGGAATGAGATATTTCTCCGAATTGAATTTGCCTAGCTAAGCTTCCTTTGATATACTGACGTTTGGATCTTTAATGATGGGTTCAGGGTGATGAACATGACATGGAAGTTGATACAGCATCGTCGACATCCCAAGCTCCTCCTAAGCATTTACCTGCTGAGCTTGAGATTTACTGCTACTTCATTGTTCTTCTTTTTCTCATTGATCAGAAAAAGTACAACGAGGTTACTTTTCTTCTATCTCATCTCTCTAAGGGTCTTCAGTTGCCTACTTTGTTAATTAGTCTTGTTGAGGTATTAATTACATGTGTGCTTTACCTTCTTATCTTTCAGGCCAAAGTTTGTTCGTCAGCTAGCATTGCTCGCCTCAAAAGCTTGAACAGGAGAACCGTTGATGTCATTGCTTCAAAATTGTATTTTTACTACTCCTTAAGTTATGAGCTAACAAATGATCTTGCTGAGATACGTAGGTGAGTTGTTCACTGTCAGTTTGTTTTTCGTCTTTTTTAGTTTTTCATGTTAGTCCAACTATCAGTTATATGATTAACTTGTGTCTCTTTCTGTTGCAGTACTCTTCTTGCTCTACACCATTCGGCAACTCTGCGCCATGATGAATTGGGACAGGTGTGTAATTTTTAATTTTTCGAAAACAATCAATCTTATAATCCTTTTGCTTTGCTACTTGAAACTGCAGTTCATGTTACAGGAAACACTTTTGAATCTGTTGCTTCGTAACTATCTACACTACAATCTCTACGACCAAGCAGAGAAGCTTAGGTCAAAGGCACCTCGATTTGAGGCACACTCTAACCAACAGGTAACCCTTCGGTCTTGCCTCCATACACTTGGCACCGTGGCTTTATAGGTTTAGGTTATTGTGTATATCTATTTATCTGATGCTTACTTATTTTCAAATTGCATTCACATATTCCTTTTTCACTTTTGTATCTGCTGTTATGCAATGCTCATGTTTTTCTATATACGTTGCACTATGGTTGTACCTTCAATAAATCGTTTTGTTGTTGTTTCTCTTGTTATATTTCTGAAACTGCTCATTGATCAATTTTCTTTAATCTACCTTGCGTGCTCCTTTTCTTCACTTCATTGAACCTTCTCCTGGTTTCTGAGACCTCCAAATTCAAAAAGTATATAGTCTAGCTAAAGGATACTCATCTCATGATATGATATACAGTTTTGTAGGTACCTGTTTTACTTGGGGAAGATCCGGACGATTCAACTAGAGTACACCGATGCAAAAGAGAGCCTTCTCCAGGCTGCTAGGAAAGCACCTATTGCATCTTTGGGCTTCAGAATTCAGTGCAATAAGTGGGCTATTATAGTTCGACTGTTGTTGGGTGAAATACCAGAACGGTCAATCTTCACTCAAAAAGGAATGGAGAAGCTTCTGAGGCCATACTTTGAGCTAACCAATGTAAGTCCATTATTGCATCTGTGACATTTTATATAGTAAAAGGTTTACTTACTAATATTATTGTTTATATTATTGACAACAGGCTGTGAGAATTGGTGACTTGGAGCTATTTGGTAACGTCCAAGAGAAGTTTGCAAAAACATTTGCGATAGACAGGACTCAAAACCTCATAGTTAGACTGCGACACAATGTGATCAGAACCGGACTGCGCAATATCAGCATCTCTTACTCGAGAATCTCCCTACAGGATGTCGCTCAGAAGCTAAGGCTGAACTCAGCAAACCCAGTGGCTGATGCAGAAAGCATTGTGGCTAAAGCCATTAGAGATGGAGCAATTGACGCAACCATTGACCACAAGAATGGTTGGATGGTCTCCAAGGAAACAGGGGACATCTACTCCACTAACGAGCCACAGACAGCATTTAACTCCAGAATTGCGTTCTGTTTGAATATGCACAATGAAGCAGTCAGAGCGTTGAGGTTCCCGCCAAACACGCACAAGGAGAAAGAAAGTGACGAGAAAAGGAGGGAGAAGAAACAGCAAGAAGAGGAGCTAGCCAAATACATGGCTGAGGAAGACGATGATGATTTCTAGATTTGATTCAAAGTTGTACTGTTTCGTCTGTTAACACTTATGTTATTTCGACATCTCTGAATTTTCTTGTTATTGTGCACATCAGTTCCCCTACTTTATCAGATCAGATACTCTGAACTTTTGTTATCTAAGGTCATTCGTACTTCTATCTGCGGAGCTCATCAAATGTAGTGATAATTCACCGTAGAGGCAAATATGTGATCAAACAGAAACATGGATCAAAGTTTTAATAATCAGTAGATGGGCCTTAGACAAGGCCCATTAATTATCTAATTCCAAATCGGCGAAGTATCTCCGATTGTTTTTTCAACGTCGAAAGGTTAAAACACTCGAAACGATTTGTTCTGTGTCGTTGTTTGGTCTGAGACATAGGGAGAATGGAGGAGGTTCAGAAGACTGAGGTAGCGAAGAATCCAGAAATAGAGGATATTATCGAATTAACTAAGCAAAGTGTAGAAGCGTGCGACGAGCAACAGAAGCAGCAAGCTCAAGAAGATGAGGAACATCGAGATGAAGACGAAGACGAATTGAGAAAACTGCTTCTTTCTGATATTGGAGAGCTTCCGCTTTCTCCTCCTTCAGCTACACAAGTCAATTTTGTTTCTTACTTCATCACAGGTCGTTCACAGATTCAGCTACTATTCTTTTTTTGGTCTTCAATAAACCCCTCTTTTGATAGTTTTGAAGTGAACTAAACCCTGTTCAATATTTTGCAGATTTCACGAAATCAGGTCATGATCAGTTCATTTACCGTCACGCAAATGGGTATGTCAAAGATTGTTCCTTTTTTGAATCTATCTTTGAAATAATGACATTGGTTCTCTTACTTGTGTCTTGTGTGTTTTGTTTGTTAGTTTGTGTGTAATTGGACTGGCTCCTACGCATATAGCTTTTAAGGACGAAGGAGGGATCACTAACGTCGATTTCAATGTCGGTAAGTCTGATCGTAGCGTCTTGAAAGTCTCCGGCAAGCGTAAAAAGGTGGCTTTCTCTTTTTTTCTTGCTTGAAGGCTGCAGTTCGAAATTGTCTCTTCACTTTCTTTGATTGAGTTTAGATGGCTTTACCTAGTGCTTTTCTACATGCTCTTATTGTGCAGAATGCGTTGCGCTCTGAATCAAATACCGCATTGTGCAAAGTCTCCACTGCAAAAGATTCATACATTGTGAGGTGCAAAGCTTTCTCTGGTTTCACTTTCCCTTGTTATAACTTCTCATATCCGAGAAAGATGAAGTTGTTTTTGTGCTGCGTTGTTGTTCACTAGGTGCTGCGTTAAAGGCTCTCTCTTGGAGGTGAACGAGAGATTAATTAACCAACCAGAGCTTCTTAATTCATCGGTAAGATATAAGAGAATAGAGTCTTGTCTAACAAATTCCCAAATTGACGAACCAATGAAAACCTCAAGTTTTTGCTATGAGTCTTTTCTATTGTTACTGTATCTTCTATAACAATTTCGAGCTCTTATGCTATACTTCTAATGTTAAGAATTTTGCTTATGGAATCTATCAGTCAAATAACTCAAATAACTAGATCATCGTTTCTTTGCTTGTTAGACAAGAGGAGGAATGTAGGATAAAGCTGATGGCGTTTCTGTATCATGATTACCTTCCATGCTTATGAAAACTTGTATTTTTTTCAGGCTGATCGCGAAGGGTATATTGCGATAATCATGCCAAGACCTGCAGATTGGACCAAAAACAAGGAATCACTGATAACACTGGAGGAATATAAAGAAAAGAAAGAAGTGTCTTTGGATGCAGTCTCTGCCGAAACTTTGGAACCGTGTTTGCTATGAAAGCTGATGATTAAGCTCAAGTCAGATTAGGTGAAGAACTTTTGAAGGTCTTTTGCAGTCTTGTTGTTCTACAATATTTACAAAGGTGTTGCGTTAATGCGTTGTGTTTTGGCTGACAAAACAATTTTGGGTACAATGTTCTTCATAAAACCTTTTTACTTCACCAAAATACACGAAATTACAAATTATATAACTTCATATAATTATTCGAGCTGTATTTGTTTTTTGTTTTACCTTTTAACAAAACTATAATTTAAGCGTTTTTATGCACATAACTAAGTGATGTGAAAAGTGGTAAACTCACCTTATAACCAAAGTCCAAATTCAACTAGAAATAGAATTGTGTTTGTGCTTTTATTTTGTTTTATTTTCAGGTAATTCTAATTGTAATCAGATTAGGAATAACAAAAGGAGTCCACTATATAAGCAACCCATGGCCATGAAGAAGATTATCTTTGTTCTTTTGACTCAACCCTGTATTTATTAAAGAGATCGAGAATTTGTTTTCCAGACGATCAAGTAGTTCTGTTTAGTTGAAAAAATTCGTTGACCATTCTTACTTTTTAATATGACTAGTCAGAATAGAAATACAAATCATAATCAAGGTTTAGTATCAAACGGACAAATGCCTCATCGTGCACCTATCGAACCGTGGTTTCCTCTTCCACAGTTTTCGTATTCATCTGCGTTTGGTAAGTTGTTGTTATCAATATAGATATTGTGGTTCTATATACAATAACTATTTTGAGTCTTATGGAGTAGTAACTTACGTGGATTTTGCAGATTTATCGCAACTTCCAAATTTAAGGACCTTAGCACTCATGTCTAGTTTAACCTCTTCCATCGTTTCCCAGATTGATTATTATTTTAGGTAAGTTCAACTTTTTTATTTTTGTTTATCTACTTTTCTTTTTTTATGGATTTCTTGTCATATGTTTAAGTTGTTAATTGATGATAATGCAGCAATGAAAACCTGGTAAAAGATGTGCACTTGAGATCTCATATGGACAATCAAGGATGGGTTGATATTTTCGTTATTGCAGAATTTCCCAGAGTGAGTAACTTCAAAAATTCGATGAATATATTTGTTTTTGTTTTTTTAAGTATACATAATACATATATAACAACATCTTTTATTTTCTTTAAAACCAGATCAAAAGCATGACTAATGATATTGCATTGATATTGCGTTCAATGAGATTATCCGCATCAGTTGAAATTCAGGTAATTACTAATTAATTACACGTAACACATCTCTTCTTACTTTTTATTTTATTTCTTAAATACAAGTTTTGGATAATAATGATATACTAATAATATTCACTAAATGTTGAAATCACATTTTGTAGAATCATAAGCTGCGGAGACGCCATGGATGGAAGAGATGGATAATCCATGAAGCTCCTGATCCACATACTGATTAATAGAGACATATAGAATTTGATATTTTTTTTTGTGGTGAAAGATAAAGTTTAATAAATTACTTAAACCTTTGTTATACATGCTTTTTGGTTTTCTAAATACTTTTATGTCGATCCAAAGAGTTTGGATAATGAAATACAAATATTCACTTTTTATTTCGAATTTTCTATATCCATATTTTTCTCAATAATGTGGAAGAGATTAGCAAATAGGGTAATGAAATACAAATATTCACTTTTTATTTCGAATTTTCTATATTCATATTTTTCTCAATAATATGGAAGAGATTAGCAAATATTGTGCAAATTAATCCAAAAAGTTTGGATAATGAAATACAAATATTCACTTTTCATTTCGAATTTTCTATATCCATCTTTTTCTCAATAATGTGGAAGAGATTAGCAAATATTGTGCAAATTAATCCAAAGAGTTTGGATAATGAAATACAAATATTCACTTTTTATTTCGAATTTTCTATATCCATCTTTTTCTCAATAACGTAGAAGAGATTAGCAAATAATGTGAAAATTAATCCAAAGAGTTTCCAATAGTTCCCGTATTTACATCGAACAGTTTATTTAAATAATGTTTTGCATGGGTTTTTGCATCATCGTTCATGATGCCCAACTTTGTCAAACCTTGTAATGCCAATATTATTTGTTTAAGTAATATAGTATAGCGTCGACAAAAAAAAAAAAAACAAAAAAGTAATATAATATAGCAGAGAGTATTGCAACAAGAATCCGATGTCGTCCAGCGGTTAGGATATCTGGCTTTCACCCAGGAGACCCGGGTTCGATTCCCGGCATCGGAGCTTTTTTTTATCCTCCCTTTTTTCAACCACTGGTTCCGTACAAATAAAACATTCCACGACTTTTCTAACCAAATCGTAATAAAAAGACGACAAATTAGATCAATTTACAATTAGTATTCTGAGCAATCTCCTTAAGAATGAACTTAGCAAAATCTTCCCTCTGAAAGTCTTAAGCAACTCTTCAAGAGACAACACCTAATATAACGTGGCGTCTTCTTCTTGCAATACTCTAGTCTCTATAAACTCCTTCTCAGTGCGATACTCTAGTCTCTACCCGGGGTTCAAACTCAGGAACATTAACTTCATTTTGAGTTTTTTCAAACTATTAATCACATTCTACAATTAGACGATAAAATGCAGCTTCATATTCTTCCCGAGAAAGAACTTGAGATGCTGTCAGCTGTGTGTTAGAGACCCAAGTCTAGAATTTAGTTAGGTACTTGTGCATCTTTTATGTCTCTCCTTTAACGCTTCATGAAGCTATTGTGATATATTAGCATTGTCAACATACTCATAGATTACCATGGTCTCCTTCATTACAAAAATTGCTTCAATTGGCAATTTTAGATTTGCTCCTCAAATATATGTAGAAGTGCATCAGTGCGTATCCCCTGGTAGTTAATCAATGAGTGGACTACCTAAATAATTCTTGTTAACGTCATCAGCTTTCAGCTTCTTTTGGTAATACAAACGCTAATGGTTATGGAATACGTTACTAGTACAAACATCTCAACGCCAAGACAGTCTTGAACTTGAAACTGTTGTCATTACTTCTGCCTTCAGAAACAATAACAGAATCTTATATCTCAACTGTTGTCGCTATTTTGTTTTAACAGTTTTGTTATGCTTATACTGTATCTCCTGGGTGGCCAACATTTCAAAACTGTTTTCAAAGTTATTACAATAGGTTAAGCTCTGAACACTAAGTCAGGGGGTACAGAGTGGTGAGCAGTTGATTTAGCTAAGACAACCTGTTCTAATTACATCAGAGAACAGAGACATAAAGACAGAGTTACAGAGACATCAACAAAGAAGCTTTGCAACGAAATAATTTTGTAGAAAGAAGAAAGAGGAATAAGAGATATTTGCAAGGCAAACCAACAATCACTCTTTAAGATATCTAAAAAAGAGCACAAATTATCCAAAGAGTAAAAAGACATTGATGGTTCTAGATCATGAGAGAGAGCACAAGGAGGGAAGAAGAAGAACATAGTCATGAATATTAAAAAGAGCAAGTTATCAAACACTGGAAAGTGCAATAAACATAAGTAAAGAGACAAGGTTGGTTTCTGAACATCTCTCTGTGAAAAGGATCACTCAAAAGCCCATTGGTTCTCTCTGCGCACCTCTTCCTCTTCCTCTGGTGTGAAGTCGTTCTTGATGTTGAAGGTTGTGCGGATCTCTTCTGGAGTCTTGCCTTTGATCATATCAGCCACGGTTTGACATGTTAGGTCAAGCAGGTTCTTGATGTTCAGGTAGTTAGCAGCCTGCCCAAGATCCAAAAATTCGAAACCATTAGATCATAATCCCATACACACACATAAGAACCCTAACAATTTCAATTTCCTAAAACTAATTCAATTCACAATCGATTCCATAAGAACCCTAACAATTTCAATGTTATGTGACTGCAATTTCACCCAAAATTACGAAGCCCTAATTTCCTTCCCCCAAATCGAGAACCCTAAAACCAAAATCAAAATCAAATCGAGGGAAAAAAGAAACAAACCAGAATGAGTTCAAAGAGCGTAGCCTGATCGATCTTCATAAAATCAGCGTCCCAGGTCTTGAGGTCGTCATCGGTCGAAGCACCCTCAACGGCCTCGCTCTTAGCAGCAGCAGCCTCGACGTGCTTCTTGCAATACTCGATCACCTTGGCGAGGATCTTGCTCGTCACGTTAGGAAGAGGGACTCCGTTCTCGACGCAATCGTCTTCAACCATATGCGCTATGGTCTGTGACTCGAGAGCCACCGCTTCATCAACCTCGAAAGATTCACCATCGGAACTCTTCAACACGATCTTCTTCGCCGACATCTTTGATTTGAGAAAAAACCCTTTTAGATTTGGGAGAGGATTTGAAGAAAATTTTCTGAAAAGCAGCGATGAAGATGAAGAAAATAACACAAAAACAAAAGCGATTGCGTCTCTCCTCTATATATAAAAAAAAACCCCTAATTTTGATAAGTCGGTCTATTGTTTGGGGAAAATAAGGAAATATGTCTTTGATTTTGTTTTTTTTGGAAAATAAAAATAGATAACAATCCTATTTTTTTATTTTATTTTGTAAAGTTAACATTTTTGTAACTTGGATCCGTCTTATTCGTTGTATTTATCTCATTAATTAGTATCTGATTTTTTTTTCCTTTTTCTTTTGAGGGATACAATTCCATAATTGTCAACAAAAAAAAAGAAAAGTAAAAAAGATATTGAGATCACTGTAAGATAAGAATAAATCAATCAGAATAATATTTGTTAGCTTTTAAAATCATGCATTTTTAAAAATATATATATAATTAAGTTGATAACACATTAACACATGTCATACAATAATAATACATCGAATAATTATTTTTTGGTCAAGAGTCATATAATATTATGTGTTATGTATTTTTTTTCTTTTTAATCTTCTTTTATCTCTTAATTTGTTCATATATTTTCTTTGATATTATCATTATCATCTTTGTTTATTTCTTTCTGATTATAAGTTTATAACTAATCTTACATACTTCACCAATATTTTATGGTAGCTTTTTTTGAAACAACATATAATATGAAATACAATCAGATTTTTGTTACAAAATAATTTAATATTGACATATGTAACATAAAAAGTTTCGTAGCACTTTTCGTTGTATGACATGTATCAAAACTGTAAAATATATAGGAGACTAAGATTTAAATAGAAAATTTGGAATTAAATTATACGATATTATTTTATCAATATTTAGTGTCCATACAAAATAAGAAGAGATCGAACTCAAGGATGTTCAGTTTCCAAACTTGTGTGAACATATTTTAATAAATTTTGTGGATGCTACTCCCTTTTGATAATTCAACCTAATTACTTAAACATGATCCTAACTAAAGAAGAATTAAGAATTAATGATATGAAGAGAAGTTGGTTTTTAGGCCATGGCTTTCTTACTTCTTACAAGTGTTGTCCTGATTCATTCTAGAAGATGCACACTCAAAATATAGAATACTAATTTCTGAAGGGGTTAATTTTTGAATGGAAGATGATGTTAATTTGATTCTCAGTTTCTCACCTACCAACTTTAAAGTCTTATCATAAAGTTCCAAGGCCCATATCCGAAGTTAAAACCCAAATAGTTCAGTCCATATAATGCTCGAGCTAAATCTGGAGTTTCTTGCATGCTTATCCTCGGATGAATCACTCGGACTTAAAACCCAAGAAAAATAAGGAAAAAAAAAAACATTTTGAGTAATATCTAAAGTTACAACTTATGATGAGTATCAAATCCAAACTTACTTGTTTATATATGGATTTATCTTTTACTTGAACATGGAAATAATGCATCAACCGTAAACAAAGAGCTTGTGAATATAATTTGTATGACTCAAATTTACGTTAGTCTACATGCAGATAATTCACTCTACAACTCATCGTGCTCATCATCTTCGAACCCTTTGAGTCCTCCATCATGCTCATCTTCAAACCCTTTCAGTCCATCGTGGAGGAAACTCGAGTACCATTGGGCTGATAGTTTTTCGTGGCGCGTCAAATTATTTTTGTAGTCGACATAGTAAAGACCAAACCTCGCATTGTATCCCTCTTGCCATTCGAAAGTGTCCATCAATGACCAAAGAAAATACCCCGTAACATTTACTTTATCATCGCTGCAAAACAAAAACACAAAGTGGAGAAAAAAAACACATTATCATTCTGAAAGTAAAATAGTTTTTTTCGTAAAAAAAAAACACTAATGAAGATGCATGATTTGTTTACAAACCAAACTGCTTGGTGCAAGCTCAAGAGATGGCTCTGAATATAGTATCTTCTGTGCTCATCTGAGAGCGCCACTACAAGACTTGTGTCTTGTTCGCCTAGATCCTCTCCATATCCTTAAATCAAACATACACAACTCAATATTTACACAAAGAGTACTAGGAAAAATGTTTCCGTTTAGAGATTTAGTTTACGTAAACGTTTCTCTAACCATTCTCGGTGATTATGATTTCTGGATTTCCGTATTTATCCTTAATATATTTCAGTAGGCTCCTCAATCCCTTTGCGTAGACTTCAACTTTCGCTACATCAGGCTTCAAAAAACAATATATATATATATATATATATATATATATATATATATATAT